ACGGACAGAGACACGAAGTTCGCATCAAAGTTTTGGCAAGCTCTGATGACGAAGCTGGGTACGAAGAGTAAGCTCTCGACTGCTTACCACCCACAGACGGACGGACAGACGGAACGACTCAACCAGGTCGTCGAGCAATATCTACGGTTGTACGTCAACTTCCAGCAGGACGATTGGGTCGAGCTGTTGCCAGCAGCACAACTCGCCTACAACACCACCGTCACGGAGACCACGAAGGTCACGCCATTCTTCGCGAATTACGGCTACGAAGCAGATTTGCGACAGGGGCCCGATGTCTCGGTGCCCCGAGCGGCAGTCAAAGCCGACAAGATGAGCTCGCTGCATGCGATGCTCAAGGAAGAACTCGAGTTCGTACGAACCAGGATGAAGAAGTTCTACGACAGAAACAGGCTCGAGGGACCTCGCCTAGAAGAGGGGGGCAAAGTTTATCTCGTTTCTCGAAATCTTCGCACGAAGCGACCAAGCAGGAAACTCGATTTTCGCAAAATCGGACCGTTCAAGATCGACAAAAAGATTTCGGAGAACAACTACGCACTCGCGTTACCCTCGACAATGCGACTACGGACCAACGTTTTTCACATCTCGCTTCTGGAACCAGCGCCCGAGAACGCGCGACTCGACAAGGACGCCGAGGCAGAAGACGAAGAGGAGGAATGGGACGTTGAGGAAGTCCTAGATTCACGCATCATGAAAGGACAGTTGGAGTATTTGGTCAAATGGCTGGACTTTGGCCCAGAAGACAATTCATGGCAACCAGCTACCAACCTCAACTGCCCCGAGAAACTTCAGGAGTTCCACCAGAGGAATCCGGACCGACCAAAGGAAGCCCCACAGACAAGTCGACCCCGGCGAGGAAGGGGTCGTCCGAAGAAAAACTAAGCACTGTCAGCAAGGAAGCAAGGAGGGGAGTAAAGAAGACGAACTTTTGAACCCAAGGAAAGTCAAAAGAAGGAACGCCGGCGACACCCGAGGAAGACGGTTGCCCGGTAGCAACCTCCCGGCGCTCCTGCTCCACAAGCACTTCCCCCTCCTGGTCAAACATCGCCAGGGCCCTGCGTTTCAAGGCCAGACGCTGGGTCCGCAGGCGATCCGCTTTCGCCAGGGCCGTCGCAAGGTCGCGATTCGCATTCAGGAGCTCGCGCTGTGCCTCCCGAATGGCATCAGTGGCAGCACGCTCCTGCTCGTCCAGATCGCGCTCCTCGTCAACAATGCGACGAACGGCAGAATCACTATACCCAAAAGCGTCGCATGAATGGTTACCCGCGTCGAGACAGTTGCCGCAAACGTCGGAATTGTCGGAAACCTTGCAATCTGAAAGTTTCTTTTCCCTGCAGCGAGTACACCTCACCATTTCGGTGCCAACAAGATTGGATAAAGTTGCACGAGTACGACGGCGCTCGGTGCTGGATTTTTGCTTTCGCTTGCGTTTCCTCACACCGTTAGCCATGATGAAGGATGAATGGGAAAGGATGGTGGGGACCACTCACCAAACAGATTGGGGACTGTTGGCGCTATTTCAAGAAGTTGGCTAAAGGAAGTGGCCGACGGGACGTCGACCCTGGAGGGGGGGCATCGTGTCACGAATATGCCAACAGGCGGAACCGCGGGGCGCGGGACGCCCCGGGCCAGTCATGGAATAAGCCAATCGGAAGGCAGGAACAGGATCGATGGTGATCAGTGAGCTCAGTTGCCAAGCCAGGACTGAGCACACTGAGCACCAGGCAAGGTCACCAATCAGGACGATTGTAACTCAGAAGTGATCAGTGAGCTCAGTTGTCGAACCCGGACTGAGCACACTGAGCACCCAAGAATTAGATAGGTATATAGTCACTCGTTCTGGAGAGCTCTGGGAGTTCTCCAGTTAGCAATCACAACTACAGTTCGCTACAAGCTCGAGAGCCTACTGTTGAGACAAGTCTTTGTTGTGCACCTTTTGGCTGCACCGAACCTAAGCACCCTTGAGAGAACACCTTCGACCGATACTGAACCCTAACAGGACGGGTCCAGAGACAGGTTCGTCACAAAGACCTAGAACTTCTTAAATACCGATATATAAACATTGTTAGTATTATTAAAATATTTATAAGATAGTATAGGATCCGAGAAGTTAATACCGATATACTATACTTTACCTAGAGATAGTTAAATAGGTTAAAGGGAGTAAAGCCTATAGAGCATTACTTCTAGTATAATGTTATTATCTAGTTTAAAGAAATCGGTACCTGGTATAGCCAATTCAGGATATAGATAGAAGTAAAGAAAGAGGTTAAAATACTATAGATCTTCCCTTTAGAAATTGCTAGAGCCGTTATCTTCCTTAGAAGATAAGATAAGGTTAGTATCCCTCTAACTATCGAAGATTATACTGAGAAGGCCGGACTAGTCCCCTACCTTATATGGACCGAGAACATAGACGAGTTTTGGGTAGCGGCTGAGCTAGATAATACCGACTGGTATAAGGTTTATATAGAGAGGAAAATAAGGCCGGATTACCCTATAGCAGATAGAGCTACTATTATAAAGATAATCTCTATATTAGAGATAGTCTATATTAACCTAATAGATAACGGTAATAAGGTAAGTAATAATAACTTAGCCGATAAAGAACTAGTTATAATAATTCTAGTAATTAATACTATCTATCTAATAGCTATAGACTAGAAGGAACTAAATATACTAGATAGGATAATCTCCTCTAACTAGAGAAAGATAACTAATAAAGAGTATATCTATAAATATACCTAGATATATTACCTTAGATATCTTATACTTATATCCGAGTCCTAGAAAGCTATTACTAAGACCAATATTATTTAGGAAACCGCTACTAAGATAGGTAATAATAAATAGACGGATAATAATTATATCGCTATTACCGGTATAGATAACCTAGTATTTTATAGCAGAATATTAAGATCGGCCCTTACCTATAATAGTAATATAGTAATCGATAATTTCTATAAGGTTTTTAATATTAGTTTTAGATAAGGAGGATCCTTTATATTAACCCTAATTAAGAGATAAATTAAGATCCTTAAATATATTTCTAATAGGTTATTAGTAGTAAGGGTAGATACTGTAACCGTAAATCTAACGGCCTAAAAGCTTATTAATATATAATTCGAGAACCTTAAGAGGTATATTAGTAAACTAGAAGCTAAATATATTATAGAGGACTTTTAAGGCTTTTAGATATATATTAATAGAATCGTTAAAGATATTATAACCTAGCAAATAAAGTATAGCCTTACTAAGGATTAAATTAAGGTATTATAGGATATTAGTAAGTTATTATATAAGTATAATAAGGTATATAATAATAAGATATAGAAGCTTAAAGGCTAAACCTATAATATTAAGAGCTTAATTAACTGATATAGTAAACTGTTAATCACTAATAGAGAAATAATACTATAGAATATTATTAATAAATATAATAGTATTAATAACTAGCTAATAAAGGTTAAGGAGAGAATTAACTATATTACTAAGTAATATAATAAAATCATAAAGATACTAATTAATATCGGTATACTTAAAGCTAATAGATATATACTAGATAATAATATCTTACTTCTAATAGATAGATTAGAAAAGCTTAAAGACAATATAAATAAGTTTAATAACAATAGAGTAATATAAGATAACTAGATATCTATAAAGCTTAATTATCTCTAGATAACAGTCGATAATATAGCTATTATTAATACCGATAATAATAGGATATTAGTAAAAAGAGTTAACAATCTAATCCGGTTCTAAAGTAAGATAGTGAAAGTACTAAACAGGTATATAGATAAGTATCCTAACTTCCTTATAATGATAGGTAAGATCTTTATAGGCAACCTCGAAGATAATATATCGGAGTTCCGGGGATTTAATTCCGAGACCAACCATTACATACTGGAGCTTAAAGACGAATATAAATCCAATAATACTAAGGCTGAATTCGATAATACCGGGTTAAACGTTACTAACGATAATACTATAACAGATAATATAATATATAATGATAAGTAAGTAGATAATAGTAATAGGAAAAAGAAGTAGAGATATCTATAGAATAGATAGTAAGGAATAGGGTAAGTAGAAAAGGAAAAGAATAGAGATAAAGTTAATATAAATTAAAATAAATGTTAGGGTAAAAGCATTTCTTTATATTCGTTAATTAGGAGTTATTAACAGGATATCGATAATTTCAAAGATAGGTAACTGATAGGAACTAACGGTCTGTTAACTGTCAGCTGTTGATAAGCGACTGTTAACTGTCTGTCGATAGCCGATAGTCGAGTACTGACAAACCGACGACCGATAGTTGTTAGCAGCTATACGATAGCCGACAGCTGACGACAGACTGACGACGACCAGACAACTGTTGGCAGCTGTCAGTCCGCCATTATAAATATAGCAGGTAGGAGGCCAACTATTGAGAATAAACTAACTCTTTTATATAAACAAAAACTGACTATAAGCTGTAATGTCCTATCAAAGAGTCTCTTTTTTCGTAAATCTGTAAATTCGTAAATTTGTAAATTTGTAAATTCGTAAATTCGTAAATTCGTAAATTCGTAAATTCGTAAATTCGTAAATTCGTAAATTCGTAAATTCGTAAATTCGTAAATTCGTAAATTCGTAAATTCGTAAATCTGTAAATCTGTAAATCCGTAAATCTGTAAACCTGTAAATCTGTAAATTTGTAAATCTATAAAAGAGGTATTAAAAAGAGGTATTAAAAAGAGGTATTGAAAAGAGGTATTTCAATGTTTTTTTCAATACTAAAAACAAAGATTCCAAAATAATTTTTTTCGTAGAAAATAATTTCGGCTTAAAATATCACTACATCAAAATGCTTTTACTACCAGAAAATAATTTTCAGATTGAAATATTTTGTTACTGAACACCATCACAAGCTAATGTTACAGGGAAATCATGTTAGGACCGGAAAACTTCGACTACCACCATTTTCAACCCCCCCCCCGGGCGCGCTATGGTACCTTACCTACTATCCGCAATGCGGCCGGCCTTCGTATTCCTGGGTAATTATTCGTCAGGTAGGTATGTAGGTAGTTCTTGCCGTCGAACGAGGCAGCCTGCGCTGGACTCTTGCTGCTTTCAAGTTCCAACCCATGGTGCCCTCAACGAGAGGTGGCTAGGTCCCAACGTTGACCCAGGAAGCGATTCAAGCGAGTCAACAAACACCGGGACGTTTACTAAACGATTTGTCTGACACCAGCACCAAAAAGTCCAGATTATCACGAAGGAACTTGGAAGCTCTTGCCCGTGGAACGAGCGGAGCTAAATTAAAACAACTCGACGTTGACGCCAAAAAAGGAAGGAACGGCCTGGTGACAAGCTGCGAAAGTGCCAATCGCCGGGCCATCTTTCTCCGACTGCCCGTAGGTTATCTCAACCTACCTTACCTACTCAAAACACACCAACCGCGACTCCTTCGCCACGATTTTAGCAAGAGCATTGATACTGCTCGCCCCCCTCAGCACCAACAGCTGCACGTTAGCCCCGAGATAGGCGCCAATCCAACTCCGCAGCTCTACAGCGACAAGCGAGTCGACTCCATAACTATCCAAATTCCTCGTCGCGCTGAGCATTTCGGCGGGCGTTGCCATCAGCTTGCCCAGCTGCTGCAGAATCGCCTCCGATATTATCTCGACGGCTTCCTCCACCTCCTGGGCCGCACCCAGCAGTGTTGCAATATCGGACGTCTCGCCGTCCTGTCGTTGCGCCCCCCCCGCATCACGTCTCGCGAGGTGAGCAAAGAGGGGCTTCCGCATCCAGCTCTCGCCCGACCCGCGTTCGCTGTTTGGTGGCGCCAGACCGCTGATCACACAGCCGCCTCCGAGGGGATGCTTCACCGAGTGGTCTACCACGGTGAGTAGCTCCGCTGCCGACATTTCTCCCATTCCCGTCCGGCGTAGTGCCTCGGCGACCTCTGCGTGTTCGCTGACGTACCCGACATCGCTGACGGGGCAGACGTTGATCGAGTAGCCTGCCCGACCACGCCCGACCCGTTGATGCGCTAACGAGTCCTGGAAGCCGCAACCCGCTGCATAGTTGCACTGCCCGATGTTCCCCCATACGGATACAACTGAGGATAGAATGACGAAGAAGTCGAGGTCCTCGCCGAGGATCGTCTCCAGGTTCACGGTCCCGCGCACTTTCGGCATGAGAGCCAAGTTCCAGTCGTCCTCGGTCATGTGCTCGAATAGTGTGTCCTGGGAAACAGTCAACCATCTAGTGTACTAAAGTGAAGAGTTGGGGAGCATACCTTGAGAACCATAGCGGACTGGACGATTCCGCGGATGGGAGGCATCCCCTCCAGCTCAATCTCTTGTGGTATGCTGGCAACCCGCTCTTCGGATGCTATGTCGCAGGCTTTCCCTACCACACTCACGCCTTTCGCATTCATTTCTTGGATGAACGATTGACTTTCCTGGTCCTTGGCCCCCGAGCGGGACAGTGCGACGATGTATCGCGCGCCGTGGCTTACCATCCACAAAAGGACGGCACGCCCAAGGCCACCGAATCCACCGACGACGGCGTAGGTCGCGTCCGCCTTTAGCCTGGCCGGGATTGGCGCCGGAGGTACTGCCTGTCATGTCTGTTAGCCCCTGTCCTCAGTGCCCTCGGTATCCTTCCTACCTTGACTTGCTGGCTTTGCTCAACCTTGAGGATGACCTTTCCCGTATGCTTACCCCCCTGAATGAGGCGGAAAGCTGTTTCGATTTCGGACATGGGCAGTACTGTCAGGGGCACCGCCCGGATATGGCCGGCAGACGCAAGATCCGCCACCGAGCGAAGTATGTGCCTAGCCAGAGGCTTGTTGTGCTCCATGACCCCCGTCAGCTCCACATAGGCAAAGGTGACGTTCTTGAGTAGGAAGCCCATGGGCATTAGGGCATCGTCCATCAAGTCCTTGCGCCCAATCTCGACGAAGCGGCCAAAATGGGCGACCAAATTGCACGACTCGCGGAACAGTTCTCCACCAAGCGAGTTGAGAACGACGTCCACACCGTAGCCGCCCGTGAGGCGCTTGATCGCCCCGTGGAAGGCAGTCGTTCGACTGGAGAAGATGTGATCCGGGGGGATACCATATGTATTCTGCAGCAGCTCACGCTTGGCAGAATTGCCGACCGTGACGAAGACTTCGGCCCCGAGGTGCTGGGCTAGCATGATGGCAGCCTGCCCAACGGCGCCCGCGGCGGAGTGGATAAGAAGTTTGTCCCCACGCTTCAGCCGGCCAAGTTCCACCAGCGAATAATACACTGTTGACCACACGATGGGTAGAGAAGCTCCCTCCTCAAAGGACATGGAATCAGGGAGCACTTGGCAGCAGTCGCCGTGCACAACTGGGTAGTTCGTATACGACCGCGAATAGAGAGCGCAAACGCGGTCTCCTGGCTTGAACCTCCCGAGCATATTGGCTCCCACCTCGACAACAACGCCGCTGCAGTCGTTTCGCATTTCGGTGATGCCCTCCAGTTGGCCGGCCGCGATGAGGACATCTTTGAAGTTGACGCTTGCTGCCCTCAGCTCAATCTTGATGTCATCGGCGCCAACTGATGGTGCGTCCTTGTCATCCTTCCAGCGGAAGGTTTCCATCAAACCCGGCACGCCTAACTCTGCTGCTAGGGTGCGGCCGTTGTGCAAAAATGGCGTCAGCTCGGGCTCCGCCAAGTGACCGCTACGGTAGATGTGATCCGTTATCTCGGGTCGCGATACAAGGCGGGGGACAAAGAGTTGACCGTCTCTCTCGGCAAACTCGTTCTCGACATCGGGACCCTCCTCGCCGAGATTGAACGTTGGGCAGCCCAGTAGGGTTGGGAGAATCTCGGAAAGCTTCTCTGCCATGGGAACGCGGGCATGTTGCAGCTGCAAGGTGACGATGCGGATTTCGGGATGCTCTAAGCGGAGACAGCGCGCAAATCCGAGCCAGAGCCCGGCGACCCCGGGGTCAGTCGCGTCTGCGCCGCTCTCCTGGCTCACGAGCACCACAGCTCTTGCGCTGAGCACCCAGCTCTTGAATCCCCGCCAAGAATTTGCGTCAACGTTCTCACGGAGCAGAGTACCAACTTCTGGGAGAACCACGACAATACCACCCCCAAGCGGCGGCGCACCGAGTTCCTGGACGGAAAGCGTCACCGGGCCAAGCCGGGCCTCGTTTTGCGACAACAGCAAAGTCGTCTTGCCCAATGCTGCCTCTGCAGCTTGCTGCCCTTCTCTGGTGGCGAGCAAGCGGATTGGTGGGAGTGGCTCAGTCCTGGGCGGTAGCGGGTTGCTGGCGATGAAGACCGTCATGGTGCCGCCTTCTTGTTCTGGATAATCCTCGAAGCAGGGTTCGACTTCGGCAAACCCAGCGTTCTTGAGGTTGTTTACCCACTCCGCACGTTCAAGCACTGGCGACCGCCGGCGGCCCTCGTCATAACCCGCCCACCAGCCTTCAAACACACCGAAGATGATGTTATAAAACGCTTGGTAACTGGTAATCTCCATGAGGATTAACCTGCCACCAGGTTTGAGAAGTGATCGGACATTCTCCAGCATCTCATTGATTCGGCGCGTCGCGTGGACGTTGCTGGCCAAGATGAGATCGTAACTGGCCTCCTCAAAGCCCTGCTCCCGCGGGTTATTCCCGATGTTTAGAATCTTGAAGTCGACGGAGTCTGACATGTTCCCCAGGCGCTGCTTCGCATTCTCGAAGGATGTGGAGGTCAGATCGGTGAAGTCATAGCGGCCAACGCGGCCGTGCAACGCACCCAAAACCGGAACGGTGGTGGATGCGGTGCCAGCTCCGATCTCGAGAACGCGCAGCCCAGGTTTCTGCAGGCCCAACTCCTTGCACCACGCTGCGATTTGCAAGTTGCAGCGCATGCGGCGATCGTCAGCATACAACCGGGACAAGAGGTTTCCCGGCATTAGCACACCCAGCGGGTCCGTCTTTTGATTGAGGATCTCGCCGAGGCACGGTCCCATGCGCAAAATAGCCTCGCCAAAGGCCCCCATGCTGCTACCGTCCTCGGTGGCGATAAGCGATGCGTCGTATTCTTCGTTGGCGAGCATCTGCATCCACTCAAACAGCCGGCGCAAATAGCTGCCTTCGGGAATGTCCTCCATCGACAGCTCCCTGAGAGCCCTTTGCACGTGATGGATACTCAGGGCCTGGAGAATGCGATTGCGAGTTGCGACCGATTCTGCTGGTACCGCCGATTTGCAAATGCGCTCGAGGTGCTGCGGCGTCCAGGTTTGGGAATATGTGATCCATTCTGTGTCGTAGCAGAGCTCTCGTTTCGCCCGACCAGCACCGACATCACCTGGTAAGGCGGTGAGTTGGACGCCTTCAGCGTGCAGGATCATCTCATCTCCAGTCAGTTCATCGCCCTCGCGGCAGACGAAAACGTCGTATGTTGGGCCGTTCTCGGCCCTCGTGGATGCCGCCACAAGTTCTCCGCTGGCCTTTGTGTGCGAAATGCGCATCCGGAGTTGTTTTATGAAGGTCGGAACGGGGGCAGAACTACCGTCTTCCATAGCGATGACGCAGAGACCCTGGAACAAGATGGAGTCCAATGCGGCAGGATGAATAATGTCTCCCAGACCACCAGGCTCCAACTGGTCAGTTGGTGTAAGAGCAATGGCCACGCATGCACCGGGGCCAGTTTTCATACTGGACAGGTTGTTGAACGGAGCCTGCCAGTCGAGGCCAACCTCGCGGGCGTGGGCGTAAAAATGGGATGTCGACGTTTCACGGCCGCACTGCTCCGCAACGCGCGCGATTTGCTCCTGCGCCGCACTCCATTCGACCTCGCTTTGCTCCTTGTCTTGTTTTGTCTCGGCGTGGACGAGACCTCGGCAATGCTCCGTCCACTGTCCGGTCCGCGCTATGCTAAAAATGCGGAACTCGTTCCAGAGGCTGGATGACTCGCGCGCAGTCCGCGCCTGCGGCCGAAGCGAAAGCGCAATTTCCACGTTCGCCTCATCCTCCGACAGGACAAGGGCTTTGCCGATATTGATGTTGCGGAGCACAATGGCTTCGACGTAAGCTGTGGGAGACATTGCTCTAGAGTGCTGTCGCGCCGCCTGCACCGCCATAGTCAGGAACCCTGCTCCGGGAAACACGATTTGCCCCTGTACAATGTGCTTTCGCAGCCATGGGATTTCCTTCAAGTTGAGGAATCGCCGCCAGCGAGGTTCGACGTGGTTGACATCTATCGAGAGCGTGCCGAGGAGCTCATGCGGAAGATGGGGTCGTGCTTGGTAATCTCTCGACAGGCGGCTGTCATGCCAAAATCTGCGGCTGTGGTCGAACGGGTACGGTGGAAGATCAGGGAGCAGTGCGGGAGTCCCGGGGTGGTGACCGTTGTCACTATCGTTCAAGGCCTCGGCCGTCACTGGTGACCCCTGGATGCACAAGAATCCAAGACAACGCAGCAGAGACTCCTCGGCGTCGCTACCCCTTTTCAGCGTATGCGTGTAAGCCACCTCCCCGAACCCCTTGGAGCGAGCTTTGAGGATTTGCTTCACCGGACCTCCCAGTTGCGAGTGGGACCCAACCTCGACGATGGTGTCAATCGGCTCGCCGTCATACCGCTCTTCGCTCATGAGCTTGACGGCCTGTGAGAAGAGAACTGGGCTCAGCAGATTTTGCACCCAATATTCACCACCGAGTTCTGTTTCGTTTCCAACATCCTGGCCAGTTACCGAGCTAAACATGCGCACCGTCGATAGGCCTGCCGGGAAAGGCTTTAGGGCTCCCAGGCGCGTGGCGTATTCGCTCGCCAGAGCCTCCATTTGGTGGGAGTGGTAGGCGGCGCCGTTGGTCATGAGTTTGCGGTTGAAGATCCCCTCGGCTTCAAGCGCCCCTGCCAGTTGTTCGACCGCCGCGGCGTCTCCGGAGACAGTTACGCTAGCCGGGCTGTTGATGCAGGCAACTCTCATGCGCCCATACTGCTCGCCCACTTTGGAGATGTGTTGTTCTGTCGTCGTGGCCGAGGCGCCCACGGCAATCATGGCACCGCCGCTGATACCATTGCGTTGATTCTCCGCTATCAGCTCCCCGGTCAACTTGCCGCGAAAGTACGCGGCCGTCATCGCGTCTTCGAAAGACATAAGCCCGGCGGCGTAAGCGGCGGCGATTTCGCCACTTGAATGCCCAACGACGCTCGCTGGCAAAATATTGAATTCGGCCAGCAGATCGACAAGCGCCATCTGGACCGCCGTCGAGAGGGGTTGGGCATAGGCGGGTTCGTTGATGTGTGACTCGGCTTTTGGGCGGCACAACTCACTCACCAGATCCCACGTGCAGCCCAGGTGGGAGAGGTGTGAGCGAGCGCGTTCCAGAGCCCTGAAAAAGACCGGCCGGCTTTGGAGTAGCTGACGGCCCATCTCAGCGTACTGTGCTCCTTGGCCGCTGAAGATGAAGGCGATTCGGCTGCTCTTCTTCGTCTCTCGAGGGGGGACAGGGCCAGAGGAGGCCATCATCAACTGCGACACCAGGTTGCCCATGTCGCATGCAACAAGAGCCACACGATGAGGAAGCATCGTGTGCTTGCTCAGCGTGTATGACAACCGGGATAGCAGTACATCCTGTTCGGATCCCAGTGTATGTGGTTGTCTCGCCACGAGATACCTGGCGACCCTCGTGCACATTTTCTGGCATGAGCTCTGGTTAGCCGCGCTAAGGATGAAGACCCGGGGGGTCCGCGCCGTGCTCCCCCAGGACAACGTTCGTCGTAGTGGTGGTGTGACGATATGCATGTGGTCAGCGGCCGCGTCCAAGACCACATGAGCGTTGGTGCCGCCGTAGCCAAAACTGTTGACCGAGATTCTGCGCAAGTTCCGCGGTTCTGCCAGTAGGGGTATCTAGACTCGCCGTCAGCAAAGGTTTCAACTAATACGGCGCACAGATGAAACCTACACGCAAATTCCACTCGTCGAGCAAAATCTCCGGGTTCACGTTCTCAAAGTTCACCTGAGGCGGGATCATTCCCTTCTCGAGCATGAGGACGGACTTGATCAGTCCGGCAAGGCCTGCCGCTCCCTCGAGATGGCCAATATTGCCTTTGACGGAGCCTATTGGCAGCTTCCGTCTGGACGCCCGGCCGCGCGACAACACAGATGCGATGGCACCGACTTCGATTGGGTCCCCGACCTTGGTGCCTGTGCCATGGGCTTCGACGTAATCGGCGAAGGGTTCAAGATGAGCCTGCTGATAAGCTTTTAGGATGGCTTCGCGCTGAGCCGCCCCGCTGGGTAGCGTGATACCCTGCGTACGCCCATCCTGGTTGAGCACCGAACTGCGTATCACGGCTCGCACATTGTCGCCGTCCCGCAACGCTGCAGATAGCGGCTTGAGCATGACGCCGGTGCACCCTTCACCTCGTCCATAGCCGTTGGCGCGCGAGTCGAAAGAGAATGATCGCCCTTCACTCGAAAACATCTTGAGGCGGCTCTGGTAATGGAAGCGCTGTGGATCTAGCAGCAGGTTGACACCGCCCACGAAGCATTGTGCTGTCTCGCCGAGACGTAAGCTTTGCACGGCCTGGTGCAGGGCCACAAAGCTCGAGGAGCAGCCCGTGTCGACGGTGAAGCTCGGTCCGCGCAGGTTGAAGCAGTAAGAGATGCGGTTGGACGCGATGGCCGGACCCGTGCCGGTGACGAGATACAAGGGGGGGTTTTCGGTGTCGCGAGCCATCATCTCGTGATAGTCCGAACTCCACTGGCCGACGAAGACACCCGTGTTGGAGCCCCAGAGAGAATCTCGGCTCAAGCCGGCATTTTCAAACGACTCATACGCGACCTCGAGGAGCAACCTCTGTTGTGGATCCATAGCCTGTGTCGAACGTTAGCCCGAGTTCAGCATCGGCGAGCAGTGAAGGGCTAGAGTCACTCACGACTGCCTCGACAGGATTGATACCAAAGAATCCCGCGTCAAACGCGGCGACATCCTCCTTCAGCCAGTGTCCGCCGCCTGCATTTGTCTTGGGAAACCAGGCAGGTTAGTAACGCGGTGCCACAACCGAGCGGAGCCTGGGAACACTCACGGTTGAACTCTTGTTGCCGGTCGGATCTTGAAAAGCCGGCATGTTGAACCGCTTCCCCGGCCCCGGCGTCCACGCCGAGCGCCCCGACACCAACATGTCCCAGAAGGAGGAGGTGTCATTCGCACTTCCCGGCAAACGACAGCTCATGCCAATGATGGCAATGGGTTCAACGGGCCCATGGCCCATCGATTCGCTCGAGCTCCCCTCATGGTTTCTGCTAAGAATGGACCACGGTGTCGATGCCTGACTCTCTCCTGTCTCGCTACCGGCCCTTGTGGGCGCTGATTGTTCTCTTTCAACGAGCATAATGTGAGTGACACCTGTCGCGGCTTACTGTGCAAACTGTGTGGTTGTTTTAGGAAACTAACGGTGTCGTCCAAGTTTGCTGAGGGGAAGTCGGGGTGGATAGTTGAAGAAGAATGGCCGCTTCGACAACACCGCACGTTCACACGGGTTCCAGGTCAACACATATTGTGGAGGACTCCAGCCTTCACCCTCATGAATGGTTGCTGTTGTAATCATCCGGGGTTATTATTGGGACTTGTTGACACATCTCACGAGTTCACCGCTAAACGTACTCAACTCATCATTGGGACTTGCAGATACATTTCAGGAGTTCACCGCTAAACTTACCCAACACTTGGTTAGGCAGCTGCACATCCCCCGTTGCTGGCGATCGTTCCTTGGCTTGAGATGAACGTCACGAAGAGCGGCGATATGCTAACTCGGCCAAGGGATTGATCGAAGTTCAGCTCGGTAATCGCCAGCCACACGGGTGCAGATCCTCCTACCCCTGAAGAAAACTTGTTCAAATCGGAACATCATATCTGAAACATGACCGATCGGCCGGCCCGCCGGCCAGCCTATCACGCCGCCAAAGAGAGCGAGTGACACGCTCCCACGCTTCCGTTGCAGAGTTAGCGAAAATAATCGCGTCCCTTGTTGATTCGGCAAGGTACTAAGTAGTGACTTTTAGTCTTACTCCGGAAGACGATAGCCGCCCCAGTAACAAAACCAACTTTTGCAGCTTTCAAGCGGATCATGTTACTGAGCCGGCTCTCGTCTTCCGTACTTACGTGGGGGGTGTTGAAGAAACGGAGCTGTTTGTAAACTCCCAGGACTTTGTTGGAACCGCCTTTCCCAAATCACTTTCCGATTTACCCAACTCACTTTGTCGTCATCTCATCGCATCTTCTCTTCAGCACCGGGCAACGATGGAGGAGGCTACAGTGAAGCTTAGCGTGCCAGTTGGCGAGGAGGTCATCCACCTCTCAGCTCTAGACCAGCAGGCTCAACGGCACTACGCGAAGCCAATGCTGTTCTTCAAGTTCAACCACGAGGGGATAAACGATCCCATCATCGGCCACCTCAGAAAAGGCTTGTCCGTCGCCCTGAGCGAGACGCCTGACTTTGCGTCAACCATTGCACCCGTCCCCGGTTCGACCAGGAAGGAGCTTCAGCTAGGGCTGAACCCGGAATCCGGGGCGTCATGGAGAGTCGTCGACCATACCGCCGAGGTAAACAAGGACGCTTGGGTATATGGGACCTTTGATGAACTCGCGGCGAAGCACTTTTCCCTCACGGACATCCCTCTCAAACGCCTGGTGAATCCGGCATTCGTCAACATCTCTGAGGATCTGAGGGAGCTCCCGTCTTTCGGCATCCAGCTGAACTTGATCGAGGGCGGCGTTATCTTAGTCGCTAGCTGGCACCACACCGTCTCCGACGCACGGGGGTTCAACGTTCTGCTTAGCTCATGGGCACGCCGCACAAAAGAGTCAATACTGCGTGGCGAGCCCGACGAGCCCATCATCCCGGCGGAGGAGACACGCGGTCGCTGGCGCCTCGATTACGGCATGACCAACGCAACCATCGCCCAGGTTCCCGAGTACGCCATCGATGCCAACGCGCGGTCTCCACGCTCGGCTACGTCACTGCATCTGCTCGACCGCGAGGACCCCCTGGGCGCGCCGTTCCAGGTCAGCACCTGGTACATCAGCGCCGCACATGTCCAGGCTTTGCGCGATAGGCTAGGAGCAGCGGCCGACTCGGGCGGTTTCACGGCCGTCGAAGCCATCAGCGCCCTTTTCTGGAAGCATGTGAGCCGGGCCCGCCGTCTCCTCGACAACAACGAGGGGGGCACATCATTGTTCACCACGCGTCTCGAGTTCCGCGCCCGTTTAATCCCCCCTCTGAGCGGCGACTACATCGGAAACATCTGTGAGCCCAATGCTCACGCGCGGGTACCACTCTCTGAGCTCTGCTCACCTGCCACTAGGGCTTCCCTGGCAACACTTGCGTCCGCCATCCGCGCCGCCACCGAGGCTGTTGACGATGGCGCAGTGCGTACCTACATCGGTCTTATCAACACGCTTCCCGCGGTCACCGACCTTACGTGGAAGTATGACGGCTTCCCGGGTCCCGACTTTGGCGTCACTGATTTGTCTGGCTTGGATGTTCGTCGCACGGACTGGGGCCCGGGGCTGGGCTCCCCGGTCTGTCTTCGCTTGGCATATCGCGAGGGAGGGCTTCTGTACCTGTTCCCTGGTGATGCGCAGGGTGGATTGGAGGTCCAGGCACTTTGTGAACCGGACGCGTTAGAGAGGTTGAAGGTTGATGAGGAAATGGTCAAGTATGCTACCTTTAGGGGCTAGCCCAGCATCGGGAATCCATACTGTCCAAAGTTTCCTGGATTGATGGTACGGAATCCTTGACAGGGGCCACGGATTTTGAAGATCGGTGCACGTAATAATTAGTAGAACTCGAAAAGATACGCTTCCTTGATTTGTTTTGTTTTCCCAACCGTTCGTCCTTCCTGGTTTCAAGTCACCCGATAATGAATGCATGGAATCTGTAGCAGCGCCTCGTCCAGATTCGAATGGTTGCAGAATGCCACAAATGTATCTTGAATTATATGATATTAACGCAACGTCGTGGCGATATTTCGTAGCAAGGGCAGGGTACAGCTGTAAACGCACAAAGAGCTATCATCCGGCTACACATTTGTCCTAACAATTTATTTCCACAAACCATGATTTAACCCAGTTGTCCCTTAACGAAACCATGGCATCTGACTACCCGTTATTCTCAGTTTTCAGCGTAGTGCCAGAGTGGGCTTGGGTAAGGGCCGCGAGCTCAGCCCGAGAGTCACGACTCTGTCAAGCATCCTGACAAGAGTCCATTCATGCAAAGGGCTTCAAGTTCAGAGGTTGGTGCGCAATGAGCTTAGTTGGCCTCAAGGTCCTTGGCCCTCCTTAACTGTTGTTGCGGATGCCCTGGGCCTTCCAACCTTTGAAGAACCCTCAAGATGGCTCCTGGTTCTAGAAGCTACGCCTCGTGATGATGCCGCGGACCGGGTGCTCCGCCCCGCGACTCGGCTTTGTGTGACAGGTAATGTGAGTGAGAATTGTTAGGCGCAAACTCACCCACGTTTAATGGTACAGGGGGGCTTTTGATGAGGTTAGGGCGCCGAAAACATTCAGCTGTAGTTAAGACAGGTCTCGGATCGTGGTAATGCTATCTGGATATCACACTAGTATCCGCAAAGAGTACAGATCTGTACATGTAGTAAAACTGGAACAAAGCTGAATCTAGCCCCTAGCCACAATTGCGTCCGCACAATCGATCGCCGTGATGCGCGGGTTGTCATCGTGTTGTGGGGTCTTGGGCCGGCCTCTTGAACCCTGACGGATGGATTACTAGGATGCTGACTCGCTGAGCACATCCATCCCATCAATGAAAGAAGGGGGCGGAAGAGATCCTGAGCTTGGCGAGCCTCGCAGCCTTGGCTAGACGGTCTCGGCCATGGTTGTCCATCTTGGACTCTTGGTGCTTGACTACATTTGTACGCGACATGGATGGACGAGTCACTCGACCCCCTCCCCCATTCGCTCGGGTATTTTGGCGCCACCCCCGGCGGGAGAGGTGGAGCAAACCTAAAGGACCCCTGACCACCAAGCAGGGAGCTCAGGTCTCAGGTCTCACTGTCTCAGTTACTGTGTATGTACATTCTGGTCGGAACGTTCCGCCTTGTCGAGCCTGTCCCCAGTCAACTCCTTCGTACGAATACAGACCGCTCCACTGTTGCAGCCAAGCGAACCACGAGGGCCGGTAGGCGGCAGGGGGTCGCATTCCGGGATGGGAGCCAGCAGACGCTGTGGAGACAGCTGCGCCCAAGCTGTGTACTTGCGGGTACAAGAGAGCAGGTACCCCTACGAAGCGCCGATCGGGAGATCGCCTGTGTAGCCGAGGACAGGACAGCACATCCATAACGATGGTCCGATGCCCCCTTGCCCCTGTTCCTTTCCAGCTGCTGTACGAAGTAGGAAATGCGCGGAACCCACTCCTCACATACCGCGGGAAGCGCGACGATCCACCTCACCGCCGCGGGCTCGGCCCGTGTTGGATCGAGGGACTTGGAGTGGGTTGCGGTTAGGCTAGCTAGTCCGAGAAATGGCGATACGCGCAGCCTCCAGCCTGTCGTGTCTCCCTCGTGTGTTTGATGCGGTTGATGGGGCGTTGATAATTTGATTCCAACTCCCCATCTTTGATTGTTGGCTCATGTGCCGGTGCTTTAAGCAGTGGTATTACTACCTCTTGGCTGGCATCGCGAGGACGCACTTGCGCGCTGCATCTACACACACATCGATAAACAGTCTACAGTCGCCGCGCCTACATATTCCTCAGGTACGCTGTAGCACCAAGCCGATCGGATCGCGTTGCCGGGGATGATAGCTAATACACAGATACGCAGAAGATTCCTTGCCGTGACGCTGACAATGACTCCGCTCATCACAGCACCCGGACCGGCAATGGCTACAGCCGACGCAGCATCCGACCTCCCCGTGGGTATCGAACAAATCGAGGAGCACATCCACAAGCTCTGCGCCGAGGTGCTCTCTCGACCGGTCGCCAGGATCAAGCTTGCGCGGTCCTTTGTTGCTCAAGGCGGCGACTCGCTGCTTGCCATCAAGCTGATGGCACGGTGCCAGGACTCCGGATACATTATCAACATCCAAGACCTGCTTCAGGCCACTAGCATCCGGGAGTTTTGTCAGCATGTGAAACCAGAGGTGGCGGCGCTGCCCGTGCCAAATATCGCGAATGGTAGCGAGTCGGCCCTGTCAAACGGCCAGGCTGGGCGGCCGAAAACGAAGCTGTTGGATGAGCGCAATGGAGCCCGCGCTGACGGTGCCGGCCTACCAGATCCTGCAGATATGGTGGGCGTGGTTGGTAAAGGGCAAAAGACGGAGGGACGCAAAGCTGGGACGGAGGAGGAGTCCAAAGGGTGTGGGGATGCTGAAAGCGACGTGCCACCATTTGCCCTCTGGAAGGAGGCTCAGCTTGGTCAAGGAGGTGGCAGCTCTTCCTCATCGACGCTACAGGACCAACTGCGTCTGGTCGCGGATCAGTGCGGAATCTCCGTTGACGTGATCGAAGACGTCTACCCTTGCACCCCGCTCCAAGAAGGGTTAATGGCCGTCACGGCCCAACAGCCTGGGGCGTACGTGAACCGCTGGGTGTACCGCATGCCCCGGGACCTCGACGCCGAGCGGTTTAAGCAATCTTGGGTGCTAGTCGCACGCGCGGCGCCTCTGCTAAGAACGCGGCTTGTGCTGGGAGAGCTCGGCAGGGCGCTGCAAGTGGTTGTGCGCCAGGACATACAGTGGTTTTCCGGTGCCGACCTTGACCAATACCTTGCTGAAGACGACGCGTGCTTGATAGGCTACGGGTCGCCGCTGGTTCGCCTCGCCATCATCGGCAGCCCAGGGGATGAGCAGTACGTCGTCTTCACTGCGCACCACAGCGCCTACGACGGTTGGAGCTGGACGAAACTCTTCGAGGTTGCCACCCGCACATACCTTGGACAAAGTACCAGTATCCCGGCCTCGCCGCCATTCACTAGATTTATCCGATATCTCGGGGACTGTGACAGAGCGTTGGCCGAGTCCTTCTGGCGGTCAGAACTCGGGGGGGAAGTTGGTAGCCCATTTCCTCCCCGGCGGGATCCGTTGTATCGCCCCAATCCCACCCAAAGAATGGTGTATGAGCTCAAGGTGCCGCCGGCACCCGCCTGCATCACCATGGCCGGCCTCCTGCGAGCAGCATGGGCGCTAGTTGTCTCCTCGCATACAGGCGATGATGACGTTGTCTTTGCGTCTGTTCTCACTGGGCGAACGACGCCCGTTAGGGGCATATCTGACATGCTGGCGCCGGTGATCGCGACGGTGCCAGTCCGGGTCCGCATCGATAGAACGCAGCCAGTGGCCGACTACATGGCTTCGGTTCAGCAGCAGGCGGTGTCCATGATGCCCTTTGGTACGTATCCCTCCGACGCATCCAGGAACGGTGCGCGTGCTGGCCCGGGTTCGCGTGTCAGCCCTGTCATCTTCCGGGGCGATCGCTGACACATCCGACAGAGCACACTGGGCTGCAGAACATTTACCGGCATATCGGCGCCAGGCCGGACATTGCCCATTTCTTCGGCGTGCAGCCCGCCGGGCTCCTGACGAGTCACACAACGGCGCCTCCGCTCGGTCTCGAGCTCCATATCGCACCAAGCTCGGGGACAGACGACTATGCGCTCTCGGTAGAGTGCATCACCGAGCTAAGCAATGACGCCGCCGCGGTGCAGGTCAGCGTCCGATTCGACGACACCATGGTCTCGAGAGCACTGCTGGAGCGTCTTCTCGGTCGCTTCGCCCACATTCTGGTCAGCCTCACCCATGTCTTCGAAAAGGATGGACTCGTTGGCGACCTCAGCATGTTGAGCCCTGACGAGGTAACGCAACTGGGGAAATGGAATGGGCAGATGCCGGAAAAGAAACAGGCTCTCGTTCACGATCTAGTCAGGGAAGCAGGACTCGTTCGTTCTGAACGACAAGCAGTGTGTTCCTGGGACGGAAACCTCTCCCACGGAGACCTGGATTCCCTCGCCGAAAGGCTGGCGCACCATTTGGTCGGCCTCGGCGTTGGACCCGAGGTTGCCGTCCTGGTCTGCTTCGACAAGTCGAAATGGGTCGTCGTAGCCATGCTCGCCATTCTCAAGGCCGGCGGAGTAGTGGTCCCAATCGCCGCCGAGCCAGTTCAGCGGGCGCAGGCTGTGATCCATGACACTGAATCTCGAGTACTACTAACCACGCACCAATATGCATCCCGCTTTCCCGGGGTGGCTCACAACTTGGTAGTGGACGATGACTTGCTCGCCTCATTGCCCAACTCTCCGGGACCCGTCAACGGCAGAGCCAGTCCAAGCAACGCCGGTTTTATCATTTATACGTCGGGCTCTACCGGGACCCCCAAGGGCGTGGTCCTGGAGCACGCCAGCATGTCCACCAGCATGCAGATCCACGGTAAGCGGTTCGACATGGGTCCTGAGACGCGCATGCTCCAGTTCTCTAGCTTCACTTTTGACGTGTCCCTCCAAGACATCTTCACGACGCTTCAGTTCGGTGGATGCGTGTGTATCCCGTCAGAGGAGGAACGGGTGAACGACCTCGCCGGTGCCATTCGAAGGTTGCGTGTCACCTTCGCCTTCTTAACCCCCCGAGTTCTCCCCACCTTCAACCCATCCGATGTCCCTGGCCTACAACATCTAGCGGTTATCGGAGAAGCCTTGCAACCCGCGCATCTCAAACCCTGGATACATCGACTGCGCTTCACAAATGCCTATGGCCCAGCCGAGTGTTGTATTGTATCGACCTCTCACGAGCCCGTCAACATTACCCAGGCGAGCAACATCGGCCACGCGGTCGCGGTGGGTCTCTGGGTCGTGGACAAAAGCAACCCGAATCGCCTGCTTCCAATCGGTTCGGTCGGAGAGTTGCTCCTCGAGGGACCACTCCTTGCACGGGGGTATCTCAACGACCCAGAAAAGACCTCAGCCGCCTTCATCAAAAACCCCGACTGGCTAGCCCAACACGGGTTCAACGATGACTCTGGCCCTGCGCGCCGTTTCTACCGAACCGGAGATCTGGTAAAGCAGAATGATGACGGATCCCTCACGTACGTCGGCAGGCGAGACAGCCAGGTCAAGATCCGCGGTCAACGAGTCGAGATGGGGGAAGTCGAGCTCCATCTAAACTCTCACCAGTCGGTCGACGACGCGGCCGTGTTCGTTCCAAACCAGGGCCCGGCAAAGTCTAGCCTCGTCGCGCTGTTGACCTTCAAGGAACTGATAGACCCGGCAGCTCGAGAGCTACAGTCGACAACGCCGGATCAAGCCCAGATTGCAACCTCCCTAACTTCCCCCGTCCGGGAACAACTCCTTGAACACCTCCCCTCGTACATGGTTCCTACCACCTGGATATCATTGCGCTTCATGCCTCAGAATAGCTCTCGCAAGATCGATCGCCCCAGGCTAGTGAAGTGGCTCGAAGCGATCACTGCGGACGACCTCGAGCGCATGGCCCTAGTCGAGGAAGTAGATGCCCCAACCGTAGCTTCCAACACACAGGAACAGCAACTACAAGCCGTGCTAGTCGACGTCCTTGGGCTGCCGGTGGGCAAGGTCGTCATGAACCGGTCGTTTCTCAGTCTAGGCGGCGACTCCATCAGCGCAATGCAGGTGGTAGCCCAATGCCGCAGCCGGCATGGCACCACCCTCACCGTTCGAGATGTGCTGCAGAGCACGTCGATTGCTCAAATCGCCTCGCGGGCTGCCGCAGGTGCTGCCACCGGCCACGTGCAGGATGCTGCTCCTCACAAGCCATTGAAGGTCCTCCTTGAGCAGTTCACTACTTCTCCAGTATTATTCCCGGAGACAAGCGATCTCTCCTCGGCCGGCCTGACGTATGATGGCTTGGCTCAGCTCTGGGCTTCCGTGTCGGAAGCAGGGATCACAAGCCTGGACGAGGTACATGATGTGCACCCCTGCGCACCTACCCAACAAGGCATCATGATGAGCCAAATCAGGGATCCCACGATGTACAACATTGAGCACATTTGCGAACTCCAGGTGCCCGAGGCAAGCGGTCGGGTGGATATAAACAAACTCTCGCAGGCCTGGCAGGCTGTCGTCAACCGCCACGCGATCCTACGAACGATCTTTGTCCAGGCCACCACCGGCCAGGAACATTTGTTCTACCAGGTGGTTCTGAAGAAATGCACTCCACAAGTGCGCCTCATCGAAGAAAAGGGGGCCGCCGGCACCATCGCAGCCCTTTCTCGGGTTGAGCAGGCTGCATACGTGAAGGGGAAACCAAGCCATTGTCTGACTCTCTGCGCGACCGAGTCGGGTGCGGTGTTCGCGAAGTTGGAGATCAGCCATGCTCTCGTGGATGGTGTCTCGCTCGAATTAGTGCTCCGTGATGTCGCCCGCGCGTACAAGGGCGCTCTTCCGGGCTCGGCTGGCCCTCAATTCGGGAGCTATGTTCAGTTTCTACGGGAGAAGCGAGAGTCAGAGTCGTTGGCTTACTGGACTCATCGTCTTGCCGATGCCCAGCCGTGCTATCTCCCGTCGTCGATCGCTCTACCGCCCGGGACAAGGTCGCTGAAGTCGGTGACAGTGCAAATCGGGGATGCCATTAACATCCTCCACGGCTTTCGCGACGCCCAACGTGTGACCATAGCCAACATGGTGCAGCTGGCGTGGGGGATCGTCTTGGCCCGGTACACAGGATCCAGAGACAGTATCTTTGGTTACGTGACCAATGGAAGAGATGCACCGGTGAGTCCTCCGTTTCTTGACTCCGGGACCCCGCTGCTTTTGGACCTTTTACTGACGCTTCGACTACTAGATCCCTGGCTCTAACGAGATTGTCGGCCCCATGGTTAACATCATGGTCTCACGCATTCACCTCGGTAACCTACCGGCGACGGTTGCTCACGCCGCACAGAAGGTGCAGAACGACTTTCTCGACGCATTCGAGAACCAGAGAACCTCGCTGGGAAGCATCCAACACGCGCTCCGTCTGCCGGGGCGGAGCCTCTTCAACACAGTCGTGTCGCTCTTTCGTCAATCTTCAGAGCATGCCCCAACGTCTTCCGCCGATCTGGTCATAAGGAACATCACATCGGAAGGACCCACTGAGTATGACGCGAATCTTATGGTCTTGGCCGGCGACGATACCATGGCGCTCTCTCTCAAGTACTCTGGATCCTTCATGGATGAGGAATCCGCCAGGCTCGTGCTAGAGAATACCCGGCACACCTTAATTGCGATCGCCAGCAGTTCTGAGAGCAAGCTAGACGAGCTAGAGACTCTGAGTCCTTCTGACGTTGAGAAGCTCCTCAAATGGAAGCCTGATCTCCCACTCGCCACTGGCCAAGATTGCCTCCACCAGCGCATTCACCAGCAGCGCCTCGCCCGGCCCGACGGCCAAGCAGTGTGCGCATGGGACGGCGAGCTGACCTATGCCGAGCTCGACGCCTTCTCCGATCGGCTGGCGTGCCATCTCGACGGGCTTGGAATCCGCGAGGAGACTATTGTCGGTCTTTGCTTCGAAAAGTCCATGTGGACAATCGTCGCGATGCTGGCCGTCCTCAAGGCCGGCGGCGTAATCGTGCCTCTGGGAACCGCGCTCCCCCCGCAACGTCTACGGTTCATCCTCGAAAACACCAAGGCGGCCGTCGTGTTGACTTCAGCGCAATGCGCTGCCAAATTTGAGCATATGGAAATGGCACATAAACATACTGTCGACGCCACTTTGTTCACAGTGCTGCCAGACGTCGTTGGGCCGCCAGCTCGGCCGTCTCTCACCCCGGACAATACAGCCTTTGTCTTGTACACTTCAGGCTCCACTGGCCTCCCTAAAGGCGTAGTTCTCACACATGCCTCCCTCAGCACCAGCCTAGACGCCCACGGGGCCAAGCTTGGGTTCAGTACCAGCACCAGGGCGCTCCAGTATTCTGCATACGTATTTGACCTCAGCCTTTTGGAACTTTTGGGGACTCTCCGGTTCGGCGGGTGCATCTGCACAGTCTCGGGGGAGGACAGGCTGAGTCCCAACCTCCTGGCCCATTCCATGACGACAATGGGGGTGAACTTTGCTTCCACGACACCTACCGTCGCCAGCATTCTCGATCCGTCAACCGTCCCCACCCTGCGCACCCTGATGCTAGGAGGAGAGCCGCTCGAGCCCACCACCGTGGAAAGGTGGTCGGGCCATGATGTCGTTCTCTATAATTGTTACGGACCGACCGAATGCAGCATCATGTCCACCATAAACGGCCCGGTCACAGACCCGAATCTTTCCCGCAACGTGGGCTATCCGGTCGTCGCGAATGTGTGGGTGGCTGACCAAGACAACCACAACCACTTGGTACCCATCGGTGCGGCCGGAGAACTGTTGATCGAAGGCCCTGTTGTGGCCCGCGGATACCTCCACGACCCAGAAAAGACTGCAGCGGGTTTCATCACCGATCCGGAGTTTGCTTCCAGATACGAATCCGCACCTCCGGATGGACGCACCCAGCGGCGGATGTACCGGACTGGCGACTTGGTCAGACAAAGCCCTACTGACGGCTCCCTTACCTACGTTGGGCGAAGAGATGGACAGGTCAAGATCCGCGGCCAGAGACTGGAGGTGGGCGAGATCGAGCATTGGGCGAAGGGATCCTTTGCCCAGGCGCGGATGGTGGCGGCTGATCTCATTGCGCCAGCCGCGCGTAAGGGGGCGCCCGTGTTGGCCCTCGCCTTGGAGCTGGACATCCCATGCCAGGGCACGCCCGACGGCACCTCGCCACTCCTACCACTGACACATTCTCTACGCCGCTCGCTCTCGGCACTCCAAGACGCTCTTGAACAAGTGCTTCCTTCTTTCATGGTTCCCGCATTGTACGTTCCGGTGCAGTCGATGCCGTTGACGGTTTCCGGGAAGCTCGACCGAGGCCGGCTGCGTGCCGTCCTCAACTCCCTTGGGGAGGACCAACTTTCACAGTACTCCTTGATTGGCGCCTCCGGCCCTTCTGCGAGGGCCTTGACCACCTCGGAATCCCGCCTGCGGGACCTTTGGGTCTCCGCTCTGAGTAGCGCCGGAGTGGTCGGGCCCGCCTCTCACTTCTTCCGTCTCGGAGGCGACTCGGTTACTGCCATGCGGCTCGTCGCCCTAGCTGCAAACGCAAAGCCCAAGATTCGCCTCAGTGTAGCCGACGTGTTCGGGAATCCCGTTCTGGAGAACATGGCCAAGACTGTGGCCAGCGAGCCAGGCGACAGCACTGCTATTGTGAATGGGAATGCGGCCGCGATGGACGCAGCTCCCTTCTCGTTGATGCCAACCTCATCTGCGGCGCAGGACACGCAACTGACACGCCTTTCCGCGCAGTGCGGCGTCGCGGTGGGTGTCATCGAAGATGCCTACCCCTGCACTCCCCTCCAGGAAGAGCTACTCGCTCTCACGGCACGGAGACAGTCGGCGTACGTCGGGTGCTGGGTTTTCCGCATGGGCGACGCCCTCGACGCAGACCGATTCAGAAGCGCCTGGGAGAAGGTATCCGAGGCGGCCGTGATTCTACGGACGCGAATCATCGCGGGCAATGACGCCCAAGTTGGCACCCAGCTAGTCCTTCGAGAGTCGCTCCCGTGGAGGATGGTTTCGTCAGACCTAGAGGCATATCTTTCCCAGAACGAGCCGGAGCCTATGGGCGTTGGCACATCGCTCATGCGGTTTACCGTTGTGTCGACTCCCAGGTCCGGCCGTTTCTTCGTTTGGAAAGCCCACCATAGCGCCTACGATGGTTGGACATTGCACATGTTGCTTGAGGCCATCCGAGATGTTTACTCGGGCAGAGACGCGCCCACGTTCGCGCCTTTTACGCGTTACATCAAGTACATTCGGGGAGCAAACGGTGATTCGGAAGCTCGGGAGTACTGGCGCTCCCAGCTAACGGGTGACGTCGGCTCTGCTTTCCCAGTCATTCCCCCGAACCATCAACCACGGCCATCTTCGACCGTTAGCTTGCGCGTGACCCCGAGCGTGACCCCGAGCGTGACCCCGGCCGCCACCAGCAGCAATTTCACAACCGCAACCCTCCTAAGAGCAGCTTGGGCGCTCGTGCTGTCGCAGGAAACGGGCAGTCGCGATGTTCTCTTCGCAGCCAATCTCTCGGGGCGCATGGCGCCAGTGCCGGGAATTCTCGACATGGCAGCTCCAACACTAGCCGCGGTACCGGTCCACATCAATACCGACCGTAACCGCTCCGTTGCCGACTATCTTAGCGCGGTCCAGCAGCAGGCGGCCGAGATGATACCATTTGAACATGCCGGGATGCAGAATATCAACCAGATGCTGCCCGAAAAAACACTCGATCTTAACCATCTCTTCGTCATCCAACCTTTCGCCGACCGCCTCGGCGAGGACAGTGCGTCGCTGCTGCCACAGGGCTTGGAGTGGGTACCATACGGCGGTGCGGCGCCGTTCCACGCATACCCGCTGGTAGTGGAGTGCAACACCGGAGCGGAAGCAGAAAATAAGGGCGACGGTGTTGAGTTGGAGGCCTGGTTCGACGAAGCGGTCCTTCCCTCTGACAAGGCCAGAGAGATCATGGAACGGTTCAAGCACATCTTCATCCAGCTTCGAGCCGCAGCCTCGTCCTCGGGCGTGGATAGCAGCACCCCTGTTGCACGCATCGACATACTTGGTCCCCAAGACATTCCACGCATCCGAGGCTGGAACCAGTGGGTCCAACCAACGGACCCGAGCAGCGATGCGTGCATACATGACCTTGTCCATCAACAGCGCCTGCGCCAGCCCGACGCCCAAGCCGTTTGCGCGTGGGACGGACAACTGACATACGCTGAGCTGGACCATCTGTCACTCGAGCTTGCCCATCACCTCGTTAGTCTCGGGGTACAGTCCGAAGTTCCAGTGCTCATGATCTTTGAGAAGACGCTCTGGGCCGTCGTCGCGCAGCTTGCCATTCTCAGGGCGGGGGGCATTATCGTGCCGGTCGGCCATAACTACCCAGTGCAGCGCGTCCAACACATCATACAAGCCACCGGAGCTAACGTCATTCTCGCTTCTAAGATGTACGAGGCGCACCGCGGATTGGTTCCCCACGTTCTGGTCCTGGATGAAAACCTCATGGCTCGCCTGCCCCTACGCCAGCCAGCGCTGGCCTGCGGGACAGCAAAACCGACCGATGCTGCATTCACCCTCTTCACTTCTGGGAGCACCGGCACCCCCAAAGGAGTGGTGCTAGAACATCGATCGCTGGTGGCGAGCCTAAAGGCCCAGCGCGGCCTATTCGCGGGACCCGCAGCGCGGGTTCTCCAATTCTCTGCGTATTCCTTCGACATCAGCATCGCAGAGACATTCGTACCCCTGATTATGGGCGGCTGTGTTTGTGTGCCCTCTGAGGATGACCGTGTCGGCGATCTCGCGGGTGCCATGGAGGCAATGAAGGTTAACCTTGCGCATCTGACGCCGACAATGGGTGGCCTTGTCCAACCCCGACGATTGCTTTCTCTGCGGACTGTGGTGTTCGTAGGCGAAGCCCTCACGTCTGAGGCAGCATCAAGGTGGCTGGTGGGCCACATTCGCGTCTTCAACGGGTATGGACCTACGGAGTGCAGCATGTACTCCTCTGCCCGCCATATCAAGGCAGCGGGTGAGGCACCAAACATTGGAACCGCCATTGCCGGCAGTAACTTGTGGGTTGTCGAACCATTTGACCACAATTGTCTTGTCCCAGTCGGCGTCCCAGGCGAGCTCCTCATCGAGGGCCCGTTGCTCGCCCGCGGCTATCTAGGCGATGAGAAGAAGACGACTGCAGCCTTCGTGACGGACCCGACCTGGGTACAGTACTTTGACTTGGGCCCAAGGAAAGGACGACGCTTTTACCGGACAGGAGATTTGGTACGACAAGCCCCTGACGGCACCCTCGAGTACCTCGGCCGCCGGGACACCCAAGTCAAATTGCACGGCCAGAGGATAGAGATTGGTGAAATCGAGCACTGGGTACAGAAAGTGCTCGGGGCCCGAGCGGGCGCCACTGTGGCAGGTCTCTTGACTCGAGACAACGGGAGCGGAGCCGCGGGCGAACCCGCTCTAGCCGTCGCTGTGGAAATGGACCACGCCGAGCCGAGGGCGCGGCAAACACCGGAACGGACAGGGGGCCAGCCGTTCACCTTGCTGCCGCTCTCTGATGACCAGCGCCAGTTGTTCGGCCGAGTGCGGGCTTCTCTCTCGGAAGTCCTGCCTTCGTACATGGTGCCTCGTTTGTACATCCCCGTCGACAAACTCCCCATGACAGACTCGGGAAAAGTCGACCGTCGGGCGGTGTGGACAACAATCCAGCAGTCTCGACTGTCGTCGCAATACTCGGTGATCACCAATCGCACTAGGGTAGCACCCGACACCGATACGGGGCGGCAGCTACAGCAGCTCTGGGCGGCGGCGCTGAGAATCCCACCACAGGAGATATGGGCTGGCGATGACTTCTTCCTGTCTGGCGGCGACTCAATGTCGGCAATGCGCATGGTGGCCAAGGCGCGCGAAGCGACGCGAATGCCGCTCACAGTGGCCGATATCTTTCAGTATCCCATTCTGGCAGACCTGGCAAAGGTTGTAGAGACAAGAGGGTCGGAGACTGCCCCCTCACAGTCGGTCTACCAGGCCTTCTCGGCGATGGGGGTCGCAGAGCCGGGCCCATACGTGGCCGAATCTATCCAGCCCCTCCTTCTCGAGGGGTGCCATGCCGTCGACGCCGCCCCGGTCACTGATTCGCAAAGCCTATTCGTCGTCTCGTCCTTGCGGAAGACGCGTGACTCTTTTGCGTATATCACGCTCACGGGCGAAGGGTCGTGTGACGTCGAAAAGTGGAAAGCACGCTGCTGGGAGCTCGTCAAGCGGCACGAGATACTGAGGACAGCCTACATCTTCGTCAACGAACAGATGTTGCAGGTGGTGTTGCAAGAATGGCGGCCCGACATTGCGCATTTTGAGACAAACGATGCCGCCATCGACGGCTTCACCAAGGAACTGTTCGCACGGGACATGAACCGACCCCCAAGCCTCGGTCGACCGTTCGTCGAGTTCGCCATCGTCACCAGCCCGTCACAGCATCGCATCCTGTTCCGCCTCTCCCATGCAGACTATGATGCCCTCACCATGTTTCATCTTCTCGACGACTTGAGTGCGATCCATGACGGCAAAGAGAGCCCAGCCGAGCCCTCTTCCTTCATACGCGACTACGTCTCCGCGCTCCAGGGCAGTCCGGAGACGCAACAAAAGAGTCGGTCCTATTGGCGCAACCTTCTCCAAGGCGCAGCGATGCCGCGAATCGCGCCGCCACACCAGCATGGTCCATCGAAGGTCATCCATCACAGCACACGCACCGTCTCCCTACCAGACCGGGATTCGCAGTCAGGGAATCGCATCACGGCTGGGACTCTCATGAGGGCCGCGTGGGGCCTCACGCTCGCGCGGTATACGGGCATGGCCGACGTGACCTTCGGCGAGACTGTCTCGGGGCGCAGCACAGGCCAGCCCGCGGCGGCCACCGCGGTCGGCTGTTGCGCCAACATCGTGCCCGCGCGCATCGTCATCCGGGCCAACGCGTCGGTGCGCGACCTGCTCGACGCCGCGCAGGCGCAGCACGTTGCGCGCCTCCCGCACGAGACGGTGGGCTTCCGCGAGCTCCTCGGAAACAGCGGCAAGGTGGAGGCCGAGGATCCCCACTTCACCACGCGCATCAACCATCGCGACCGGCCGCCGCGGGGGACCCTGCAACGCATTGGCGACACCACCTACCAGACGGCTTTCAGTCTGTCGGAGGACGCGGAGGACCTGCCGGACATGTCGCTCACGTCGCACCCGTATCCCGACCACATCGAGGTGATATTTCACTATCGCGAGGGAGCAATCTCGGCCGAAGCGGCGGAGCATTTCATGTCTTGCCTGTGTGCAGTCTCGGAGCTGCTGGCGGCGACATCCTCCCAGTCTATGCGACTGGGTGAGATAGAACTTGGCCCGCACGCTGTCGGCTGGCCGGTGGTCGGGAATGGCAGCGTGGCGCTTGGGATTGGGCAGTCGGAGGAGGGAGACTGCGGGGTGTCGGATTGATTCAGGTTCGGAACAGGGTCTGTGGAATTTCGAGGCGTGCGAGTATGCCGTGGAGCTTAATTTCGGTCAGTGGTTGGAAACTGACGTGTCTGGGTCGCTCATGGCGACAGTGGGCAATTGGACTGGGGAATGTGAATTATGTGATACCAGTTTTGGTGGCTCGATGGGGTGATGTTGGTTGTCGTGCAAATGATGGAAATCTTGATAGTGCGGAATGGATTGATTGAGTCGCAACCCTTGCTTCAGCTCCGCTACCTCCGATGTAACCCCAACTCTGGCGTGCGCTCCTTCCTCGGTCACTCCATGCCCACATGCAGACGCGCACCTGCGTCCGCGGAATCGAACTCGCTCAGTTCCTTTGAAAGTTCAGTTAGGTATATTCAACTTCTTTCAACCTACCTCACCTGTTCAACGTGTTCCGTTTACCTATGCAATGCAGTCATCACCAAATTCGCTACTATAGCCACATGCACTGTTGTGGCCCCAGACACAATGATTGGTATCATGCATACTCGCGGCCGCCGTTGATCATGGATACGGATCTGTTTGACACAAGCACCGTCTCGTCTCGGCTTCTTTTCTCGAAACAAGGTTATATTTCCGGGCGTCAGGGTATCTATCTACATTACTCCATTACATTCTTTCCAGTATTCGTTATCAACATCATTACAGAACGAGAAGCCCCATAAGACCCACGGCAAGAGCGGCAGCGGCTGCCCTAACCGAATTCGCCCCAATTCCGGCCGCAGCGTTGCCCTCGGGTTTGCAAGCATCGGTAGCGCTTGCAGCGCGGGTCTTTTCCGCGCCGCCGGTGATGGTCACCGGGTAGTAGTTGACGTCGGTGCCGGTGAGGAGGGTAGAGGTCGAGCTATCAATCGAAGTAAGACCCTCAACGGTCATGGTAACAGTAGCCTGGCAGTCCGCTTCGGTGGTGCCCCTCAGCTCGCAGGACTCGGCGAGGCTCACTTCCCCCTCGTAGCCAGCCACGGTAGACTCTGTGACAAATGTAACCTGGAATACGGTCGGAGCTTGCGTGACAGTCAAGGCCTGTGACGCCGGTTAGCTTAATGTCATTGGCCATTAGGTATGCCCCGTCCACATCGAGGCCACACACCTGAGCATTCGGTCCACACGTCTGAGACCCAACCAAGTCGTCCCTAGCGCTGGTACATTGGATGGCGTAGACGGTGTGGTCCTTGCAGACGCTTACGATGGAAGCAGCGTAGAGGCCCTGGCCATTAATCGCGTCGTCAAGGAAAAGGTCGACAGTGTTGGCCGAGGTTGTGCTGTTATCCCTGACAGCCAAGCTGTTAGCGAAGCTTGCCAGGGTGGTGGCGGCGGCGGCGATGGTGAAAGAACGCATGATTTCGAATAAGGAACGGTCGAAGGAGCAAATAGTAATTCCGAGAGGGAAAATTGTGATGATGATAGGATTGAGCCTCTCTCTTGGAGTGGAAACCGAGAGAACTTTATATTTCCCGTTGCCTTTTTGGTCATTTTAGTCATGAACTCTTTGCACAGTCCAGCGTGGGATTCGGTTCGCTCCCCCCCGGTCGAGTCATCCGCTCACTCTCTTTCTCGGGCCCCATTGGCGACATTGCGGTCATTCACAACTCATACCTAACTAAAAACGGCGCACACAAAATCCTTCCGTCCTTCTCGCGGGCTTCCCGCCACTCTTGGCGGGAACTCGCAGGAAGGCAGGGTTTTGTGTAAGATTAGGTTGCCTTCCATGCAACCCTCTCTCTAAAAATGGTGGCACTGCCACATCCATCAGCCACAACCACCTCAAGTGCTTCTCCTGTGGACAGTATGCAAGTGCATCCTTCATATTGCAGCCTGAGGGAATTGTCATGCTGCCCTTTGATCGACCATCGACCATATTACCGAGGTAGGTTTGTACATACACAGGAAAGTGTGTGGCTGTGAGCGCCGAGCATGCAGTGAAAACCCAAAAGTCAGGATCGAATGACAACCAATGAGAGCGCGCACGAGCATCGCTGCAAGGTTCTTGTGTTCGACACCGCTTCGGTCGTCGCAAAATTTGGGCAAAATTTATGGAAACAACAGGCAAAAACATCGGATTCCTCACTTTCAGAGGAACTCGGCGCCGTTGAGACTGACCAGGTCTCCGAGTCCATCACCACATGGGAGAAATAAGGCCCTTTGCCCCGAGGGCGGCGCGCTATCCCGTTAAAAAGAAAGCCAGGGCATGTCGACCCCCAAGCAGCTCTCCCTCATATCTCGTTTAATGCCGAAAAGGGGTCACGCGTTCAGGCGACCTCAGCTCAGAGCCAAGGGGCGTTGGGGGCCGAAAGTTGAACCGACTGTGTAAATCGCATGAAGGAGGTTCAGGGCTGATATTCCGGGGCCACCTTCACTGTTGCTGCCTAAAAGAATGACTCCTCATTCGACCTTCCACAATTTTCAAAATCCCAAGCTTACATCGACCAAAATCCCGAGGTCGTCCATATTTTTATCTTCGCCACTCCACATTTTGATTCAATCCAATTCTCACCTTCTCAAATCACCATCATGGCACCTGCATCCAAACCAGAATCCCCCCTCAATGATCTCACCCCTTTACTTGAATCTCTGTTGATTGGCACCTCCCCGGCCGCGCAGTTCGTTCACAAACCGATAACAGAGCGTGACCCGAATTTGAAGCACGAATCGGAGGCTGGCTCGAAGCCAGTCATTGACTCGGCTCTAAGATCTGATCTAGACCCAGAGCAGCCCTGGTGCCGTCGGTGCAAGTCACCTCATGACTCCAACCGGTCGCTGCGAAAGGTTCCCTGCTGCGGGACCTCTATTTGCAACTCATGCACGAATGAAGCTGCGAATGAAAGATTGCAGAATGACTTCTGGAATAACCTTGACTCGCACCAATGGGTAGGGTGTCTTGCCAACGCTTGTCAAATGTTCAGTGCACCCCAGGACTTTGATAACGGTCACCCAGTGGCCGAAGTTTCGCCTTCAATTCGTCTTCCTCATCAGGGGCTCAAAAATGCGGAACGGGCGCGAGAGGTCCTCGGGAGCATCCGTCCCCGGCCCGCTCGCCGCGAGTGGGAGCTCGCCCAGCGGCTACACAAGTCATTGGCCGACCACAAACTCATGCCGGACTGGTCACAGACACACTTGGATATGCTATCAGCATCGTCGTTCCCCGTCAGGTCTGGTTTTCTTACCCAGCCCGTGCCTATCATGACGGGCGCGCTGAAAACCGAGTCCAAGACTTGTACCCGTTGTTCTACTACATTTCAAGCAGTAGAGACTAGCAATGAAGCGGCATGGGCCTATGTGACCACCGCCTTTCCTGGGGACTGGGCGTGGATGATCCTGGGCCACCCGTCGAAGAAAGTGTTGCCTGAATGTGCGGGAAAGCACTCGCTTGACATCTGCCCCGCTTGCCTCCCCAAGCTCATGTTTTCGGGGCTCGAGTTTCTCGATGCTGTCTCTGGAAGCGGAAATTACCGCTTCGTCTGCCCTATGTGCAAGCATGTCTTTACCCCTGTCCAAGTGGAAAGGGTTGCCCGGCTCATTGACCCCAACCGCCCCCCGGCCACGTTGTCTGGGTTCTCAATCTCGACGCATTCTGCTCTGACCGTGCCAACAAAGGTAGCTGCCCTACCCAAAACCGTGACATCTTTGTTGGGCCCTTCAGACAAGGCAAGGCATTTGGTTGGTGGGGGTTACGGTGGTAAGGGTGACGGGTCGTCCAAGGGCGAAGACTCTGAAGGTGCTGCTCGCAGAGAGTCGTTGATCAGCGCTCTCGTCACCAAGAAGCCCAACGTCCGGTGGGACGATGTTGCCGGACTAACACCCGCAAAGCACGAGCTGCAGCGGGCAATCATCTTCCCAGCCCGGTTCCCCAACCTGTACGATGACAAGCGCAAACCCTCGGGGGCTATCCTCCTCTACGGACCCCCAGGCACGGGCAAGAGCTACCTCGCCAAAGCCGTGGCCACCGAAGCAGACCACACCTTCTTCAGCATCAGCCCGAGCGACGTAACCTCAAAATGGGTCGGCGAAAGCGAAAAGTACGTAACCCCCCCTTTTCTCCTCCCTCCCTTCCCAACCCCCCAAACCCTAACCACCCCCCACCAACAGACTCATCCGCCAACTCTTCGCCCTCGCCCGCGAGCACAAACCCTCCCTAATCTTCATCGACGAGATCGACTCTCTCTGCGCCAGCCGCGAGGACAGCGGACGCAGCGAGCACTCCTCCCGCATGAAGACAGAACTCCTCATCCAGCTCGACGGCCTGCGCCCCCCCAGCGACAGCGGCGGCGCGGGGGACAACAACTCGGGCGTGGTGGTGCTGGCCGCCACCAACCTGCCCTGGACCCTCGACCCGGCCTTCCGCCGCCGCTTCCAGCCGCGCCTGCACATTCCGCTGCCCGACCGGGCGGCGCGGCGGCGGTTGTTTGAGGTGTGTTCTTCGGGGGGCAGGTGGGGCGGGGTGCTGGGGGAGGCGGATGTGGATGGGCTGGCGGGCATGACGGAGGGGTTCTCGGGGAGCGATGTCGCGCAGGTGGTTGGGCAGGCGCTGTCGGCGCCGTTGGAGAGGGTGCAGACGGCGAGGTTTTTTAGGGTGGTGAAGGGGGGTGGGGATGGGGGAGGGGAGGATGTGTATGCGCCGTGTGAGGGGGGGGATGAAGGGGCTGTTGAGATGACGTGGGAGGGGGTGCCGAGGAATAGGCTGCGTGAGCCGCCTGTGACGGTGGGTGACTTTGAGAGGGTGCTTCGCGATCGGCGGGTGAAGGCGTCGGTTGGTGTGAGCGAGCTGCAGCGGTATGAGGACTGGACGCACGAGTTTGGGGTTGAGGGTAGGGACTGATGGGTTGCATGTTGTGTTAGTCGATGCTGCACGGGGATTCGCTAGGTGGGACAGTTACTGCGGAGTCGAGGGGTGGTTTGATATGCGCTCCGCCGTTGTCACACCGCCAGCTCATTCACAGAGTCGCACACAGGGTGCACAAGGCTAAGTAGTCGGGGAGATACAAATCCAGGTAACATTATAATACTGAGGTTGCAATACCCTGAACCACCTCCTCATTCTTCTTTTTCATCCACCGAACATCACTGACAGCCAGCTTCTGATTATGCGTCTTCTCCGTACCGACAGGCTCGAGGTGGTTGACTTTCTGGGACAAGACATTCCCCCTTACGCAATTTTATCCCACACATGGGCTGAGGAGGAAGTGACGTTACAAGACGTGCAACAAGGATTGTCACAGTCACGCCTTGGGTACGACAAGGTCACCGGAGCGTGTGCAGTAGCGGTTCAGGACGGATTCGAATACATTGTATGTGGTCCATTCTTGGTCTTGGAATACTTGGTCCACTCTGACAAGTACAAGTGGATTGACACCTGCTGCATCGACAAAACGAGCTCGTCTGAGCTCTCTGAGGCCATCAATTCCATGTTCAAGTGGTATAGTGACGCCGAAGTATGCTACGCATTTCTCCGCGACGTGAAGGCCGATGAAGACCCTCACTGGCAGTGGAGCGCCTTTAGAAGGTCCCGCTGGTTTACACGCGGCTGGACGCTACAGGAACTCATCGCTCCCGGGGTCGTCTACTTCTACGGCGCTGACTGGAAGCTCATCGGGTGCAGGGACAAGTTGCTCAATGTCATCGTCCAGGTTACCAATATCAACCCGCACTACTTCGTGACCGGTGAACTTTCGGAATTTTCGGCTGCGCAGAAGATGTCCTGGGCCGCCAACCGCCACACGACCCGCCCCGAGGATGAGGCCTATTGCTTACTCGGGCTGTTCGACATCAATATGCCTCTGCTGTACGGCGAGGGTGAGCGGGCGTTCCAGCGGCTGCAGGAGGAGATCCTACGCCAGTCCGAGGATGACTCCCTCTTTTCCCACATGCAAGACCAGATTCTGGCCACTTCGCCGTCCTATTTCTCTGACTGCGGCGGCGTGCTGAGGCGAGAAACCTGGCCGTACATAAACGACCCGACCCTCACGCTCAACAGGAATTTGTCTTTGAACCGAAACCGGATCAGGATGGCATTCCCGGTGGCCTATGTCTCGGAATCCGAGTATAGTAAGGTCTGTATCGCCTCCCAATCCGACCTCCTGCCCTCCCAGCACGACCTCCTGCCCTCCGACCTCCTGACCTCCTGGCGCGACCTCCTACCGTCCCAGTCCGACTTCCCTCCCTCCAGGCACGACTTTCTGCCCTCCGACCACGACTTCCTGATATCCGAGCACGGCCCCCTGCTCTCCGAGCTCGGCCTCTGGCCGGCCACGCTCATAGAAACAAAGCCGCCAGGGTTCTATTTCGCCCTCCTGAACTGCGGTACATCGAAGTGGACGTCAGTCTTACCCTTGCGCGAAGAATCGCCGGGCGTGTTTGCCAAACTTACCTTCGCCAACCCCCCGGCATGGGCCACTCTGGAGCCGAAGTTGACGCAAACCGTGACGAGAACTACCGTCTCCATATCCCGGGCAACGACAACCCCGCCCCCAGACCCGTGGGAGTGGAGGATGAGGGATAGTAACCTCTCTGCGGCGAGATATTCGTGGCGGCATAAAATGCAACCAGACTTCGATGCTCCTTTGGGCGCGCACGGCATGATGTATCCCATCATCCGGCAAGCGCCGCCGCACGACTACGACGGGCCGGCTGGGGTCTTGGGCGTTGCGGGGAGTGCTCCTCAGGATGTTGCGCTGGACAAGCTCAGGGATAAGGTCGTCATCAAGGGTCCCTGTCAGGCCACATCCGGCTTCCAGCTTCAGTACATACATGTGGCTAATTTCCGGTTTGCCTGGCTGGAACGCGGGGACGAAGCCCATATGATTCCTCACCAGGTTCCGGCCAAGGGGGAACCATGTTTCTTCTTTTCCAACCGGGCGGAGGAGTCGTTTATGGTTACTGTCCAGCCGACGAAGGTGTCGGTTAACGCGCATCTGTATACGAATATACCTGCGTGGAAAGGCAAGCCGGCTGTTGAGTATATCGAAATGATCAAAAGCGAAAAGCAAAATGCCGGCGTCAGCGAGCTGTTACGCTACCAGGCACCGCAGCGTGTCAATAGTGAGATGGATGTTGTGGTTCGAGTTGACAGCCGAAGGCAGATGAAGGGTTGGTGGGTGTACGTTTCGGTTACGCCGATAGTGGGGGATAAGTAGGTGGTAATCGAGTTTGTGGACAGCCGATTCTAAATAGGTCCCATATTCTTCGGGTCCTCGACAGACATGCGAGCCCCCTTTCGTCTTCCATCCGTCAGGTCAGCTTTTATAAAGGCGAGAAGGGCTCAATACTCCTTCCCGTCACAGACACCCCCACGCCATAATCACATTCCCCTTCCTTGATCTTCAGTGATTCCTCCCACGGTTTGTGCTTTCAGACATCTTGCAGCCTCCCTCTTCCTCCTACACGAACCCTCTCGGGGCGGAGACTGCAAAGCTCAGCTTCACGACCCGGGATTGCCCGGTCACTCGCAAATTCATCATGTACCTGTGCAGGGCGTGTACAAAGACCCGCCGCCGAGAGCCGGGGCAATGGGGATGATGGGTTGCCAGCGCTGTTTGTACGTCAACCACTTTGACAGTGGGTTGCAATGTCCCCCCATTAGACCTATACGCATTTCTATTGTCTGACCGTGAAGTGAGGTTTACGACTGGCCGAGGGTTGACCGAGGCAAGTCGGAGCTGCCTGGCAGCAATGGTTTGTTTAATATGTAGGTAAGGTACCTTAGGTATCCGTTTTCTGTTTAAACTGAGTCCCTTCAATAGGTGTTCAGAACTATCTGGCTGCCGTTCAAAGGTTAGCGTAAGACAAGGCCTGCTTGCATGGTTGTTCTATAATTTTTTATAAAAAGAAAAAGAGAAAAATGAAAAGATATTAGTCGTAATATATCGTAACTTGAACCTGGTGAAGAACCCGAGGGTGATCATGCCCTGGCTTCCAATGGCAATGAGCCCCTTGGGTAGGTATGTATGTACATACATAGCTGTTTGCCACCAACGATATCACAACGTACCCTCAGAGCCCCTCGGCATTAAATGCGGTCCAAGGAAGCCGAGGAATTTATCTCGAGTTGGTCCAAGTTCGATGATTAGGTAGAGAGTCGGGCGTGTCGGCTTGTCCCCATCCCATCAACACGGGCACGTGATAGCGCGATTGCGATTGATTAGCGGTGGAGCCGCGACACGAGCTGAGGGGTTGCATGAGACACGGGGGTTGCTTTTTGCACTGTCTCGACTTCATCAACCTTTGACTTCCTGGATTCACCGGCTCAGCCGACCAAATAGGTTTTGTCGGGCGTCAATCTCAGACCCGCCTCATTCTTTCGCGACACCATAAGTCACCCCCCCCACTTGTCGCCACCCCCCCCTTTTCGCCATTTTTGCCCCACATATAACCCTGAAAACTACGAATTTCAACTACGTATAAATCCGTAACCACTACTAGTAAAAATAAAGTAAAATTAGAATAACATTCCTTAGTACTCTCTGATCCGGTAAATATATCGAAAGTAAGAATTCTACTTTGATAAACAAGTATAAAGTTAAGATTTCATCTCTCATAGTAATTTACTAACAAAATGATTTGCTAATATCTACCTACTAGGGTACTTTAGAAATGGCGTAAAATTAACTTAGATATATAGTGTAAGTTAGATTTAGATATTCCTTACCTTATACTTCTAGCTAGTATATATCGGTAGATATAAAGGCTTAAACTTCCAACTATTTTCCTCACCTATAACCCTGAGGGTTATAGCGGGGAAGATTTTAGCAAACTTTAAAAACTTATAGAATAATCCTAGAGAATTATATAAAGCTCTAGTAGGTAATAAGTACTTAAGATATACGTAATATAATATAATCTTAAACTATTTATATTTTTATAAAGATACTATAAAGTTATTACAATTTCCATTTGTTAGTAAATTACTATGTAATATAAAATTTCAACTTTATACTATAGTATTAACTTATATTATATACTTTTAATTTCATTCCTGTATTGGAGGATACTAGATAACCTTATTCTAATTTCGTTATATTTTTAATAGCAGTAGTCAGGGTTATACATGTAGTTGAAATTTGGTGTTTTGAGGGTTATAGGTGGGGCACAAATGGCGAAAAGGGGGGGGTGGCGACAAGTGGGGGGTCCGACTTACTACTACTTGTGGTCACACCATTCCCAACTTGACTCCTCTCCCGTTCCGTGACCTCCATCATACCTACCGTGCCTATCTCATCTCCCAAATTGCATCATTCACCATCATAATGTACGTCTGCGATGATTGCATCAAATCCTTTTCCGCATGGTGGTCTCGCGAGCAACATTGCACCGCGACGGGCCATCGCCCGCCCAAGTACGAATGCGACACCTGCGACGCGTACTTTGGCTCTGAACAAGCACGTTGGCAACACATGAACGCCAAGTGCCATTTTTCGAGCTCCAGTGACGGCGGCTCATCGTCCTGGGAGAAGTGCCGGTTGTGCAACGATGCCTTTTACACCGACAAGGAATGTAACGACCACATGGTCAACGAGCACTTGTATTGCCGTGACTGCGACCGGACATTCATGAATCACAACAACCTCAGGCAGGTGAGCCCTCTCCAGTCATCCCACCCCCCTCCCATACACGCCGACCCACATCGCCTCTCCAGCACCTGAACTCCAGCACCCACCGGGGCAGCACCATCCCCTGCCCCTTCTGCGCCGCGACCTACACCACCGCCACCGGCATGACCCACCACCTCGAGAGCGGAGCCTGCCCGCGCGCCCCGAGCCTGAACCGCAACGAGCTGTACGAGCTGGTGCGCGCCCGCGACCCCCGCGGCATCATCTCGCGTCACTCGGTGCACCCGGAGACGGTCACCTACACGGCCACGGCCGCGGCGTACAACGGCTACGGCTACGAGTGTTTCTTCTGCCAGCGCGAGTTCGGCACCCTCCACGGCCTCAACCAACACCTCAACTCGCCGGCCCGTAAGTACCCCCCCCCCCCGATCTTACACATCCTCCATCCTCCATCCAACCTCGTCTGCTAACGTAAGAGCCCTGCGCTCGCGCCCGCCCCCCTCCCAGACCAGGAGGTGCTGTACCACTGTCCCAACACCCGCTGCGGCAGCGAGTTCAAGGCGCTGGCTGCTGTCATCAACCACCTGGAGAGCGAGTCGTGCGGGGCCATGCGGTTTGAGACGGTGCAGCGGCAGATTGGTGATATCGTCAGCGGCAACCGTTTGCTGCAGTTTTAGGGGCAGGGATGGGGGTTATCAATGACTTTGTTGGGGTGTGTTTTGATCGGCTGTTCAGGCGTTACTGATGGGATATTAAGTTGTCTGGCGTGATAATATTAAGTACCTTACCTACTAGGTACATGTAACCAGCGTACATGGCCTGTTGAGTGGGCGTGGGCGAGGATTTGGGTTTGGGGTACTGTGTACTTGATGAGTGCGGCGATTGACGGGGGAAAACGCGTGTTCTTTATCAGATGCTAGCCATCAAATATCAGCTACTTCACATTCGTGGTCGTCCAATGAATGGCACTAGATAATATGCCGGGTTGTGTATTTGGGTGTGATTCCAATGCCGATCGGCCCCCCAAAACCGAACATTGATTAATAATTATCATTACGAAACCTAAAAGGATGGTTGGAATTTAATTCGAAAGCTCTCGGTCCCGTACAGCCGCGAAACACGAGAAGTCGCGCGCAGCCAACTCGTCTACCTAGGTTGGGATATGCTTCTTTCGGTAGGTACCAAACCATCTTCGATGACATGAGGACGTCCTGGTATCTGCGATAATTGCCCGGTAAGAATCGCACATCGGACTCAATCCATGATGCTCACCTGATCTGGTCATTCTGAACTTCCTCGGCACTTTCCAAGTCGACCGCCATCACCCTGTCGTCTGGCGGCGGACGAGAAACGGCTTCGTGGTCGGGCGGAGGAAATGCTGGGGTCACCCGAAAGGTTGGGCAGGGCCCGGGCAGTGGATATGGGAGGGCTGAAGCATACCCATGGGCCGGGAGCGGTGTATTTCTGATGCCTTGGCCGTTGCCATGTCCCATCGGCATATTTAGAGGAGCAACTTGAGCTTGAAGCTTGAATTGGATGCCGCAGCTTGTAACATGACGTCGAAATAAGGTTATTCTGGGTCGGTTAGGCCAATTGGAGGACTCAAATTCACGCACTGTGATCCACAAAAGCGAACCCCCCTGCACAACCCCGGCTCAGCGCACTGCAACCAACGTGCCCGAGGATTGTGACACTCGCTGCACGCTGTGCCAAGAAGGCCGAAGTTGCCGGAGAGGAAATATCCGGACCTCTGCGGCGCGTCATGTTAATGACAGGTCTGCCTCGCTCATCGGTTTGTAGCAGATAGCTAGAGAGTCAAATGCCAGTTCCCTTACCGAGGTAATTATCCACGTCCCACTAATACCAGGCTCCAACGTCCGGGTCCAATCCGCTCGCTCCTTCATCGAGTCAGGTTTACCGGGTACCCGGGCGGGAGATCTGCGAGTACAGGCGGGGGTTAGGTACGGCTTAGAAAAAACAGGTCGGGAAAGTTTGAGTTAAGGGAAGGAGCCAACAACACGCGACTTCCCCAAACAAGCCAAGCCATACCCCCAGGCAGCCGTTCATTTGGTTGAAGCGCTCATTAGGTATCCCTTTAAAACGATTAAACCGTTTCGAAAAAGAGACTTCAAATCGTAGGCGCGAGGCTTAAACGCTATTGAACTGGCAACTCGGGGCTTAGACGGAACAAGCTGCTCTCTCAGCAAGCGGGGAGAGTTTGACTCCCCCGATGAGCTATTTTGCGTTTCTGAACCCTCCCCTTGCCCCGGTAAGGGTAGGTGGGAAGTCAGGGTCCGTTTTTCATGTCCCCCATATTCAACGCCGAGGGATAGAGAAACCTTTGGAGAGGTAAACGTTAATCTGCAGATAAAGGGAGATCCGTTGACTTGACTGCTTACCCAACAGCAACGCTCGACCAAACAACGCCCAAATTCGAAGACATACTGCAAGGTAGACCTTGCGACAGCCACAGTCATTTGTGTCTCCGTGCGCCCACCCTCATGCACCTATCGCATAAGCGCATCACCATTTTACCACCATGATCACGTACGAAGAGCCTCGGCTCGAAGCACGCGGGGTACTGACCGCACGGGCGTCCGAGGGCGGTCTGGGGGCATAGATTCGTCATAGCCGTCCGTCTCCGTATGTTCCCGCTCCATTCCAACCTCGTCCGTCCACGCCAGACAAAGCTTTCGTTCCCATCGCTCGAGCTCAACGATGGCTTTGTCTTCCGACACCACGGACCACGCCGCCGCCGAGGGCCTTCAGCGTTCCCCGTCGCCACCAGCGCCGACGGCCGACAACGACGCCGCCGCTGAGGGTCTTCGGCGGCGTGAGCCCTCGCCACCCTCGGCCGCCGACCCGGCCGAGCGTCACAACCACCGTCCCCCGTCGCCGCTCACGACGGTCGACCACGACGACGACGTCGAAAACGGGACGATCCGGGCGCCCCGCGCCGCGCCCCACCGTTCCAACCTGCAGCCCACCAAGGGCTGCCTCAAGACCCCCAACCCGCCGGGCGAACGTGCGGGGGCCAGGAGCGGCGTGACCTTTGCGGCGGAGCACCGCTGCGTGGTCACGGGGAGGCCCGTCACGCCCCATCCCAGGGACCGCGCGCGGTGGCAGGCAGGAACGCTGGCGGAGCGGCAGGCCCAGCGGGATCGGAGGAGGCGGCAGCACGCACGGCGCCGCGGGACCGGGCTGCCGCTGCACACGTCGAGGGCGATGGGGCGGCTCCGCCAGGAGGAGGGGTGGGTGGGAGGCACGGCCGGGTCTGCCACTGGCGGGGGGAGCGACGCCGTAACGGTGGAGGAGGGTGTTGAAGCCGAAAGCGCGGCCGTCCTGGCCGTGTGGACGGACTTTAACACTGGTTGGAACAAGCGGGACTGCCCGATTTCCAACAAGGGCGACCGTGCGTCCCACCCGGCCGTGCTTTCTTCGCGGCGGCAGCCACCCGCGGCTTAAGGTGCGCGATAATGGTTGAACGGATGGGCACCGGCACAGCCATCCTGTCAGCCTTCCCCCGGGACAAATAACGCTCGAAGACTGGACATGATCGGCATGTTTAGGTATGTTGCTCATTATCTCGACCTATCCTAACAGCCAAATAAGCTGATAGGGGATATCAGCAACGAAACTTCCCGACAAAACAGTGAACCAAGACGGGAAATACCTTGATAATGTCGATGACGAAGATTGTTGTCCCGTCAGCTGGACCCCCAAAGAGGTACCAATACACCGGGAAGCCAACTGGTGAAGGCGAGGAACCCAATCCTATACCTCAAATCAATCAGCAGCATCAATTCATGACCCGGATACAAGATTACGGTAATACACTTCCCATCTAAAACAAGCAATACGGCATCCATACACCAACCCAATGTCCAAACACGCCCGCAATCTTGCTAATTCATCGTCATCAGTTCCACGATCGAGTCCACCGACCCAAACGCCGCCCTCAAACCCACATCCACAGACCTCCTATACCGCAACAACAAAACCATCCCGCCAGCCAGGAGAGGCAGTCCCACCATGCCAACAAAACCGCGCACCAACATCTTGCCCTGGTGCTCGCTCTTGGCCACGACATCCGAGTACCGCTCGTTCCCGAACGAGACGCGGGCGTACTTGGTCTGCCAGCCGAGCGACGGCACATACTTGGACAGGGCCTCCTCGAGGAACTTGCGCAGGCGGTAGAGAGGGGACAGCACCGACGCGCGCATCTCGACGTAGTTCTGCAGGGCCAGGTCGTTGATGGCGTGGGCGTCGGGGACCCGCACGGCCGTGTACTCGGCGAGGGCACGCGCGCGCGACGCCGATCGGTCCGCGCCCGCGCTCAGCTCGTCCATGCGCGCGTGCTTGTCGAGTATGTCGAACAGGATGCGCACGTCCTCCAGCCCGGCGTTCATCCCCTGCCCGTAGAAGGGCACCATGGCGTGCGCCGCGTCGCCGAGGATGACGACTGAGGAGCCGTGGTGGTGGGGCTTGCACTTGATGCTGATGAGCGGGAGGTGGGGGTTGCGGTGGAAGGAGTCGATCAGATCGGCCGGCGGGATGAGGGTGGTTACGCCGGGGAAATACTTGTCGAAGAAGGGTGGGATGAGGGAGCCGGTGCGGTCGGATTCGAGATGTTCGTAGAGCGAGGCGGGAGCGAAGAGGGTGCAGGTGAAAGACCCATCCTGTGAATGTTAGCCTGATCTTTTTGAACCGCGTCAAAAATGGGAACATGAGGCCGTACATCGCTGGGAATGGCAATAAACATGAACTCTTTTCCGGGCCAGATGTGTAAGTGGTTGGGGGATATCGAAAACTTGGAGTCCAACTCGGCATCGGGCGCGGCTGTCTTAGGCTGGATCTGGAACTCGCACCACATGGTGTCGATGTACACTTGCTCGTAATCCATACGTGTGTACTTCATCATATGGTACCTGACAGCAGAATGAGCGCCATCAGCGCCAATCATCAGGTCGAACTCAACCTCGACCTCGCGGGTCTGCTTCCCCTGACTTGCACCGCCGTTGTCCCGCACTTCGAACCAAGCTTTGTTTTTCCGGAAATCTGCCCCTGTAAGTTTGTGGTTGAAGAAAAAGGTGACGTTTGGCATCGCCTCCAAAATGTCGAGGAGCCGCTCGTTGAGACGGCCACGGTCGACGGCGAGGATGGACTGAGACGTCAACCACCACAAATTGAAAGGCTACGGAGCAACAAGTGTCTTACCCGCCCGTACACGTCATAATTTTGGGATTCTTCAAACAGATCGCCGTTTGCGCGCTTTCCGTGGATCATGCGGCCGCGCATTGGGATGGTGGCTCCCATGACATGTTCGATGAGCTTTGGTTGGTTGGCATGGCGCATGGCGTTGATGCCACGCTCCGACAGGGCCAAATTGATGGATTTGGTGAAATTAAGTGGTGTTGTTGAGGGATCTCGGAGATCTGGCCACATCGTTAACAGATGGTTCCCAACAACCCAATGGGGTGAAGTATGTAGGTAGGGGAGAGGTGGAAGTGGAATTGAGAGTGGAATGGAGCCACCATCAAGCGATCCATCAAGACTCGGGAACTGAGAAAAAGACTCACCACTCCGAAGCTCGTAGATTTCAACATCGTCACCTCGGTTTGCAGCATATAATGCCGCGAGTGAGCCAACCGGGCCGGCCCCAATTACAACAACTTTCTGCTTCTTTTCCATTGCGATTTCTCACTTGGTGTTGAAAAAGGTGAGATTGAGAAACTGTTTGAATTTCGGTTGGTTCCAGCTTCTCAATGAGACTCAAGGGTGCTGGGGCACAGTCACGAGTGGGCTGATCCTGGCCAGCGACGGCTAGGACCGGGTTTGATCGACCTCTGGCCGTTTTCACTGCAGCCTCAGAATCAAGCCACAGTACGCATCGTGTTCCGGTTTCAGCCACAAACCCGCAGCCCAAAAATGTTGCGCGATGTGCCGCCAACATGCGCCCCATCAACCTGTTGGCTGACAGTTCTTCTTCTTTTTTGACGTATTATCAGGCTCCCTTCTTTTCGTTTTTTAAGCCGCGAACAAAATAGCAACCTTCTCTTGTGCGCAATCTCGAACCATAACCCGATCACTACCCCGCGCCGACCCCCTCCATCAACACACCACCATGGCCGAAGAACCCCCGACAAAGAGGAAGTGCCTCGGTGTTGACTGCGAAAACGAGGCTAGTTCCCTGCAGTGCCCGAAGTGTCTGAGCATCGGCGTCAAGGACAGTTATTTCTGCTCTCAAGACTGCTTCAAGAAGAACTGGGTACGCCAAAAGTCCCTACCCCCACCTTCCCACAGCCGCCCATCCCGAGGCTTGCCAACTGACTTGCTTCGCTACCAGGCCACGCACAAGAAGTCCCATGCGCAAGAGAACAGTATTTTGAGCCACATCTTTACCCCCAAAGTCGTATCTGAACCAGATCCAGAAACCGGATACTTCAACCCGTTCCCGACCTTCAACTTCACCGGACCCCTGCGGCCCGTTTACCCTCTTTCCGAGAAGCGCGAGGTGCCCAAATCGATACCGCATCCCGATTACGCCGAAGATGGCATTCCCAAGCTCGGCCGATCAATCGTCAGGTCCAACAAGTTTCAGCAGCTCGACGCCAAGGCCCAGGACGGCATGCGCAAGGTGTGCCGGCTGGCGCGAGAGGTCTTGGACATTGCGGCTGCGGCTATCCGGCCAGGCATCACGACCGACGAGATCGACGACATTGTACATAAGGCCTGCGTTGAACGAAACGTGAGCACGGCCAGGTACCGCCCCGCGCCAACTTGAGGCTAACCGTTAGACAGTCTTATCCGTCGCCCCTGAACTACAACCACTTCCCCAAGTCCGTATGTACCTCGGTTAACGAAGTCATTTGCCACGGGATACCCGACAAGCGTGTGTTGCTCGACGGGGACATTGTCAACCTTGATGTCACCCTGTACCATGAAGGTTACCATGGCGACCTAAACGAGACGTACTACGTTGGCGATCGGGCCAAAGCAGACCCTGACACGGTGCGCGTCACCGAGACGGCGCGGGAGTGTCTGGAAGAGGCTATCAAGCTGGTGAAGCCGGGGACACTGATCCGTGAGTTTGGCAACGTCATCGAGGCCCACGCCAAGTCCAAGAACTGCAGCGTCATCCGCACCTATGTCGGCCATGGCATCAACAGCATTTTCCACTGCCCGCCCAACATCCCGCATTATGCCAAAAACAAGGCTGTTGGTGAATGCAAGCCGGGCATGACCTTTACCATCGAGCCCATGATTGCACTGGGCAAGTACAGGGATGTGACCTGGCCGGATAACTGGACAAGCACGACGATAGACGGGAAGAAGACGGCTCAGTTCGGTAAGGAGTCCCAAATAATCGTGCCGCGTCATCATCTAACGTGGCCACAGAGCATACCCTTCTCGTGACGGAGACGGGCGTGGAAATTTTGACGGCCCGACAGGAAAATTCCCCTGGTGGACCGATCCCCATGCCGACGCCAACTGCTAACGGCACGAGCGCGGGCGATAGTTAGGAGAAGCGAACAATTCCCCATAATATAATACCGCGTGGGTTTCACTGTTTACCAGCACTTCCGAGGTTCCATTAAAGGGGCATTGCAACAACAAGCTCGGTGGTTTCTGGTGGGCCTATGCTCGGCGTGATTTGTTCTTGTCCTCGTCCGACTCTTGACGGGTGGAAAGTAACCCAGTGGATTCCCGTATATCCCGTCTGGGAGATCGACGCATTTGACCATTTGTTCCTGGCACTGCTCCCGTGCCTCCAGGCACCCGGGACCCGGGCATCCATTAGTGGTTCGCGCCGAGTTGGGACCCACCGCCGCGAAGCCAACGAGCCCGCAGGCAAGCGAGCTGGAGCTTGGACCATTTGAAAACCAAGCGACTGCCGCGCCCCACTTGCATCATTTTTAGCACCGCCTGCCAACCACCAACCACCCGCGGGAAGCTTAAGAATCCTATCCACAGCCTTCCACTACGTGTGTTGAGCTTCTTCATCCCTTCATCTGCCCACACAAACGATCGAAAACCTATCCTTGACCTCCGGCACAGCTACCGCGCGGGTTAACCCATCACCGCAACTCGCCGAAAGGAGCAAATACTTCCGAGTCCACCCGCCCTCGCGACGACCCGTCACAAGCTCGCGACAGTCAACGTCGTCATCGGTTTGCGCAGATCTGCAGTTCCTGCCTGCGCGCCCCGAGGTTTATCAGCCCGTGTCGCGAATCATCAAGTCACAAATACAACCGAGTCGTCACCCTAGTGAACCGCCAAAATGTCGGGCGAGGCGTGGTTATACCTGTTCGCCGTCATCATAAATGCGGTCAACCTCTTCCTTCAGGTGTTTTTCACCATCATGTACAGCGATCTGGAATGGTACGGAACCCCGGAATCCTCGGACAAAAGAAAGCCACGGTGTCGGGTTACAGGCGGTGGCATGCGCGGCCACCTAGCAACAATGACTCCACGATCCTGCTACGTGACGGCGCTGCTGCCTGCGCTCTGCTCTGCCTAGACGGTGTGATGCTAACACGTTTTTGCGCGCAGCGACTACATCAACCCCATCGACCTCTGCAACCGCCTCAACACGTACATCATCCCCGAAGTCGCCGTCCACGGATTCCTGACGTTCTTGTTCCTGATCAACGGATACTGGCTTCCGCTGATCCTCAACCTGCCGCTCCTTGGATACAACGTGAAGAAGTGCGTACAGTCCAGGCATAAGGAATAGTCTTTGAAGCGGGCGCTAACCAACCATAGGATTGTCGACAACACCCATCTCCTGGACGCGACCGAGATCTTCAGGAAGCTGAACGTGCACAAGAAGGTAGGGGATTAATGATCTTTTTAGCGGCGACCAGAGGCTAACGGATCGCGCCAGGAATCCTTCACCAAGCTCGGTTTCCACCTCATCCTGTTCTTCTTCTATCTGTACAGCATGATCGTCGCCCTGATCAAGGACGAGGCCCACTAGGTGTCCTCTGAACTTGCCTTATTCGTCCAAGAGGGTTCTTTGCGACTACGGTCTCGAGAAAATTCTGGCATGTTGGCAACGGAACGACGCATCGACTTCGGGAGCGGCGAGTCCGCGTCAACCTATATAGACGGAACCTTGGTGGCGCGGGGTGTTGGTAATGGCGGCTCGGACATGGATACGAAATACATGACGGAGGATGAAGACTATGGCGAGTAATGAACGACTTGAATCTCAGCTGTTGGTGGTGGATAGGGTTCATCACTGGTGCAGGCATAATACCCCGTTCACGTCAGACTTCAACGACGAGTCTCCAACTTGGGAGCTCCCGGGCCCTCGGCTAGCGCTAGGACACGAGGGCGCGGGCACATTTTCTGTTTCTTCTGGATTGGCGCAGTCATGGCCGGATTCCTCTGTGGCGTTGGCTGTGGGAGTTTTCCAACATCGCTGTAACTGTATACCAGACGATGGGATGGATCTGGGGTTGTTTATGTTTATGTGTAGTAAGAGTTCCTTGTTGATTATCTCCATTTTACGAGTTCCCTCTATTCCGTAATCGTTGCCACCAGCTCCCTGGGACGATCACCGTGCTTGTGACTCGAAACAAATCGATCCGAACGTCATCGGGTGAAACATTGTAGGAAACACAAACAAGCTCGGAGCACCGAGAAAGCTTGTCTGGCTGGTAGCATATGGTCCGTGCGCCGTCGCGCCGGCGAAGAAGTTCTGTCGGCTCGCGCCCACTTATCTTATCACAAGGCACCCAATCCCCGATCCATCAACCATCAAAACCAACTTGAGGACGTCCAACGCGCCGCATCACGATTCCTACCACGAACAACCTACCAAACTTACCACAACTTATTGACGACGACACGAACCCCCCCATACCCAAGATGGCCGACTTCGGCGACTACCCGCCCAACCTAACCGTCAAAGACGCCCTCATCATCCGCGAGTCCCAAGGCCCCGACCACGCCGTCGTCCCCTACACCGGCAGCGACCTGTTGCGCGCACAGCTCGGGCCCGCCAACCCCTTCCGCGCCACCACCTCCTCCGCTGTCGCGCTAGCTTCCGCCTCCGCCTCGGGCTCGGGCTCCGGTCCCCAAAAGAAGCGCAAGAATGTCCTCACCGGCCACGCCGAGGAGACCTTCATCTCGGAGCACACCTTCCGCGCCAAGCACCGCGCCGTCGAGCGCGCTGGTGCTGGTGGACCCCAGCGGGAGGGCATGTCCAACCGGGAGCAGAAGGAGCTGCACAAGAGGTTGAGGATGGGCCGCGAGGGGAAGGGGGATGCCACGGTTGCGGATGGGGATGGTGCCTATGTTGGGCCGTGGGCGCGGTATACAAGGGAGAGGTATGAGACGGTGGAGGTTGGGGAGGGGGAGGAGGAGGAGGAGGAGTTGGGGAGTGGTGAGGAGTATGAGGTTGTGGAGGAAGATGAAGAGGATGAGATTGTGCCGAGTGGGACGCTGGTGCAAGCGCCGGCGCCGTCGCTGGCGAGGAGGAGGGAGGCGGAGGAGTTGGGCGAGGAGACGACGGCTTTTCTGGGGGAGAGCGAGCATGATTATTTGGGGCGCACGTATATGCATGTGCCGCAGGACTTGGACTTTTCGTTGACGAAGGAGGTGGGGAGTGTGGCCAACTTTATTCCGAAGAAGTTGGTGTATACGTGGAAGCCGCATGGGAAGCCGGTTACTGCGATGCAGCTGTTCCCGAGGTCGAGTCACTTGGGGTTGTCGGGTGGGGCGGATGGGATGATCAAGATCTGGGACGTGTACCGGAAGAGGGAGGTGCTGCGGTCGTTTGCGGGGCATAACAAAGCTGTGACGGACTTGTCGTTCAATAACGACGGGACAAAGTTCCTGTCCGGCGGGTTCGACAGGAGGATTCGGCTGTGGGATACCGAGACGGGGCAATGCATCAACCGCTTCAACTGCGGCAAGACACCGCATGTCATCAAGTTCAACCCCTCGGCCGAAAACGGGCACGAGTTCCTGGCGGGTCTGTCGGACAACAGGATCTTGCAGTACGACAGTCGCACAGGCAACGAGACAATTCAGGACTACGACCACCACCTGGGCGCTATCAACACCATCGAGTTCATCGACGAAAACCGCCGTTTCATGTCGACGTCCGACGACCGTTCGCTCAGGGTATGGGAATACGGCATTCCGGTCGAGATCAAAACTATCAGGTATGTTTGCACCACTGCTGTCAACCATGTTCCGTTACTAACACCTCCAGCGAACCCGACATGTTCGCCCTCACAAAGTCCGCGCAGCACCCCAGCGGCAAGTACGTGCTCTACCAGTGCAGCGACAACTCGATCGTTGCCTACTCGATCGGCTCCGAAAAGTTCCGGCAGCACCGCAAAAAGGCATGGCGCGGCCACAATACCGCCGGCAGCGCCATCGGGCTCACCTGCAGCCCCGACGGGCAATTCGTCGCCTCCGGCGATACAGGGGGCAGCGTCTGCTTCTGGGACTTCAAGACGTGCAAGATGTACGGAAAGATCACGGTCGATGGCTCAGGCGGGTCGGTCAACTGTGTCGCGTGGTCGGAGCAGGAGACTAGCAAGGTGTTTACCGCAGGGGCGAAGGGAGAGATTAAATTGTGGGATTAAACGGATGGAATGTACGGAGTTTGGGCGATGTATAAATACAGGTTTGCGGATCGTGCAGCTTTGAGCCGCGGTCGGCTTGGTTTCTTTTTGGTGGTTGGCACCATGCTAATCCATGGACGCCTTTGCCAGCATGGCGGGCACAAACACAAACCTTTATCAGTCTTACCCTCTTGTCCTCTAACGCTCAACGCCCTCCGTCTCGCCAATTCTAAAAACATACTTCAACCCACTCGCCTTCCCCTCCTTCAACTTCCGCAACCCGTCCTGGATGCCCCCCAACCCCCCAGGCACCACCTCAGTCCTCTGCCCCTTGAACCACCCCTCCTGCAAACCCCTCGCAAAATACCGAAAATACACATACCCAAAATCCTTCGCCTCACCATGCACATCCGCCACCAGCGTCGCCCGCTGCTCCGCCCCCTCCGGCCACCCCTCCTTCCGCCCCAACAAGCCCGTCACCTTCACTCCCTCCAGCACCTTCCCATCCTTCCCCTTCCGCCCCGCCTTCTTCAACACCTCGACAAGGTTAGCGACACTGCTCCCCTCCGACACCGCATCCAGCACATGCGCTGCTTGCAAACCCTGCTTCTGCAGCGCGCCCACCAGACCCGCCACCACGGCCTCGTCGCCCTCGCGGTAGTCGATCACGGCGTCCCCGCGCGAGGAGTCTAGTAGGCTGGAGACGTAGTCGCATGCCCGTCCGGCGACGCAGAGGAGTGGGTGGATGTTGCTGCGCTGGGCGAGCTGGATCGCGTAGACACCGACGGCGGTGGCGGCGCCGTAGATTATGAGGGGGGTTGGGGTGGTGGGGGTGGGCTTTTGGGCGGTGGGGGACCAGGGCTGCGGGAGGCCGAGGCTGAGGTAGAGCGCTACGGCGGCGGTCATGGCGGCGAGGGGGATGGTTGCCGCTTCTGTTGGGGGTGTTAGTTTGGGACTCGGTGGGTGGGGTTGTGAGTAAGTGAAGAGGAAGGGGAGCGGACCTTCAAAGGTGGTGGACGCGGGGATGTGGAAGGTGGTGTGCTGCCAGGCGATGGCGTACTCGGCGAAGCTCCCCGCTGCCGTACGCATCTCGTGGAAGGCTGCCACGCGGTCGCCCGGCTTGAACTCAAAGACATTGGCGCCGACCTTCTCGACGATGCCGGCGATGTCGTCGCCTTGGTTGATGTTGTTGTCGAATATGTCGGGGTACTTCCAGTCCTTGGGGTTGGAGCCAGAGGCGATGACTTTGATGAGGACTTGGTCTTCGTTGGGCGTCGGAATGGGGGAGTCAACAATTTGGACTTGGGTCCCTGGGGTGTGGGTTAGATAGGGGTTGGCTGGGAAGTAACTAGTGAAAAAGGGGGAGGCGGGTGACCTTTGCTCACGAGTGCTTCCTTCATCTTCGTTGAACTGAATAAAAGCTACACCTGAACAGTGGCAGTGGTTTAAGGTGTGAGATAGGTATCAAAATGAGTGAGGACAAGGAAGTAAAGTTCTCATACTTCGCCTGGAAAGACGATTGGAAATGTGGAGGCATGAACAAATCCCAGATCTTCACCCCATATATGACGCCATCCGTTGCCAAGTTCTGAAAACTCCACGGTACCTATCTTCAACCTCCTTTCTTTAACACGTACTGCGACGCTGCTCGCGAATCTAGCCAAGCTCGGCGGTCGTTCCCACCAACCGGAACATCCAGAACCGAGCAGGGTTCCATTCCTGGTTCCAGTATGCACCTTTGCCGAGTTCCGTGAGCCCGACTGCAACCCGCGCTGTCGTTGACATACTGAACGTGGCATCAATTGAGTGTGCGTTCCAACGGCATGCATTAGTGTCGGGAGGCCGATCCGAATGGGGCGGATTGATCGAGCCGCTCGGGTGCTACATCTAGCCGCCATGGAAACGGCTCGGCTGGAAGTAAACCAAGTGATTAGAAAAGCATACTCCAGCGGGAATTTCAAACATGGGTTAAGTGCATCTCTGCGCCCAGTAAACAGACAAATGCAAGATGTATAGCAAGACAAGGCACAACAGGTCCCCAAAACAAGTCAATTGTACACTTCTCACACCCTCCGAGAAAGCTACCAATAACTCCATCACCGAGAACTCCAAAGCTGACAGCCCCGACAAGAAAGGAACTCGTTACACATCGCCACGCAGCTCATCACCGATCCCGTTGCATACCTAAGGTAGGTACCCAACCCTACCACTACCCAGCCATATCCAACCCCATCACAAAGTCACCACACTAGATCAACCCCCCCTCTAAAAGCCGAGCAGACCATTCCACGCATCAGCGGTGGTCGCGTCGCGCGTGCCGAGGGCCTCGATCTGGGCCTGGGCGTCGGTGCAGACGTCCTGGGCGGCCTGGTTAGCGCCGCAGGTGTTGCCCAGCTCGTCGCAGATGCGGTTGGTGATGATGTTGGGGTTGAGGGCCTCCTGCTGGTTGGCCGCGATCTGCGCGTCGTTGGACTGGAAGGTGAACTCGTCGGCGGGGCGCCCGTTGAGCCCGCCCGTGAACTGGATCGTCGGGTCGCACGCGCCGAAATCGGCCGCGCCGCCGGCCGCGTCGTCGGCGTTGCCATTGTCCGCGTTGCCGTTGCCGTTGTTGCCATTGTTCTCGTTGCCGTTGCCGTTGTTACCAGCGTTGCCATTACCGGCGTCGGCACCCTGAGTTGGGGCGGCGATGACGGTCGTCAGGGTGCGGACGGCGCCGCAACCGGCGTTACCGTTACCGGCATTGTTGCCGTTACCGGCGTCGTTACCAGCATCGTTACCGGCGTCATTACCAGCATCGTTGCCAGCGTCGTTGCCAGCGTCGTTGCCGTTTCCGGCGTCACCACCGGCATTTCCGCCAGCAGGCGCAGCGGTCGACCCATCCGATGCCTGAGCGGTGAAGTTGCTGAAGCCATTGGCAATGGCGACATCAGCCTGGCTCAAGCCATCGGCGTTGAAGGGGGTCGTGATCGAGGTGGCCGAGTTGGCGTTCTCAACGTCGGAGCCAGCGACAGCCGGGTCAACGGCCGGGACGATGCCGCGGAGCTCCGGGGTGACGGGGAGGTTGACATCCGAGCAAATGTTGGGAATCGCCGAGGCGAAGGGGTTGAAGTTCTTCTCAGCAGCGACAAGGGCGGCCGCGGCAGCAATGACCTCGGGGTCGTTACCGAGCGTCGCGACGATCTCATCGGCGAGTTCGAGCTGGATGATGTTAGCATCCGGTACAGCCACACAAGATTGCATGTACTCACCTGGGCGCACGCATTAGCACCGCCAAGCAAGACACCGGGGCTGGCACCAGCAAGAGTGGCAGCCTGGCCAGCGTCGCCGAAGGCTCCCAGAGCAGAGATGACGCCTTGGACGGAGCCCTCCTGGCCGAAGCGGGCCTCGGCAAAAGCCACCAGGGCAGCAAGGACAGCGACTTTGGAGTACATGGTGAGAGAAAGACTCGGATATATGTTGGAAGTTGAGCGTCGGAAGAATCGAAAACCGGCCTAGCGGTTGAAGAGAACGTAGATTAAGCTGAAAGAATGTTGAAACGAAACGAAAGTTCACAGAACTGGATATTGGAGAAAAAAGAACGAAGGCGAACAACTTGCTGGATGGGAAGTGAGCATGATAGATGGGCTCGGGCGGCGCATCCTCAGATTATATACAAGTCTCACCCTTTGTTGGGAGCTGTGGAGAATGATGGACGGAACACCAGATGACACGAGCCAGGGACTTGGCTCATTGCACGCGCTCCCTAATGGCGATCATACTGGCACGTCGCTGGGAGGCGGCGGTGGAGCATGAGCCAAGGCAGAGGGGCATCGTCGTTTGGTCTGGAAACGGCAGAACGTCTCCCATGCTGGGGGGAGGATCGCTTATGCCGCAGGACTGGGGTTAGGCGAGGCGAAGAGTCGAGACCTCGGGCCCTGCCGAGTGCCTCCTTGAGGCTCCCAGACGCGCACTGCAGCCCCGGATCCAAGGACCGTCCGATGTCAACCCGCACAGGGGCCGTGGATCTGAGGCGAGGATTGCTCGTGCAGAACCTGGTCAACTGGGGGGACTCCGTAGCGCTGGCTTCTCGAGGCGTCCCCCGAGATGGTTCGGATGAACCAGTGTTGAAAGGGAGTTTGCGCCAGCGATACAGATTACTTCGTCGTCACTTCCAGGCTTCGGCAATTCTGCATGCCACCCCCGAGTGGACTCTTGCAAGCAACACAACACAACGGCTGGCGGCTGGGCGCATCGGGGTTGAAGGCTTCCGAGCGCTTAGCTACAAGGATGCGGCCCTGCAGCTGCAGCGTTGCTGTCTGGAGAACAACGAGGGAGAGCCTTCAAGAAGGTTTCAAGGAGATACCCCCATGAATCTATCGAATCCCCATGAGTGGCTGCATGTTTGGGTCGAGCAGCGGCGTCAGCTCCGAGCGTACGTGGGGGGTTCGGGGGATAATTGGGGGTTTGAGAGGGCGCTGCCCAGGTTCTGGACCGTGCCTGTGCCGACCAAGCAAAACAGGGGCCCGGGAAGGAGCCCCATCATTTTCTTGTCGCGCATCATCTCGCGCTTGGCAAACGGTCCTTGCGCTGCCAGCCCTGTCGTAATTGATGCTCGAAACAAACCAGCCTCCAAGCTCGAGATATGGTGGGGGCGGACTCGGTAGGTAAGTTCTTGCCCTTGTTCCTCAATGGAAATTCCGTTCATCATCGGTTTTGTTGGTGTTGGTCTTCGTCGTCGAATTAAGTTGTTCCTCATCCACTTTTGGCCGAAAAAGACCATGCGATGTGGTCCGTGCATGTACCAAGGTCCACTCCCTCATCGAGGAAACCCCGAAGCTCCAGGGCAACTTGCCAGGCACGAAGTGACCCTTCCCAATTCCCATCGCATTTGCATCTGCATCTGCATCTGCAACATTGCAGCCGCCGACCGACTGTCCTTGCCCCCAAACCAAAACCAGCACCCATAATCTCAACTTGGTTCGGATGCACCTCGCTTCGGCGTCGTGTCGCGGATCCAGCCCCTGCAGCCACTCCCAGTGCCGCGCTTGATCGGATCGGACGCGATCAAACACGGCGTCGGGGGTTGTGAGACAGAGTCGAGACGCCACGCTAAAAAGCTTGGCTTTCAACCTCAAGGCTTGAAATCGAGCACTTGAAGACCCTGGCACACTGGGAATCTTGTCCATGATGTCGTCACCTCCCATCGTTCCATCGGTCTTTCAATCAGCATCTGGACACTGAGGCGGTCTCTGGTCTGTGCGTTCCGCTATTCTCGGCCAGAGTAACCACCCTCAACTTGTACGGGCCACGCGCGCGGTGAGGTGATCGTTGCAGGGTCGTGATCTTGTGTGGGGCCTCTCGGTCGTGGGGGAACTCTGGAGGATGAAAGGTTAGCAAGAGAAAATAGGCGGTAGGTCACGGATTTGGTGTTGACGCGAGCCAGCCTGCGGCTGTCGCAATAAAGCATAATAGAAACATAAAAGAACATACAACCCCGACGATTCGCTGGTTGTCACCAGGCCCAATTACTGTTTGAGTCGGCTCTCACGAGGTCGATGAGGGGAGAGAGGACGAGATCCCTTAGGTTTCCGTGGATATGGCCGTATGTGACAGTGAGACTCGCATGTTGACGGGTGTATATTTCAACACGGAGAAGCTGCGAGCTGTTGTCATTCGCCTTGAGGATGACCGCCGCATCTCAATGGTCAACTGTCTGTCCAACAACAGCGGCCAGGCGGAGCCTGCCTTGACCCAAACAACCGCGGTTCTAGGTCGCAATTAAGCCGCATGGCTGCCCACTTCCTGAATACATTTGGTCAATGTGTTTGACTATCAGAGAAGGTAGGCGGGGTCTTAGCAATCGTTGCTTCCATTGCAATCTATGGCACCACCTGCCTCTGTCCGATACAATGACAGTATGATATCACGATAGGGAAGGTGCCGAGTCTAACCTTAACATTTATGGCGGGTGCGATCCTGCGGGCGTAGGCTACTTCTCCCGTCTGGGTTCTTAATTCTTTTATTGTTGAAGTACTTCGTAGCTCAAACTTTGCATTCTCATTGCTCTTTGCACCGCGTGATTCATTGCCACCAATACCTCTCTGCATCCCGCCAGATTTATTCGATATCGACTACCGCCGATTACAGCCCTGTAATACTCTCTAACTAACGAGAACATCAGTAAGTTACTTCCCCTGTGATGGCCCAAATGTCCCCCCCCCCGACTCCTGCCGCCTACCGAGGCATGCCTTAGGCCATTGTGGTTTATGACAGCGGCATACAGAGCTAACAGTGCCAGAACAGCAAACGACAGGAGCTACGGAACGCCATACCAGTGTCCGCCGTGTACCCACAACCCAGACACACACACCGGTGCTAGAACTCCTCGCATCACTAGAAACATGTCGTCAAGTCAAGATGATTTAATCCAGCCGGCTGGGGAACATCAGGGCGGTCCGTCTCGGCCTCAAATGACGCCTGCAAATTCTGGAACCGGGACGGAGTTGACTCCCATGAATCCCGCCGCGCCAGGGAGAACAGCGGAATCAAGCCGAACGCAAGTGGCACAAGACGAATCACAGGCAGGAAAATCGACGCAAACAGTCCTTGAAAACATACCATTGTCTTCGCCAGAGGCTTCGCCAGAGGCTTCGCCAGAGGCTTCGCCAGAGGCTTCGCCAGAGGCTTCGCCAGAGGCTTCGCCAGAGGCTTCGCCAGAGGTCTTGCCAGGCGACCTATCCGTTCACGGAGACCCCCCGGCCGATGGGGATGGGCCTGCAGCGGAGCAGCAGCAACCAGAAAATGACCAGTTCACTGTCGAGTGGTCTGTGAATGACGACGAAAACCCTCGCAACTGGCCCAACTGGCGCAAGGCCATCCGCATCAGCTTAGCCATCTTTCAAGCTGTCATGATCCACTCTGGCGCTTTTATCCTCATTCCCAGTCTCGCGATGATCAGGAACCTGCCCCAAGCTGACGACAGCCTGGAGCTGGCGGGCTTTGCTCTGTCGGCGCACCTCGTCGGATTCGCCGCCGGGCCGCTGTTGTGGAGACCGCTGAGCACACTCATCGGCTCTCGCCTTGTGGATCTCATTACTGGCGCGGGCTTCGGAGCTCTTACACTCTCGTCCCTTGCCCCCGTGCCTCTCGCGGCCTTCATCGTTCTCCGTTTCTATGCCGGGGTGTTTGGCGGCGGCGCGTTGGCCAATGGCCCGACTATCATTGACGACTTGCTGCGGCGACGGGCGCGAAGTGTATGCCAGACTCTATACCTGTTGGGCCAGTTCGCGGGGTTCATCATTGGGCCTGTGGTTGCCAGGTTAACATCTCTGACCGCGAGCGAAGACCACTGGCGCTACCTCTTGCTCATCCCGGGCGTTGGTGTTCTCGTCTCGGTTGCGGTTCTCGGCATGCTGTGGCGCACTGCCGGAGAGACCTACGCTCCCGTGTTGCTCGAGGCCAGAGCCTCGGGCCTCCGTAATCGACACAGCAACAACCAATACCGCTCGCGCTATGACACCGGCTTGACCCCTTGGCAAAGCTTTCGACAGAAGGCTGCAGAGCCCCTCAAGCTCCTCTTTACCGAGAAGGAATGTGCTGGGTACGCCGCCTTCGCAGGTTTACTGTATGGGGTGCAGTACTTCATTCTTACAACCATGGACCATGCCCTTATCAAGGCCTTTCCTGCATTAGACTCGGACGCTGGGGCGGTCTTTGGGATTGGCGTCCACTTCTGGTGCTTCGGCATCGTCGGCTGCGCCGCTTGCCTGTTGTTGGCTCTCGAAGAAGGGGTACAATGGGACAACAGTACGCCACTTGAGGTACTTGGGACCTATTTCAAGGGGGGGATTTGGGTCGTACCCATTTCCGTTTTAGCTTACACCTGGTTTACTTACCTCCCCTCGGGCGCGGCTTCGGCTCCGATACTTTGCTGCATCGCAGTTACGTAAGTTTGCTTTCCTCCCGTCTTCCCAAGCTCACATGGGCCTGGCATGGAACTTACGACAGCCACAGGGCCGGTGCGAGCGTGTTCATGATCTGCTTCCTCCACAGGGTGAGTCTCTTCTTTCTCTGAAGGGGCCTCGGAGGGCTAACAGCATGCAGGCTATGGATGTCAGCTTCGACGACGACGAAAGCGCCGATAGTGTTGGCGATCGTGTGCCCGCCGCTCGCGGAGCTTGTGTCATTGTGTGCGCCGTCATGGGCGGGGCGTGTACTCCGTTTGGTCTGGCTCTAGACGACCACATTGGGCAGGGAGGGGGGACTACCGCGGCGGTTATAGTTTGGGTTGGACTCACTATAGCGACTTACTTCATTATTCGGCCCGAGTTGCTGGTGCGCCCGGAGGTTGAACGGGAGAGTCACTACTCCCTGTCTTCAGGTTTACTTCCGCCGGCTGGTTTCATGAACCATGGATACTCGAGAGAATAAGCGATCGAAGAATTACTACCTACGTTTAGAGCGATGGATTTGTTTGTACGAGACAAGAATTGGGGGGATGGTTTTTGTTCGCAGAGCGTGTAGGTGTGTGGCTGCTGGCTTCTCCAGAATATACAGATTACTTCCAAGTCCATGCCGTTGAGAGCGGAGCCCCTGGTTTTGCGTGACCCCGATAGCCCGGCAGCCTCGGTTAACATCATCCCGAGCGGATGATCGCAGCGGAAAGACACGGGGTGCCACCAACGGGAATGTGGAAAAAAGGAGTGGAAATGCGCGATAAAATGCCCCGAGATGCATGCTGCACGAAACCTATACAATTGGTTTTAAAGGCTAAACGCACAAAGCATCAAGGTCAAACCCCAAAAAACGCCACCCATGAGACCACCCGATTGAGGAACCCCGGGATCCGGCGGATTGCCGGCCCGGCCCGAACACGATTGTCCGGTCCACCGCATCTGAGCATGAAAAGCTCTTATCCCACCCCGGGGCGATATCAATTCCGCCTTCCCAGCGCTTGCTCTGTCATTTACGATTCCGGTTCTACCGAGTCCGCTCGAACCAACCGCTGGAGCCGGCAATGGCGACGGACTGGTCCATCACCCACTCGCCGACGCCGAGGTACTTGTCGACCCATTTCGTCATCTCCTTGTTGTCCCCGGAGACCTTGTCTGTCTTGAAACTAGGCCTTGACAGATCCCCAGAAGTGGGGGGCAACGGTTAGCTGCACTGTTCACGGTCGTTCGTGTGGTGCACATATCGGCGCAACGGATCGGCGAACCGAGGGGTTTACTCACGTCAAGCCGGTCGAGCGTTTCATTCCCGCCAGAAATGCGGAGACTGTGAGGGAAGCGGTCAGTTGGCGGGCTCGCGAGCGGAGGGCGGCGCGCGGGCGACTTACACAGAACAGCGTCGAAGGCATAATGGGTCAACCGTCCGAGCTTTGACCATAACCCCAACGTCAGCAAGTCGAGGAACTGGGAGCGATCTTAGACTCCGATACGACGACAGGGCCGCAGAGAGCGACCCGCGACGAACGAGCGCCGGGAAGGGACAGCACCCACCACCATCTTGCCGATTTATTGGGATCTGGATGCCGAAGTCGAAGCGACGATCGATGAGCGACGAACGATTCGGCGCGATATTTTTCGTTCTATGGCGGCAAGTCGCAGGAATCGGTGCGACGCAGGATCGAGCTCGTTGGTGATGCTGGTTTGTTTCGAGGCTGGGTTTCGAGGCGGCGTGGTGTGGAGACTGCGACGGGCAACCAGAGAAGCGGGCAACCGATCACAAGACAAGACCTGACCGCTTGCTCAAACAAGGCGCGCAGAGCTTGGGCCACCGAGTCACGTGCGATATCACGGGAAACGGACTCCGACAAAACAGCGGCGGCCCACACCGCCCAAACCGCGTTGGGTGCTTGGGTGGGGCTTATCCGATCTAGGCAGGGTACCTTGATGCTGAGGCTCAATGCCTTGCCTCAACAACCCCCTTGAAGCTGAGTCAAGTACCACATCGGAATCGGGTTTTAATCTGAAGCGGAGATGCACGGTCAGCCCGCATGTGCCCAGCACGGGGGACGATACTGGCTATCGTGTGGTTCCACGAGTTTGATCGGGTGTACCTCCCTAGCGCCCACGTCGGAGAGGGGCACGAAGGTGGGGGGTACCCCGCTGAGGGATGTTGGGAAAGCTTTTGGGAAAGCTCCCCTCCAAAAGGGGTGGGAGCATTGGGTTGTCGAGAACATTTTTTCGCGCAGAGAATCCAATTTCCCCATCTCTCGCCGACTTCGATTCCCATCTTCTTGCCCCCATTCTCTGCGGTTCTCGGCTCATCACCTTTTTTGAGGTGAGTTTCTCCATTTCCTGCACTTCCGGACTCTTGCCCGCCGTTTTATCGTGTCCCGATGGCGGGGCGTTGTTTCACTTCCTGCCTCGCCGCGGGGCTATGGAAGGGAAGCCAGTTGCCCTACCGCCGCGACCGATTCAGCTGTGTTGGACGAGATTTTCGTGCCCGGCTGGACTTGTTTTCTTCCCGCTTTCCTTTCCCTCAACCGGGCAATCCGCAAAGAACGGCTCGTGCTTTCCTCCAGCAAGCGCCATCGGCTCCGGAGTCGGAGATTGCTAACCAGTTCTCCCAGCCCTCAAAACCAGAGACCCTCCTTCCCGCGAAAGTTTCGTGATCATCATTCGAATTCTTTGCGACTCGCCAAACATTTACAATGGCAACCGCTCTCGACCATCTCCAGCTCGGCGGCAAGATCGAATGGCTGGCGCAGCTTGACACGGCCTACCAGCCGGAGCGCAACCTGCGTCGGACTTCGATTGTCTGCACCATCGGCCCGAAAACCAACTCGGTTGAGGCTATCAACAAGCTTCGCGAGGCTGGCCTTAACGTGGTGCGGATGAACTTCTCCCACGGCAGCTACGAATACCACCGTACGTATCCAGCGCGCAGCGCCGATCTCAGGTCAGGATGTTGGTGGATGCTCCGGATCCGCTCAACAGTTCTGACTCCACCAACACGGCCCGTCCTATCCGCAATGCATATCTTGGCATATTGAAGATCGGATTGTTGACAGTTGTGTTACTGCAGAGACCGTCATCGACAACGCCCGCGAGGCCGAGAGGGTTCAGAAGGGCCGCCAGGTCGCCATCGCCCTCGACACCAAGGGACCGGAGATCCGGACGGGTAACACCACTGATGATGCGGATCTCCCCATCTCGGCCGGCGCCATCATCAACATCACCACCGATGAGAAGTATGCGACGGCTTGTAGCACTGAGAACATGTGAGTCTTCTTCGCCTCCTTGCGGGACCCCGAGCTGACCGCCGGCAGGTATGTCGACTACAAGAACATTACCAAGGTGATCGAGCCTGGGCGCATCATCTACGTGGACGACGGTGTTCTGGCATTTGAAGTGCTCGAGATTGTCGACGAGAAGAACATCAAGGCGCGGGCGCGGAACAACGGCCACATCTCGTCCCGCAAGGGCGTCAACCTGCCCAACACCGACGTCGACCTGCCGGCGCTGTCAGAGAAGGACAAGAACGACCTCCGGTTTGGTGTCAAGAACAATGTTGACATGGTTTTTGCTTGTGAGTTGCCACGCCTCGTTGAGTCCCTGGATATTCTGCTCTCGTAGCATCCCTAAGCTTACACTTTCGCCCAGCATTTATTCGGAGAGGCAAGGACATCCAGGACATCCGCGAGGTTCTTGGCGAGCAAGGCCGCCACATTCAGATCATCGCCAAGATTGAGAACCGCCAGGGTCTTAACAATTTCCCGGAGATTCTTGCTGAGACCGATGGTGTGATGGTTGCCCGTGGTGACCTGGGTATCGAGATTCCTGCCGCTGAGGTGTTTGCCGCCCAGAAGAAGATCATTGCCATGTGCAACATTGCCGGCAAGCCCGTCATCTGCGCGACCCAGATGCTTGAGTCCATGATCAAGAACCCCAGACCCACGAGGGCTGAGATCAGCGATGTCGGCAATGCCGTTACTGACGGCGCTGACTGTGTCATGGTGCGTGGACCGATTGTGACTTGTACCGGTGTACGCTAACAGCCTTTTCTAGCTTTCCGGCGAGACGGCCAAGGGCGTCTACCCCAACGAGGCCGTTCGCGAGATGAGCGAAGCCTGCCTCAAGGCCGAGAACTCGATCCCGTACGTCAGCCACTTCGAGGAGCTCTGCACGCTCGTCAAGCGGCCGGTTCCGACCGTCGAGTCGTGCGCCATGGCCGCTGTCCGTGCTTCGCTAGACCTCAACGCCTCCGCCATCTTTGTGCTCTCCACCTCCGGAGAGTCGGCCCGCCTCATCTCCAAGTACCGGCCCGTGTGCCCCATCATCATGATCACCCGCAACCCTTCTTCTTCCCGGTACGCTCACTTGTACCGCGGTGTCTATCCATTCCTCTTCCCCGAGGCCAAGCCCGACTTCACCAAGGTCAACTGGCAGGAGGATGTCGACCGCCGTATCAAGTGGGGGCTCAGCCACGCCATCGACCTGAACATCCTCACCGAGGGCGAAACCGTCGTGGTCGTGCAGGGCTGGAAGGTAGGACTCGACCCCCTTGCTTATAACGTGCTGCATGTCACTAACTCAGACGGCCACAGGGCGGTATGGGCAACACGAACACGCTGCGGATTGTCAAGGCTGATGTCGACCACCTCGGCATTGGCCAGCTCTCTTGATCTTGTTTCTTCGTATCTTGGCCTTGGGGGTTACGGGACGGTAGCTATTTCTCAACGGAAGGGCCGTGATGACGGCCTCACAATAGATCTGTTTGCTGGTATGACACTACGATACTGCCGCTTTTCCGACTGCATGTGTGCTCCATTGTCTTTTGCCTTTGATCGCGTGTACCTGTACGGAAAATCCTACCAAATGAATTCTTTCACTACTACCTGGTTCCAGTGGCTCTGCGCGGCAGAGAAAGCCCAGGGAGACTCACGGTCATTGTGTAAGCGGGCGGTGACCCAGTCCTTTTGGGAACGGGAGCGAGATACAAATGGCCTGGGATGGCCTTGTCACAGTTACAAGAGCTGGAGCTTTATAGAGATCTCGTAGGGTCTACCTTGTCGCCTTGCTCTCGCCGGTCAAGTACTAATGCATAGTAGCTGACGTCTCTGCCTCGACGAACCTCGCACTTTGTTGCCTACAGGTAGGTACCTAGGTACCTTGGTTGTTCGGCTACGTTTTCGTCACGCTCCCGATTAGGAAGGGGTTGTGTGAAGTCGGTGGAAGGTGACGTTCAAGTTGACATCCTTGCTGTGGGTCAGTGGGGCTTGCGGCGGCGAATCAGACGAGCAATGTTAGCCCCACCTGCCCAACGGCGCAGATGACATGTGCCCGTGTACTTTCCTTCGGGACACAACTCCAGGCACCTGTCATCTGTCTGTTCCTCGAACAAGAAGCCGTTACATTGTCACCGAAGTTATCAATATACATTTTTACTGCCGATCCGGTGTCATTTGCACCCGTGTTTGTGATTCCTACCGTCAAAACCGCAGCGCCGCATTCTGTCCTTTGCCTCTGCGACCGGGGCTTCCTTTGCACATTTGGGAATGGTGTCATCCCCATCAGACACAATATTTGAGGCGCTCGACTCGTTTTAGAGTTCCTTGGCTGTCGCTGCCATGTCCGAAAAACTGTCATACCTTCCCCGTTTAGGGTTCGCGCGCAGCGAGGGCCCGATTCTCCCGTTGCACAACCGAACGAGTCCTCCAATACGCAAGAAGCCGAGCGAGTACGCCCTGTCCGACCTCTCTCCCCATCCCGACGATGCGCTCCTGTCTTCCTCGGCCGACAACGATCGCAAGGTGTTTTACTCTCCTCGCCGGAGCCCCTCTCCGTCCCCTAGATACAGCGGCAAGATGAGCGACACAGGTTCCTCTCGGTCGAAACAGAAGCAGGGTGTCTTGTTCGCGGGGCCCCCGCCCCCGATCGCCACCTCGCAGATGTTCTACCGCGACGAAGAGGATAGAGACTCGTCTCCGCCAGCCCCGCAGCATCTCGAAGTGTCATCCTTCGCCCGCAATATCAACAGCGTCCTGTTTGACCGTACCCCATCCTCGCCCAGCCGCGCCCGAAGCAGAGATTACGACGCCGAGCCAGATGCCATCTGGCTAAACCTCCAACGCCGCGAACGTGCCCTACAAAAAGACCTCCAACACCTCCTCGACGCCCAATCCACCGGCCTCGCCGCCAACCTCGAACCGCACACCACAAACCCCAACACTACCCCCTCCGACACAAACGACGCCGGGCCACGAAGCCTCAGCCCGACCAACACCACACGCACGGCCTCGTCCCGAACAACGACGACGACAACAACAACAAGACACGTCATGTTCCACGACCAAGTCTCTGCGCCCCGGACCCTCACATCCTCGGGCACGCTGGTGCCCGTGCGGCAGCCGCGCGCGCGGCCGCCCAGCCTGCGGGGGGCGCGCGCCGGGCTGGGTCGCTCGATGGCGCAGCTGGCGGACCTCAAGGCCGAGGAGGACGCGCAGCTGACGTCGGCGGTCGGGGCGCGCAAGCGCGCGCTGGCGCACCTGCGGCGCTGGGTCGGGCGGCGCGAGGGGATCGCTGCGGAGCTGCGCGCGCTGGAGGCGGATGGTGACGGTGGGGATAGTGACGGGCAGGTGCTGGGTCGCGAGCTGAGGGAGTTGGAGGGCGAGCGCGAGGTTGTGGCTGCTGAGGTTGCGGAGCTGGAGGAGCGGTTGGCTGGGCTGCGCCGGAGGTTGAAGGGGTTGGATGCCAAGGTTGAGGAGGTTCGGAGTCGCAGGGAGGCGGGGTTGAGTGGGTATCGTGGGGCGTTGAGGGAGGTGGAGGGGCGGATTAATGGGCTGTTGAGCCGGCCGGGGGTGAAACCTCTGGATGGGGAGTTCTTCGTGGCGTTGCAGTCACAGGCTGGTGAGGACGGCGGGTTACAGGAGTCGCCCGGGGGAACAGAATTTCTGCGGCTGAGGCCGGAGAGGAGGACGGCGGAGATGGCGAGGGATTGGTGGGAGGGAGAGGTGGAGATACTGGAGAAGAGGAAGGAGGAGGTGGAGAAAGAGAGGGCGGCCCTTGAAGCGGGCGTGGAGGTGTGGACTGGGGCTGTGAAGCTTGTATCGGACTTTGAGTCTGATCTTAGGAGGGAGATGAACGGGGCTGGGAATACCGTGACGAGCAACCTCAAGGGTAAGGGCAAAGCAGGCGACACGCCCGCGCTGCCAGCACCTGAACAAACGATGTATGGGCAGCTGGATAAGATGCGGACTGTCATGGCGGGCCTAGAGGAACGATTACAGATTACGGAAGAGAATGGGTGGAATCTGCTCATATGTGCTATCGGCGCCGAGCTGGAGGCTTTCCGACAGGCGGAAGGCATGCTGCGGGAGGCGTTACGCGCTGCGGGTTTCGACGTTGGCGACCCCGACGGAGACCAGGGTGACTCTACGCCACACATGGGAAGGTCAACAAGTCTAAGAAACTCGAGGCAACGACTGGACGAAACAGACCGTGGTGGCAGCGGCAAGTTGCTCGACCTGCACGACGGGCCTGATGCCGAGGAGCCCGAAAGCGACAATGAAGTACCCCCTGACTTGCTCGTCGCCCCGAATGATAGGCACGAGTTAAGCCCCGCCCTGAGTCGGGAGAGCAGCAATGAGGTGCCGCCCGAGTTTTTACGGGAGCACCGTTCTGATGAGGAATATCCTGGGTTTGGGGTTATGGCTTAGTGGCGTGACCTTACCTAGGTATCTAGTGAGCTAGAAATGGGCGGATAGTTCCGGGGATCGAGAAGGGAGGTTATCGGACTCAGAGCCTACTCCTAGCCTTGTATACTTTATACATCGTAGAGATTACCAGCGCTCGCTCCTTCACCTGTCACCGATGGGGGTTAATGCGGCACAGCGTTGCATGAAGCGCCGAAGTTTCAATCACCCAGTACCTATCTCTTGAGCGCTGTACCAACGTATCTTGAGCTGAACTTTTGCGCGCGGCGTTTGGCAGATACCCCTCCCTCTGCCATTTCATCGGATCACCATAGCCAATCACGTCCAGAGGGTCTTGGTTTGTTGTGCGTTAAGTACCTCTGAACACCTCTATTTTGTGCGAGAGGACTTGCTATTTCAATAACCTTTCAGCAACCAGATCAAATTTCACAGCGGATTATTTTTGCTCCTTGACTTCCGTGCACAAACTGCGCAGTGCGAAGGAGAAATAAGCCACGATCCACTGCGCCTCCGCGACACTTCAATCAGGCAATCTTACCTCGCCGACGACAAACGCATTCCTGCGTTGTCAATCAAATCCATGGCTAAGAAAAAAGGAAGCAAGAGGATTACGGTCACGATCGACTCGGCGAAGATGATTGTGAACCTCGACAACGGCGCGATGCAGCAGCTGCAAGCAGAGCAGCGCGCACTTCTCGACACGATCGACGCACTTCGCGTCCTCGGCCTGGGCAAATATGTCGACCTCCCGCAGCTGATCGTGGTCGGAGATCAATCAGCGGGCAAGAGTTCCGTCCTAGAAGCCATTTCCCGCGTCCGCTTTCCCATCAAGGATGGCGTTTGCACCCGTTTTGCTACTGAGTTGGCGCTCCGTCAGAGCCCGCAGACTAAAATCGAAGTCAGGATCCAGAACGACGGTTTTGATACTTTCAATCGCTCCGGGTTCGATAAAGATGACATGCCCCGTATCATCGAGGAGGCAAAACAGCATATGGGGATCACCGGCGATTCTACCGGATTCTCAGAAGACGTGCTCCGCATCGAGATCGCCGGCCCGGACGTTCCGCAGTTGACCCTCGTGGACCTGCCTGGCTTCTTTCATAACGAGACGGAAAACCAGGGCATTGGTGGAGTGGAGATTGTCAATCGCCTCGCCAACAAGTACATGTCCCAGGAGAACAGCATCATCCTGGCAGTGATCTCAGCCCAAAACGAGCTTGCCGCCCAGAAAGTGCTGGGCGAGGCCAAAAAGCACGATCCCGGCCGCGATCGCACCCTCGGAATCCTCACCAAGCCGGACAAAGTCGACGAGGAATCCAATAACGAGCAAATGTATTTGCGATTGGCTCAGAATGAGGAGGCTTCGCACAAACTCACGCTTGGGTGGCACGTCCTTCGCAACCGTGCCCCAAAAGAGGCAGATTCCACGGATGCGGAGCGTGACGAAGAGGAGAAAGACTTCTTTCAGGGTGGAGTTTGGTCGGTCGTCAGCTGTCAGGACCGTGGAATCGAGACACTCCGTGAAAAGCTCAGCCAGGTCCTTCTCAGCCACATCCAGCGGAAGCTTCCCGGTCTCATCGCCAACATTGAGGAGCACATCAAAACACGTCAGACGCGACTGAAAGCCCTAGGGGACCAGCGATCGTCGGCAGATGACATCAAAAAGTATCTCATCAACATCAGCAATCGGTTCCAACGTGTGGCACGGGACGCCATCCACGGGAACTACACCGACGACTTCTTCGGTGGGCTGTATCCGGATCCACAAACGGCATATGAGGATCGAAGGGTCAAGAAACTCCGCGCGTTGGTCAGGGATCTAAACCGGGCATTCCATTTCGTTCTCACAACCAAAGGTGGCCGGCGTCAGATCCAGTGGAACAACGAGCTTCTGCCGTCGGCGCCCCTTCACCTGGAGCCTCTGGTTTCCCTCTACACCTTAGGCGAATATATTGAGATCTCGATCGACGATTTGACCGAGGAGCTCGAAAAGATGGCTTCGGAGAACCAAGGCGTCGAGTTCCCGGGTTCATCGAACGACAAAGTGGCACTGGCCTTGTTTCGCGATCAGTCAGCATCTTGGGAAGCGATAGCCAACCAGCATGTTGATCTGGTCACTCATTTCTCGCGGAGGTTTGTTGAAGAGCTTGTGGGCTACGTTGCTGGTCCGGACACGAAAACGGCCGACGCGGTGATCAAGAACCTGGTAGCTCCTTACTTCGAAGAGAAGCAAGCCGTGCTCCGGGCAAAGATTTCGGAGCTACTTCAGCACTACAAGACCGGCGCAGACCCTCAGCCCATGCACAGCATCTTCCTCGATAGTGTGGGGCGACGACAGAACGAGCGGTTTGCCGAAAAGTTGTCGCAGCTCATGGAACGACATCCCGACCTTTTTGCAGACAAGGTCAAGGCTAGTAGTGATGACGTAGGCGCGGTAATGAGGATGCTAGCAACCTCTGAGGTCCGCAGTGAGTTCAACGCCGAGCAGACTATCGAGAATGCGATGGAATACTACAAGGTAGGTACTAGCCTCGAGGCTTATGTCTCTCGCTAATACACGGTGTAGATGTCATTGAGGGTCTTCACAGACAATGTCATGACGTTGGCGCTCGAGAACTGTCTGATTTCCGACATTCCCAACATCCTTTCTCCAGAAAAGGTGTACGACATGACCGACGACAAGGTGACCACGCTTGCCGCCGAATCCAAGCAAATCCGGAGAGAGAGAGAGGAGCTTCAGACGCAGCTCGAGAAACTGCGGCTTGGCCTTGCTGCCTGTCGCGAGCATAGACCGAGACATTCTAACGGTTAGTCCACCCAGTGCACTCCCACCGTCCCCTGCCCTCAACGTTAGGCGGCAGGTCTGGTGTGAATAAAGTCTAACCAGCATATAACGTGTAGTGGCAACGCTGCCTGGATTCTCCGTCCTTGAGATTCGACCAACACTCCCGGACCGCACCAAGCCGAGAGCACCTACCCGACCACAGCCCACCATTCAAGCAAGTCGCCAGGCACTTGTCAGCGGTGTCACGACCGACAACGGAGCACCAGTTGCTAAGGGAACCTTCAGATCCGGTTTATTGGACCATACCACTGCAACTACGCCGGCCACAGCCGGGGCCACCAAGCAAAATGCATCGGGGGGCGGCCTCTTCGGATCGGCGGGCGCCTACGGCGTCCCGAGCACGGGAGTTGCAGCTAGTGGTACATCCGATGCACCGAAGACGGGGAATGTTGTTGGATCATCGCTATTTAGTGTCGGCTCTACTGGTGGGATATTCGGGACGGAGAGCGAAATCATCGCTCAGAAAACCCCTTCCAATGTCGCGACCACTCGCTTCAGCCCCAGCGGCGGTTTATTTGGGGCGCCGCGGACCGGAACACCCGCTAAAAGTTCATTTTCCAATGCCGCGGCCACTGGTTCGGTCGCCAGCGGCGGTTCACTGTTCGGGCACACGGCCAAGACCCCTGCTGCTGCCCCTTCGGTGTCTAGCGTGCAAACGATTGGGAACACTACTAGCGCCTTTTCATTTGGCGTGAGCAAGCCAGGGAACACTGGTGCTGGAACGAAGTAACCGTTCGATGGCACGACCTGTATGGGTTTCTCTCTCCCCCCCGCCGCAAACTTCACCCGGATCCATTCAGTACCCCCTATCATATGGTGTGCCTCGAGCCCCTGAACTGACCCGGGACTTGCACCTCTGGGGGGATTATTACGATTGTTCTTTGTCGAGAAGCGGGCCTGTCTGTTTCCAAGTTTTGTTGGATGTGACGGAGTGGTTTGTGTACATTAGATTCTGTAGGTATTTAAGGTTGTGGTGCCCCCCGAGTCTGGGCCGGGCACCAACAACAAAATTCTTTTTCTAATCTTCTAATTTCAATCGAGGAACACTTTGTGAAGATGAATGTTTATACAATAACCAGAGGGTCAGCTCACCAGTCGGACCACAGGCTCGAGCATCACCACTTGCTTCGTCGACCCCCTGACAAAAACAACAACAAACATGGCCAAGCCACATTAACCCCCATCCAACTTCATGATCCAACCTTCCACCACCAACACCATAGACAGGTCCCTCCCTCCCTACCCATCCTACTCCGCCACCGCCGACACCCCCACCCCCCCACAAAACACCATAAACGCCAACAAAAACCCGCCCACCGAGAACCCCCTCTGCACATCCCCCCTCGCCACCGACCACGCCACGGCCACCACCAGACAGCCCACGAACCCCACGCACCCAACCACAAAGACGGCAAACCACTCCGTCCCCTCCGCCAGCTGCAGGCCCCACCCCAGCCCTGTGCCGCGCGTGGGGCAGACGGCCAGCTCGGCGCGCAGCTTGCGCGGGATGCGGTTCCAGATGGTGGGGAGCACGTCGGCTTGGGAGGGGTGGGCGAAGAGGTGGGCGAGGTGGTTGGGGCCGATGGGCGGGAGGGTGTCTGTGAGGGGTTCGTGGGGTTCCGTCGTGGTGGTGGTGGTGTTGAAGGTGGTGGTGGGGGTGGTGAAGGTGGTGGTGAAGGCGTATTCGGTGCCGATTTTGGAGGGGGGTGGGAGGGAGGGGGTGAGGCGGATGTCGGTTAGGTGGTTGCGGTAGAGTTCGAACTGGGGGTTTGTTAATTAGGTAGTCAAGTGGTATATCAGTGGTGATGTTCACTGGGGGTTATGTACCTACCTTGACAAAGTTGATCGCCTTGACCCTGCGCAGCCACTTCCAGGGGCTGGGGCCTCGCTTGGATGCGTAGTAGTGGCGTAGTAGCTGGATGAATTCTTGGTCTGAGTTGATGCGGCATATCTCGGGTTGGTAGAGTTTCGTGGCGAGGCGCATGAAGGGGATACAGAGAAGCACAAAGTCATGGGCCTCACCGCCGTCCGTTCCCGTGCGAGAGCACGCCCCGATGGGGATGGCGGCTTTTTTCTTGTCCTGAACGTAGCGAGGGAGATTGGTCGCTTTTTTCCTGGAGGCAAGGAGCTGGGTCCAGCTGCTGACAACTTGCGAAATTGTTTGCTTCCAGTCCCTTGATTGTTCCGGGCCGTTCTCGACGTCGAAGACTTCCATGTCGTTGTCGACAGTTGTGTCCTTGCCGTAGTGTTGTAGTAGGCTATGTAGCTCGGCCAGAGCCCCCGGCCGGAGCTCGACAAAGTCGTCATACAGCGCCTTACCACATGCCTAACACGCACCATGTCAATTTTCTCCTTCCACCGGTGGCTGGGACAGATACTAACGCAAGTCCAGTGAAGTCGAGTGCTGTTTTCCAACTTCGACCGGGGATGCCAGGCTTTGGACAGAAGGGTATTCTCAAACCACAACTTGGAACGATTCCACATGTCCGCTCCAAACCCAGTTGACCTCGGGGCCCGAGATCTTACCAACGCCTTCACACTGGCTTGCAAGAAGAGGATCGGCTCGGTCCGAAAGAGGAACGTTTCAGCTGCTTCGGGAACAAAAAGCGACTCGTCCTCAGGGGCGCTGTCGCTATCTTCGAAAGGGGGCACATCTCGGCCATCCTGCTCGCCCGCCTTCTCAGTATCCGCCTCAGTTGGCCGTTGCTCGGAGAAATCATAGTGAGCTTCGCAGAGCCGTTGCGCAATGTTGGCTCGCGACCTGCGGACAAATTTGGACGCTCGAATGCGCAATGCTCTTTCTTCATTAGTGATCAACTCGTTGGAGGGCTCGTTCAAGGCGAGCTTGTGCAAGTCGTCCGAGTAACGCCGGAGGAGCCGCTCGATGGTGCGCTGGGACCGCTTCCAGGTCGCGGATCGCGCGATCAGCTGCGGCCACAGAAACCGCAGGTCCCCAAAGTGGAGGAGTTTGGTAAATAACAGACCGACCGTGTCGCCGTCTATAGTTGTTGCCGATGACGCGACCGAGACACCGCTCTCCCCGTCCGAGTCCCGGGAGCTGTCCGAGTCGGCTGGGTCGGAGGGCATCCAGTTCAAGTCGTCCCCGTCTGTGGAATTTGGAACACCGGGTGGCTCGAGTTCGTTGTGGCTCTTCGGGGCAGCAGCAATCGGCCTGGTAACCTGCCGCGGCGCAGCCGGCCCGTCGCGGTCGCTTATGAATCCATCGGCCGGTGTGGTCAACCGGTGACCATTCCGCCGCCTTGGCTCCGGACGCCTGCTGTTTTCAAAGCTCGCGAAACCAGCCGGAGGGCCAGCCGCCATACCCGAGTCCACATAGTGGTCACTGCACATGTATCCGACCCGAATGGTTTTCCGCTGAATCCCGTGCCTCGGCCGTCCATACGACGCGCATCTGTCGACGGCATGTTGATAGTAGAGGCATCCACAAATATTGTAGAGCTCGACGACCTGATGACACATGTCTGGTCAAGTCGTTGCCAGGCAAAAACGTAATGGACGGTGGGTGGGTTGGGTGTCAGCCGTGGGTGTTCTGTCTTTCCGTCTTTTCCAGCTCACAGCGAGGCTGTGCTGGTCAAAATTGCGAGGACTATGCCGTGTAACGTCAAGCTGATGTGCGTTGATTCGCTCGTGTCTCGACGCTTGATGATTTGTGGGTTGCCCGATACCTGATGTGCCTGATTACGAGGTTGATGCCCCCACTCTGCGGTACGCGACGGCGGTACGAAGTATCCGTATCACATCCTCATACATACACAGTAGAATGTATTCTAGGTTGTGGTGTTGTGTATCCCGGTGTGTAGGTACCTATGCAACTTCAACGCGCGAGAACCTACAATCATAGTCCATACTCTATAGCCGCGCCATGTAAGTTTAATGCAAGGCTCTCCACAACGCAAGTTTCGTTAACGCAATCAATCAAGTTAACGTAAGTTCAATGTAAATCGATCTCCTAGTTAATCAAGTAAGTTGTTCGACTTGCGTTGTTTAACTTGATAGATTTGCTAAGCTAGATAGAGTAATTGAGCCCTGCAAAATGCCCTGTAAAACGCCCTCAACCGCTATAAAAGCTATATCCAACCCTACCCTGTGTAACCGCTGGGCGCCTACAATAGGTGGATAATCTGTGGTTTTCGTTTGCAGGGCGATAGTCGTATCGCCACTTTTCCCAGCCAACCAACTATTAGATCCAGCGCCGCTATACCTCCTACAGAACCCCCTGCGGAACCCCCCGTAGGCCCCCCCGTAGACCCCCCTGTAGGACCCCCCCTTAATTTAGCGGGGGGACGCCGGTACGGGCCGGTACCCAGCATTACGTAACAGATTAAAGAACTGGCTGGTATTAATCTTAAACAACTACTTTACGATTCGCTTGTCGATTAGCCGAAGGTAGTCTAGTATAGGAAGTAGTATCTCCTAGAGGTGTGGCTCTTAAAGAAAAGACTATGAAAGTTATAGATCTCTAACTATAGGGACTTCCTTATTAATATCGTTAATAGTAAGATAAATAGCTCCTAGTAGTATTGTAAGTACTACAATAAGATCTTCGGTATATTAGTAATAACTAGTATAGCTACCTATCTTAATACTAAATATAGTTAGTTTAATACAATAAAGGAAGCCTATCTAGTTAAGAGGTCGAATAAGTCGGTCCTTATAATATAGATATTGGCTGTTCTAGTTGTAAAGCTGATAGCTAAGGTCCTTAAGTGGTTATTCCTTTTTTAGATTATTAGTAACGATCTTCTATTTACTATTATTAAGGATTAAAACCTTTATAAGATATTGGAGATCTTTAATCGATAGTTCCTCTATAAGTTGGTCCCCTTTGGGGGGAATATAATCTGAAGATAGGCTGCTAACTACTATTAAGAAGAGAAGAAAGCCTTAACGAAGATATTTATATCGATAAAGTATATAAAATACCTCTCTTTCGATATCTGGACTTTGCTAAACTTATATATATTGCTCGGTATTATAACGAGTTTTGTCGATATATAGTACCAGCTCCAGATAAGGTTGTTGGGTATAGTTTAACTCTAAGACTTCTACTCTGGTAAGGTGTAAGCTGTTGAGATATTAAAGGTTATCCGCGATTTTGAGATAGAGCTAGATGTTGGCTACTTCTAATACGATAATACGTCCTTAAACGATATTTACGTTACGGCTATCCTTCTCAGTATTTAATAACCGGGTCGAGTATAAGCGCTTAACGAAAAGAAATAATAATAACTTTACTACTTCGGTTATATCGTTAATCTCGGTATAAAGGCCTTTATCGAGATGTGACGAACCTGTCTCTAGACCCGTCCTGTTAGGGTTCAGTATCGGTCGAAGGTATTCTCTCAAGGGTGCTTAGGTTCGGTGCAGCCAAAGGGTGCACAACAAAGACTTGTCTCAACAGTAGGCTCTCGAGCTTGTAGCGAACTGTAGTTGTGATTGCTAACTGGAGAACTCCCAGAGCTCTCCAGAACGAGTGACTATATACTGCTATCTAACGTGTTGATCCCTCTGCTCCCTATGCTCCCGAGGAGCGATGGGAGCGTCGTGAGCAGTGAGTGCGGCGAGTGCTCCCCGTGCTCCCTTCCTCGAGAGGGAGCGTCGGGAGCGCTTTCACTTGTCGCAACGATTGGCCGTTGGACCCTTAAATGATTGGCCGGGACGTCCCGCATCCCGCAGGCCAAGACCGCGTTGGGCCTAATCCGTGACACGATGCCCCTCCTCCGCGGTCGACGTCCCGACGACCTTATTCCCTTCCGTGGTTTTTGTCATAAGGAGCCGGCTAGTCCTCCTCCCTTCGTCCTGGGGTGGGTGTCTCCCTTCTTTCTGCGCCTCTACCCATCATGCCTCCTAACCGTGTGCGAAAGAAACGATCGCAGAAATCCAGTACTGATCGCCGCCGCGATCGCGCATCCGCCCGAGACGAGTTTGCCGTTGAAATGGCCCGTTGTTCTCGTTGCAAAGAAAAGAACATTCCTGATTGCCGCGTGCCTCCTGAGGACGACGTCTGCACCGCATGCGCCAAGGTGCACAATAACAATTGTGACTCCTTCGGTTACGATAGTTCCGCCTTCCAACGCTTGGTCCTGCAGAAACGTCAACTGGACAAGGAGCGTCAAGAGGCCGATCAGGCCCTAGGCGCCGCCCTCGCGCGGGTTGACCGCTTGCGCCGTCAACACCAGTCCTTGGAGGATCAGGCACGCCGGATGTTTGACCAGGAGGGGAGGGTGCTGGAGGAGCAAGAGCGCCGCGAGGCTGCCGTCGCGCAGCCGTCTTCGAGTGCCGTTGTCGCTTCTCCCCTGGGTCCTTCCTGGGGTCAAAGGTGTGCCCCCTCTCTCTCCTGCTTCTTCTCGTCCTCGTGCTGACTATGCTAGTTTCTTTTCGGACGACCCCTTCCTCGCTGGGGTCGACTTGTCTGCGGGGTTTCCCTTGGTCGATCCGGGTTCCTCTGGTGGAACTCCTGAAGTTTCTCGGGGCAGTTGAGATTTGTAGCTGGTTGCCATGAATTGTCTTCTGGGCCAAAGTCCAGCCATTTGACCAAATACTCCAACTGTCCTTTCGTGATGCGTGAATCTAGGACTTCCTCAACGTCCCATTCCTCCTCTTCGTCTTCTGCCTCGGCGTCCTTGTCGAGTCGTGCGCCCTTGGGCGCTGGTTCCAGAAGTGAGATGTGGAAAACGTTGGTCCGTAGTCGCATTGTCGAGGGTAACGCGAGAGCGTAATTGTTCTCCGAAATCTTTTTGTCGATCTTGAACGGTCCGACTTTGCGAAAGTCGAGCTTCCTGCTTGGTCGCTTCGTGCGAAGATTTCGAGAAATGAGGTAGACTTTGCCCCCCTCCTCTAGGCGAGGTCCCTCGAGCCTGTTTCTGTCGTAGAACTTCTTCATCCGTGTTCGTACGAATTCGAGTTCTTCCTTGAGCATCGCGTGCAGCGAGCTCATTTTGTCGGCTTTGACTGCCGCTCTGGGCACCGAAACCTCGGGCCCTTGTCGCAAATCTGCTTCGTAGCCGAAATTCGCGAAGAATGGTGTGACCTTCGTGGTCTCCGTGACGGTGGTGTTGTAGGCGAGTTGTGCCGTTGGCAACAGCTCGACCCAATCATCCTGCTGGAAGTTGACGTACAACCGTAGGTATTGTTCAACGATCTGGTTGAGTCGTTCCGTCTGTCCGTCTGTCTGTGGGTGGTAAGCAGTTGAAAGCTTACTTTTCGTACCCAGTCTCGCCATCAGAGCTTGCCAAAACTTTGATGCGAACTTCGTGTCTCTGTCCGTGATCCACTCCTCCGGCCATCCGTGGACCGAGGTGATGTTGCGGTAGATCACATCTGCGAGTTGTTCTGCCGACCATGTTTCCTTGTAAGGGAGGAAGTAGCTCCACTTGGTGAGTCTGTCCACCATTGTGAGGATGCTGTCGTATTCCACTCCCGTTACCGAGTCCTTGGAGACTGGCAGTTTGGTGATGAAGTCCATCGTCACCGAACTCCATGGTCGTTCTGCGACTGGCAGTGGCTGCAATAGCCCGTACGGCTTGTGTCGTCCTGGTTTGCTTCGTTTGCAGAGGTCGCATTCCGCCAGGACCCCTTCTGCCGTCTGCTTGATTCCTGGGAAGTCGTAGTTCTGCTTGACTTTCGCAATTGTCTTGCCAATTCCCATGTGTCCTCCGAGTCTTGACTCGTGGATCTTTCGAATGAGCTCCTTTTGGTCACCAAGCCTGACGTAGGCCTTGTCGTGGTACCAGAGTCTCGTCCCTTCAAGTCGCAACCCTGCGATCTTGGATTCTGGCTCTTCCTGCCATGCATCGCGCTTGTCGTCCGCGATGATTCCCTGGAAGTCTCGTTCCAGTCTCTGTTCTCTGAAGGCCGCACAGCATTCTACAAACGGTTGCAGAGGCCTGGCTTCGGGATCTTCCGACTGTTGCTGAAGTGCTGCGATCTCGTAGTCTTCAGTCGGTTGGGAAGCGTGCCGTAGCGATCCGTCTGTCTGTTGATGTAGCAATGGTGGTGAGGCTTCAGACGCGTTGTCGTGGTGATCCGCTCTCCTACTCAAGGCATCCGCTCGTGCGTTTTCTGAGCCTTTCTTGTAGTGGATCGTGAAGTTGAATTCGGACAGAAATTCTGCCCACCGAGTTTGTCGTCCGTTCAGCACCTTCGTGGTGGTGAAGTATCGTAAGTTCTTGTGGTCCGTGTACACCTGAACTTCGTGTGTCGTGCCGCTGAGGTATGGTCTCCATTCCTGGAATGCTTCAATGATTGCGAGAAGCTCCTTGTCGTGGATCGGGTAGTTAAGCCTTGGTCCTTCGAGTTTCTTGGAGAAGAACGCAACTGGGTGAAGCTTGCCGTCCTTGTCCCTCTGACCAAGTTGTCCTCCGATCGCGAAGTCCGAAGCATCAGCCTCGACTTCGAAAGGTGTGCTTGGATCAGGCAGCATGAGCACCGGGTCGGCGATGATCGCATCGCGGATCCGCTGGAAAGCCTGCTCGTGCTCCTGCTTCCACTGGAATGTGGCATCCTTTTTGGTAAGTTCGTGCAGAGGTCTCGCGAAGTCGCCAAAATTCTTGATGAACATTCTGACGAAGTTGGCGAATCCGATAAATCCTCTGACCTCCGTGGCGTTCGTCGGTGTCGGCCACGTCTTGACAGCTTCCAGTTTCTCGGGTTCGATCTTGACCCATCCCGGGGAGATTTCGTAACCCAGAAACACTGTTTTCTTGACATGAAACTCGCTCTTGTCCTTGTTGACTGACAATTTGTGCTCGTGCAGTGCGTCCAGCACCTGCCGCACGTGTCTCTTGTGTTCTTCGAGTGTCTTGGAGTAGATGAGAATGTCATCCAAGTAACAGACTGCAAATTTATCGAGGCAATGTCGAATTGCGTGGTCGATAGCGGCTTGAAATGTCGCTGGTGCGTTGGTCAACCCGAACGGCATGACGAGGTACTCGTAGTGCCCGTAGGGTGTCCGAAAAGCCGTCTTCCATTCGTCTCCTTCCTTGATGCGGATGTGGGCGTACGCTGTTGGAAGGTCGAGTCGTGTGAAGTGTTGTGCTCCTGACAGCTGATCTCGAAGCCTCGAAATCAGTGGCAGCGGGTATCGGTTCTTCACCGTCTCGTTGTTCAACTGTCGGTAGTCCACACACATCCTGAGCTTCCCATCTTTCTTTGGAACGAAGAGGACTGGGTAGCCTGCTGGAGATGTCGATGGTCTGATGTGTCCTATCTCGAGATTCTTTTCGAGATAACTCCTCAACTCTGCATCTTGCTTCTCGTTGGTGTGGTACACCTTGAAAAACTTCAACTGGGCTCCTTCCTTGAGTTTGATCTCGTGATCCCAAGGTCCGTGGTCTGGTAGCCCTGCAAGATGTTTTGCCGTGAACGCCGGGTGCCCCTTGTAGTCGTCTGGGATCTGCCCCGTCTTTGCGTTCTTCGCTGTACCCTCGTAGTACGCGAACTTGTTGTTCCCAGGCTCGACGCTCGCTGCTTCGAGTTCCCTGACTTCTTCTGCTGCCAGCTCGATGCTTGCCGCTTCGAGCTGATTGACCCATTGTTCGTGTTTGAGCATTCCGTGCTCGTCGACTGAGACGACGGCGATGGTTCGTTCCTCCCGTGCCTGCTTCTTTCGTCGTGTGCCGCTTCTTCCGGACTCCAGAGTGCGTGGTTCTGCACTGGCTGCTTCCTGCGGTGGGCCCGTAGAGGGGGTTCGTTCTGACCCGCTGCTCTTCCGTGGCTCCTGTTCTGCGCGTTCTCCCATCAAGCTGGTCGGATGCTCCCGTTGTTTCCGCGGTCGCAGATGGCCATCTCCCTTCCAGCTGATGTCTGGGTCGTAATCCTCATGCCATGGGCGTCCGAGAATCATGTCTTTCTTCGGCCCCATGTTCACGATGTCGAATACCACTTGGGTGGTTATCCCTTCCACCTCAATGTCGAGTGGTTCTGTCTCTCGTCGTACCCATTGTGTGTCGAATGGTCCTTTGACGACGTGTGGTTGCTTCTTGATCCTCCATGGGATTCTGAGTTGATTCACAAATGCGGGCGAGATGAGATCCATCTGCGCTCCTCCATCCACTAACGCGAGGGCTTCGATCTTCCCCCATCGCGCTGTGATCCAGAGCCTGTTGTCTGGCTTGGTGCTTCGTACAGCAGCTACTTCGTGTTCGTCTGCTGGGAGGTCGTTGTAAGGCTTGTGCTTGCGCCAGTTCTTCCTGTACTGTGCGGCCTGTCTCCGTTGTTGTGGAGTTAGAGATTTCCGGGCCCCCCGAAGGGCCCTGAGCCGTTTCCCAAGCTCTCGTGGTGTTTCAAGGCGTCCCTGTCCGCACCTTGGCTTGCGGCATCGATCGTCTGGTGTTCTTGGAGCCATTGGGCCGCCCATGCCTCAACTGGGCGCCTCTCGTTCCTTCGGGACGCTCTCGTCCTCTGGTGTGGCTTCCTCTGGGATTGCTGTTCCATGTATCCCCAGATTTTCTCGTCGGCGTGTGGTAGGCAGTCTGCGCTTCGGCATTCGTTGACTCCTACGCCCGCCATACAGCGTCGGGGCCAGGCTGCCTTGGGTTTAACCCTCAGCCTGCCCTCGTGAGTGCGTTGGGTGTCCCACAACATGCCTGCGGGAGCGTCGCCGCTGTCGTATACCCATCTGATGGGCAGGGGTTGCATTCCCTTTTCTTCTCTTGTGGGCCAGAAACTGTTGCGAAATTTGTCCTGGAAGTGGTACCGACATTCGTGCGTGATGCACTGGAACCAGGGCAGGTAGATGTGACTTTCTTTTCGTGGGTCCACCCGCTCGTGGTCTTCTGATAACAACTGGAATCCCTCCGTGTTGTTCTCGCCCCGAAAACCCCACCATTCAAGGTCGGAGGTCTGTCGTCCGGCGCGCACGATGTGCTGATGTCGCGTCCAGTATTCTTCCCAGCTCTGCTGTTTTCTTCCTTTCGCCGCATTCTGTTCCTGTGCGTAGTCGAAAAGTTGCTCGGGGTATCGTACTCCGTTTTCGTATCCTTCCGCCTCTTCGGTGGGTCCATCCCACGGTGTGTGGTGCGGAAGTGCCTGGCGGATGTCGTCCTGCAAGGCCTGTGCCTCTCTTAATGTCTTTTCGACGTGATCCCCGGCCCTGTTGTTGGCCTCGGTGATCTCTTGGACTCGTTCCCTGGCGAAATCGAGTTCCGCGCAAAGTCGTCCGTACTGGTCGTTCCTTCTCTGGAGAAGTTGCTCGAGTTCTTCTTTCTCTCTTGACAACTCCTCGATCCTTTGTCGTTGGCTTAGGACCTTCTGTTGCAGAAAAATGAGGTTCGGGCTGACTCCTCCTTCACCCTCGTGGGTTCGCCATTGCCCGTCCTCTTGCTGAACCAGGGTGATGCCCCAGTCCTCAGCGACTTGTCGGATGTGCCGCGGGGGAGCCAGTTCTCCCTCGTCATCCGTTTCGATGAAAGCATGGTGGGCGGTGTCGTTTCCCTCCTGGTGGTTGCTGCTCATCAAGTCTTCTTGATCCGAGTCGGTGAGTTCATCGTCCTGCTCGATGACTCGGTCAATGTCGATTTCGAGGTCGTCCTGCGTGTAGCTGGCGGCTGCGACCTCCAGAAACCGGGTTCTTCTTCCGACCGTGTCTTGGTCGATGGTGGCAGCTTCCTTCCCTGGAACCGGTCTCCACTCTTTCTTGCTGCGGCAGTCACGTTTGAAGTGACCCTTCCTCCCGCAGTTGTAACAGGTGATGCCTGATTTGTCCTTGGCACCATCTCTCTTTCCTGCCCACTGTGCCTGGGCAGCGCTGACGTCCATGGGTCCCGAGTGCGTGCCGTATGACGTGCTCTGGTGCTGGCGTTTCTTTTTGTCGTTGGGCTTGTGGTAGCCTGCGGATCGCTGAACCTCGCTGCCCTTCTTCTGTTGTTTGCGGGCGAACTGTCGGTCGTCAATCTTGACAGCCATGGCGATGTACTCGTCGAGCGTGTCAGGTCGGCTCTCCTTGTAGAGCTCGTCCTTGACCTCCTCCTTCAGTCCTCCGTAGAACAGGTGCATCAGCCCCTCGTCGTCTATCTCTGCCTTCATGGAGTCTTGTCGGAAAATCGTGGCGTAGGCGGTGGCTGACCTAGTCTGCTTCAGCCGTCCTAGCCGTTCCTGGGCGTGTAACTTCTCGTCCTTGTCACCGAACACCTTCTGAATCTCACTCTCGAACTCGGAGTAGTTCTCGAAGACCTTTTTGGTGAAGGGTTTGTGGATTGCTCCGCCGAGGAAATCACTCAGTGTTCCCGTGAACCACTTGAGGGCCTTGTCCTTGAGTCGGGTGGCGGCGTATCTGGTCTTGGATTCCTCAGTGGCGAACTGGTGCGAGTTGTGGTCGAGATAGTTCCGCATCTCCGTGATCCAACCTGGCAAGGCTTCCTGGTCGCCCCCGTATTTCTCGGGTTGCTCCAATTTGACCTTCGTCTTGGCCGGGTCCTTGGTGTGGACCTCGGTCGCCTCAAGTCGGGCTGCCAATGCCGCGTTGCTGGCCTTGGTCTTCGCAAGCTCTTCTTCAGTTTCATCGAGTCGTTCGGTGACTCTCTGAAGCGCGGCCGTGATCTGGCCCGGCGTCGGTTGAGTTGCCATGTCGTTTTACCTTCGAGCCTGAACTGTAACAGATCAAAGGGAGTTAGCAACGTGTGACGAACCTGTCTCTAGACCCGTCCTGTTAGGGTTCAGTATCGGTCGAAGGTATTCTCTCAAGGGTGCTTAGGTTCGGTGCAGCCAAAGGGTGCACAACAAAGACTTGTCTCAACAGTAGGCTCTCGAGCTTGTAGCGAACTGTAGTTGTGATTGCTAACTGGAGAACTCCCAGAGCTCTCCAGAACGAGTGACTATATACTGCTATCTAACGTGTTGATCCCTCTGCTCCCTATGCTCCCGAGGAGCGATGGGAGCGTCGTGAGCAGTGAGTGCGGCGAGTGCTCCCCGTGCTCCCTTCCTCGAGAGGGAGCGTCGGGAGCGCTTTCACTTGTCGCAACGATTGGCCGTTGGACCCTTAAATGATTGGCCGGGACGTCCCGCATCCCGCAGGCCAAGACCGCGTTGGGCCTAATCCGTGACACGAGATAAATAATAAGGAGGATTGTAATAGTCCTATTGGAAGACTTTATCGTATTATCTACCATATCTGCTATAGCCTATAGCGATACGAGACCTTTAATAAAGCTGCTAAACTTAAGAGTGTAAATAACGATATAATTAGTTAGTTTAATATCCTATTATCTTGTCTATATAATAATATCCTGTTATAATTAGTAGCTGATAATAATATATGTTGGAACTCGGTCTTCTTAATGATTGAACGTACCTTTAAATTTAGGGAGGCGATTAACTTCTTTTGCGCGGTTAAGAGAGATGGTCTTGCCTATAATGATACCCTTAGTAACGAAGATTGGTTAATGCTGGCTGAGATATATATAATCTTAAGGCTATTTGTAATTGTAACTAAGATATTAGAAGGAAATGGATTAACGATACCTAGTATTATTTACGTACTCTATTTACTATTTAATAGCTTAGAGGCTAATCTTATTCAGTATAGCACCTCCTAAGTAATTAACTCCCCTTCGCTAGACCCTTTTACAATGGTACTATCTCCTATACCCTCTTAACAACCTTAGCAATAGACTACCTTACTACACTACTTCAATAGCTATAAGGTTGATTATCTAAGTTAGTGAATAATAACCCTTTTATAGGGTAAGGCTAGCGATGAACTAACGTATCCTCCGGTATTACTATTCTCTAAAGAAATAGATAGGGGATGGTTTATTTAGGTAGGTATTAGAAGCTCTATTACGAAGTTTAAGGAGTATCGCAAACTTCTTAACGATTTATCGGTATACTGGTTTACGATGATCCTTTATCCGAGCTATAAAATGCTCTAGATGGAGAAGAACCTCTAGCTATACTAAGTTAATAGTTATATTGCCGGCTTGAAGTAATGCTTTGAAGACCAGTATATACCTGTTGAGGAGGTTGCTAGCAGTAACCCGGCTGCCTAGGGGGTATAGGAGGAATAGGATAACTTCTTTACTAGTTTTAACTATTAAGACGATAATAATAATAATTACGATGAAGTTGGCTGTTATCTCTCTGAACCTCCCGTTAAAGTGGGTAACCCGCTAGACTGGTGGAAGTCCAACCTTGTATAGTTCCTACAGCTTTTAATAATGGTGTTCGATTATCTCTCTATTCCAGCGATATTTTCCGAATACAAGCGAATATTTAGTCGCACTAAGTATATAATAACCCACTAACGATATTCGCTTTACGTAGAGATAACAAATATACTGTAATGCTTGAAGAACTGGGTGGAAGATTATAACTTTTGAAGTGCTGGGGTTAAGGAAGTCTGTTAGGGGTTAGGGGTTAGTTTATAGGGGGGGGAGCTGCGGGGGTAGTTGCGGGGGGCGTTGCCAGTTGCTTAGTTAGAAAAAAACAAAATTTGATAGATTTGAATTTTATTGCGTTTTTGAACGATTCAGCAGTTTGTAAGATCATTTAAATTGACTGTGTTTTGATGGAATGGATAGATCTGACGGCTCTGGCCGAGGAAGATTCAGGGGGATGTGGTTAAGGGTTAGGGTTATATATGGCGGGGGGGGTTGACTTGACCTAGGGCAAGCAAGTTCAATCAAGTCAAGTCTGGGCAAGTGTGGGCTAAGTTAAGCCAAGTAAGCCTTCAAACTTGACTTGATTGCGTTGTGGAGGGCCCTGGTTTAATGTTCTCCGACTCCTCCCACATACGACTCGAGTAATCGTCCTATCTGTCCATCAATAACTGACCAAATCAAGGGTGTATTTGAGGCTCAGCTCAAGAGGAGCACGCTACCCCATGTAGGCAGTCGCCGCGGCCCCCAACTCCCAAGGGCTGACGCTGAGTCGTTGACCCACGTGCGATACATAAAATGCAAAGTTCTTTTTGGCAACCCAGTTGATCTATGTGCCAAGGCGCTAGAAAACGGGCGGTTAAGATTGCCTGAATCCTCTTTTAGAAGTCTGATCATCACGAGCATTGAACAAAAAGCCGGGGAACCGTTAACCGAAAAAATGGCTTCTTTCCTTTTACGCTCATTCTACACAGGAGGTTGACATCATAGTCGCTGTGATCGATATGTACAAAGCGGCGCTCCCCCTGCTGCTCAGCGGCGCCGGCTTCGTGTCGGCTACCCTGCAAGTCGATTTCGAATCCACGGGTGAGCGACCTTGAACATCCCCATCACCTGCTTCGCACTTCAACTAGTCCAAGATGTTGGCTGACCTCCTCCCCTTCTAGCTTCCATCAAAGCCGCCGCTAAAGATGTGGCTTTTGACGTCATGTCGTATTACAAGGGCAACCAGTCCGGAGAAATTCCCGGCATTTTTGGCTTGCCATCGCCGACGGACGATCCACACCAGTATTGGTCGACCGGCGCAAGGCTGTGGTCAACCATGCTAGACTACTGGCGCTATACGGGCGATGATACTTACAACTCAGTAGCAATGGAGGGCCTTGTACACCAGATTGACCCAGGCCAGGAATACCCCTTTATGTCCCCCAACTGGACCGCTGCTATGACCACCTCCGGCCACGGCTTCTGGGGCTTGTCGGCCATGTCCGCCGCCGAGCTGGAGTTTCCCAACCCACCTGGAGGAGAACCGAGCTGGATCGAGCTGGCTCAAAACGTGTTCCGAGCGCTAGAAGCGCGTTTCGCCATGGAAACCATGTGCGGTGGTGGCCTGCGTGCGCAGGTGCCGCTGGTAAACCAAGGCTACCATCTCAAGAGCACGTTGGCCAACGCCGTCTTTCTCAACCTGGGCGCTCGCCTCGGCCGGTACACGGGAAACCAGACCTACGCTGAGTGGGCCGATAAGACGTGGGACTGGCTCTCTTCCGTCGGACTCATCGAGGAGTCCACCGATTCCATCGCCATCCACAACTCCATCCCGGTCAACAACTGCAGCCACGTCCGCAAGAACAACTGGACAATCTTCACGGGTACCCTCCTCGAGGGCGCCGCCTATATGTACAACCAAGTACGCCTTCCCCCCTCCCCCCTTCCCCATCCCCCCTTCCAAAGCCCCCCGCCAATCCATTATTCCACCCCCATCACTACCAATCACTAACCACCCCCCACCCTCACCAGACCACCGGCGACGCCCAAACCACCTGGCGCAGCCGCATCCGAAAGATGACCCGCCGCGCCCTCGCCACCGACTTCCCCGCCACGACAACCACGGGCGAGCTCGTCCTGGTCGAGCCCGGGTGCGAGGCGCCGTCGCCGTACACCTTCCCCTGCGACCCGCAGGAGCACTACGGCAAGGGCGCCTACCTGCGCGCGCTGGCCGGCACGGCGCAGCTGGCGCCCTTCACGCGCGGCGAGATCGCGCGCCGCGTGCGGGATTCCGCCGTCGCCGCGGTGAGGGTGTGCGAGGGTGGGTTGAGGGGCCGGGCGTGTTCGTTCGTGTGGAATATGGATCCCGGGTGGGAGAACAGGGCGGCGGGGTCGGATGATCTGGGCATTTATGGGCCTGGGGCGCCGGCGGAGCAGATGAATGTGCTTTCGGTGCTGGTGGGGTTGTTGGTGGATGAGCCGGCGGTGGGGGGGTTTGCGAGGGATTTGACGGTGGGTCAAGGGGGGGAGGGTGGCGATGGGGAGGGGGGTGATGGGTCGCAGGGTGATGGGGATGGTTCTGGTAATGGTGACGGATCTCAGGGTAATGGAGATGGGGGGTCTGCGGGTACAACGAGGCGGGTTGCGGCCGGGTGGGTGGTGGCGGGTTTGGTTGCTGCCCTATTGTAGACTTATAGTGTAGGTATGAAGAGTATATGATAGATACACGATAGAATCACATTTTGGCAACTAGTAATGAAATGCATGTATTACTGGAAGTCAACGTATACTTACCGGTTTAGGGGGGGGGTTGGGGAGCGGGTTGATATTGGCTCGTACTGAACGAGCGGATTGTAGATGACTTAATCGTTTAGGCAGCGCGTTGAGGGAGACGTATACTTCGCCAAGCTGCTTGTCTTTTAAACTATATAAAATAGCTTATTCAGCAGATATCTCGGCGCAATTAAACTATATACAAAGTTAAACCATACCTTAACAAATCATTATATATTAGTAGTTAATATACTATTTATTTACAATAATTGATTTATATAAATAAGTAGCTAGTTAAGGTAGCTATTTATAGCTATAAACACTATTAAAACAAAGTATTTAAAAGAGCTAAATCGCAAATTAAACACTTTAATAATATAAACTATAAAATTCAATAAACTGTTAATGAATATAGTATATAGGGTTTAAAATAGGAGCCGCTTATTATAGATAAGCTATATATCAAATAAACCGCTTATTCTCAACAAGCGGCTCAGCTAGAATAAGCGGCTCGAACCTAGGTGTCACGGATATGGTCACATGCAGCCGGCCAGCGGGGCGCGCTGGCAGCGTCCCGGGCCAATCAAGACGGGACGCCTAGCTACCAATGAGAAGGAGATCTGTGGTGGTTACAATGATCTATGGACAGACCACGGCAGTGGTAACAGATCAAGGGGCTCGGCCTCCTGGATCTGTTGACGACCCACCACGGATCACGCAGATCCAGGTACAGAGGTACCTAGGAATTAGATAGTATATAGTCACTCGTTCTGGAGAGCTCTGGGAGTTCTCCAGTTAGCAATCACAACTACAGTTCGCTACAAGCTCGAGAGCCTACTGTTGAGACAAGTCTTTGTTGTGCACCCTTTGGCTGCACCGAACCTAAGCACCCTTGAGAGAATACCTTCGACCGATACTGAACCCTAACAGGACGGGTCCAGAGACAGGTTCGTCACACGTTGCTAACTCCCTTTGATCTGTTACAGTTCAGGCTCGAAGGTAAAACGACATGGCAACTCAACCGACGCCGGGCCAGATCACGGCCGCGCTTCAGAGAGTCACCGAACGACTCGACGAAACTGAAGAAGAGCTTGCGAAGACCAAGGCCAGCAACGCGGCATTGGCAGCCCGACTTGCGGCGACCGAGGTCCACACCAAGGACCCGGCCAAGACGAAGGTCAAATTGGAGCAACCCGAGAAGTACGGGGGCGACCAGGAAGCCTTGCCAGGTTGGATCACGGAGATGCGGAACTATCTCGACCACAACTCGCACCAGTTCGCCACTGAGGAATCCAAGACCAGATACGCCGCCACCCGACTCAAGGACAAGGCCCTCAAGTGGTTCACGGGAACACTGAGTGATTTCCTCGGCGGAGCAATCCACAAACCCTTCACCAAAAAGGTCTTCGAGAACTACTCCGAGTTCGAGAGTGAGATTCAGAAGGTGTTCGGTGACAAGGACGAGAAGTTACACGCCCAGGAACGGCTAGGACGGCTGAAGCAGACTAGGTCAGCCACCGCCTACGCCACGATTTTCCGACAAGACTCCATGAAGGCAGAAATAGACGACGAGGGGCTGATGCACCTGTTCTACGGAGGACTGAAGGAGGAGGTCAAGGACGAGCTCTACAAGGAGAGCCGACCTGACACGCTCGACGAGTACATCGCCATGGCTGTCAAAATTGACGACCGACAGTTCGCCCGCAAACAACAGAAGAAGGGCAGCGAGATTCAGCGATCCGCAGGCTACCACAAGCCCAACGACAAAAAGAAACGCCAGCACCAGAGCACGTCATACGGCACGCACTCGGGACCCATGGACGTCAGCGCTGCCCAGGCACAATGGGCAGGAAAGAGAGATGGTGCCAAGGACAAATCAGGCATCACTTGTTACAATTGCGGCAAGAAGGGGCACTTCAAACGAGACTGCCGCAGCAAGAAAGAGTGGAGACCGGTTCCAGGGAAGGAAGCTGCCACCATCGACCAAAACACGGTCGGAAGAAGAACCCGGTTTCTGGAGGTCGCAGCCGCCAGCTACACGCAGGACGACCTCGAAATCGACATTGACCGAGTCATCGAGCAGGACGATGAACTCACCGACTCGGATCAAGAAGACTTGATGAGCAGCAACCACCAGGAGGGAAATGACACCGCCCATCACGCTTTCATCGAAACGGATGACGAGGGAGAACTGGCTCCCCCGCGGCACATCCGACAAGTCGCTGAGGACTGGGGCATCACCCTGGTTCAGCAAGAGGACGGGCAATGGCGAACCCACGAGGGTGAAGGAGGAGTCAGCCCGAACCTCATTTTTCTGCAACAGAAGGTCCTAAGCCAACGGCAAAGGATCGAGGAGTTGTCAAGAGAGAAAGAAGAACTCGAGCAACTTCTCCAGAGAAGGAACGACCAGTACGGACGACTTTGCGCGGAACTCGATTTCGCCAGGGAACGAGTCCAAGAGATCACCGAGGCCAACAACAGGGCCGGGGATCACGTCGAAAAGACATTAAGAGAGGCACAGGCCTTGCAGGACGACATCCGCCAGGCACTTCCGCACCACACACCGTGGGATGGACCCACCGAAGAGGCGGAAGGATACGAAAACGGAGTACGATACCCCGAGCAACTTTTCGACTACGCACAGGAACAGAATGCGGCGAAAGGAAGAAAACAGCAGAGCTGGGAAGAATACTGGACGCGACATCAGCACATCGTGCGCGCCGGACGACAAACCTCCGACCTTGAATGGTGGGGTTTTCGGGGCGAGAACAACACGGAGGGATTCCAGTTGTTATCAGAAGACCACGAGCGGGTGGACCCACGAAAAGAAAGTCACATCTACCTGCCCTGGTTCCAGTGCATCACGCACGAATGTCGGTACCACTTCCAGGACAAATTTCGCAACAGTTTCTGGCCCACAAGAGAAGAAAAGGGAATGCAACCCCTGCCCATCAGATGGGTATACGACAGCGGCGACGCTCCCGCAGGCATGTTGTGGGACACCCAACGCACTCACGAGGGCAGGCTGAGGGTTAAACCCAAGGCAGCCTGGCCCCGACGCTGTATGGCGGGCGTAGGAGTCAACGAATGCCGAAGCGCAGACTGCCTACCACACGCCGACGAGAAAATCTGGGGATACATGGAACAGCAATCCCAGAGGAAGCCACACCAGAGGACGAGAGCGTCCCGAAGGAACGAGAGGCGCCCAGTTGAGGCATGGGCGGCCCAATGGCTCCAAGAACACCAGACGATTGACGCCGCAAGCCAAGGTGCGGACAGGGACGCCTTGAAACACCACGAGAGCTTGGGAAACGGCTCAGGGCCCTCCGAGGGGCCCGGAAACCGCTAACTCCACAGCAACGGAGACAGGCTGCGCAGTACAGGAAGAACTGGCGCAAGCAGAAGCCTTACAACGACCTCCCAGCAGACGAACACGAAGTAGCTGCTGTACGAAGCACCAAGCCAGACAACAGGCTCTGGATCACAGCGCGATGGGGGAAGATCGAAGCCCTCGCGTTAGTGGATGGAGGAGCGCAGATGGATCTCATCTCGCCCGCATTTGTGAATCAACTCAGAATCCCATGGAGGATCAAGAAGCAACCACACGTCGTCAAGGGACCATTCGACACACAATGGGTACGACGAGAGACAGAACCACTCGACATTGAGGTGGAAGGAAAAACCACCCAAGTGGTGTTCGACATCGTAAACATGGGGCCGAAGAAAGACATGATTCTCGGGCGCCCATGGCATGAGGAATACGACCCAGACATCAGTTGGAAGGGAGATGGCCATCTGCGACCGCGGGAACAGCGGGAGCATCCGACCAACTCGATGGGAGAACGCGCAGAACAGGAGCCACGGGAGAGCAGCGGGTCAGAACGAACCCCCTCTACGGGCCCACCGCAGGAAGCAGCCAGTGCAGAACCACGCACTCTGGAGTCCGGAAGAAGCGGCACACGACGAAAGAAGCAGGCACGGGAGGAACGAACCATCGCCGTCGTCTCAGTCGACGAGCACGGAATGCTCAAACACGAACAATGGGTCAATCAGCTCGAAGCGGCAAGCATCGAGCTGGCAGCAGAAGAAGTCAGGGAACTCGAAGCAGCGAGCATCGAGCCTGGGAACAACAAGTTCGCGTACTACGAGGGTACAGCGAAGAACGCAAAGACGGGGCAGATCCCAGACGACTACAAGGGGCACCCGGCGTTCACGGCAAAACATCTTGCAGGGCTACCAGACCACGGACCTTGGGATCACGAGATCAAACTCAAGGAAGGAGCCCAGTTGAAGTTTTTCAAGGTGTACCACACCAACGAGAAGCAAGATGCAGAGTTGAGGAGTTATCTCGAAAAGAATCTCGAGATAGGACACATCAGACCATCGACATCTCCAGCAGGCTACCCAGTCCTCTTCGTTCCAAAGAAAGATGGGAAGCTCAGGATGTGTGTGGACTACCGACAGTTGAACAACGAGACGGTGAAGAACCGATACCCGCTGCCACTGATTTCGAGGCTTCGAGATCAGCTGTCAGGAGCACAACACTTCACACGACTCGACCTTCCAACAGCGTACGCCCACATCCGCATCAAGGAAGGAGACGAATGGAAGACGGCTTTTCGGACACCCTACGGGCACTACGAGTACCGCGTCATGCCGTTCGGGTTGACCAACGCACCAGCGACATTTCAAGCCGCTATCGACCACGCAATTCGACATTGCCTCGATAAATTTGCAGTCTGTTACTTGGATGACATTCTCATCTACTCCAAGACACTCGAAGAACACAAGAGACACGTGCGGCAGGTGCTGGACGCACTGCACGAGCACAAATTGTCAGTCAACAAGGACAAGAGCGAGTTTCATGTCAAGAAAACAGTGTTTCTGGGTTACGAAATCTCCCCGGGATGGGTCAAGATCGAACCCGAGAAACTGGAAGCTGTCAAGACGTGGCCGACACCGACGAACGCCACGGAGGTCAGAGGATTTATCGGATTCGCCAACTTCGTCAGAATGTTCATCAAGAATTTTGGCGACTTCGCGAGACCTCTGCACGAACTTACCAAAAAGGATGCCACATTCCAGTGGAAGCAGGAGCACGAGCAGGCTTTCCAGCGGATCCGCGATGCGATCATCGCCGACCCGGTGCTCATGCTGCCTGATCCAAGCACACCTTTCGAAGTCGAGGCTGATGCTTCGGACTTCGCGATCGGAGGGCAACTTGGTCAGAGGGACAAGGACGGCAAGCTTCACCCAGTTGCGTTCTTCTCCAAGAAACTCGAAGGACCAAGGCTTAACTACCCGATCCATGACAAGGAGCTTCTCGCAATCATTGAAGCATTTCAGGAATGGAGGCCATACCTCAGCGGCACGACACACGAAGTCCAGGTGTACACGGACCACAAGAACTTACGATACTTCACCACCACCAAGGTGCTGAACGGACGACAGACTCGGTGGGCAGAATTTCTGTCCGAATTCAACTTCACGATCCACTACAAGAAAGGCTCAGAGAACGCACGAGCAGATGCCTTGAGTAGGAGAGCGGATCATCACGACAACACATCTGAAGTCTCACCACCATTGCTACATCAACAGACAGACGGATCGCTACGGCACGCTTCCCAACCGACTGAAGACTACGAGATCGCAGCACTTCAGCAGCAGTCGGAAGATCCCGAAGGCAGGCCTCTGCAACCGTTTGTAGAATGTTGTGCGACTTTCAGGGAACAACGACTGAAACGAGACTTCCAGGGAATCATCGCGGACGACAAGCGCGATGCATGGCAAGAAGAGCTGGAATCCAAGATCGCAGGTTTGCGACTTGAAGGGACGAGACTCTGGTACCACGACAAGGCCTACGTCAGGCTTAGTGACCAAAAGGAGCTCATTCGAAAGATCCACGAGTCAAGACTCGGAGGACACATGGGAATCAGCAAGACAATTGCAAAAGTCAAGCAGAACTACGACTTCCCAGGAATCAAGCAAGCGACGGAAGAAGTCCTGGCAGAGTGCGACCTCTGCGGACGAAGCAAACCGCCACGACACAAGCCATACGGGCTGTTGCAACCATTGCCAGTCGCGGAACGACCATGGAGTTCGGTGACGATGGACTTCATCACCAAACTACCACTGTCCAAGGACTCGGTAACGGGAGTGGAATACGACAGCATCCTCACAATGGTGGACAGACTCACCAAGTGGAGCTACTTCCTCCCTTACAAGGAAACATGGTCGGCAGAACAACTTGCAGACGTGATCTATCGCAACGTCACCTCGGTCCACGGATGGCCGGAGGAATGGATCACGGACAGAGACACGAAGTTCGCATCAAAGTTTTGGCAAGCTCTGATGACGAAGCTGGGTACGAAGAGTAAGCTCTCGACTGCTTACCACCCACAGACGGACGGACAGACGGAACGACTCAACCAGGTCGTCGAGCAATATCTACGGTTGTACGTCAACTTCCAGCAGGACGATTGGGTCGAGCTGTTGCCAGCAGCACAACTCGCCTACAACACCACCGTCACGGAGACCACGAAGGTCACGCCATTCTTCGCGAATTACGGCTACGAAGCAGATTTGCGACAGGGGCCCGATGTCTCGGTACCCCGAGCGGCAGTCAAAGCCGACAAGATGAGCTCGCTGCATGCGATGCTCAAGGAAGAACTCGAGTTCGTACGAACCAGGATGAAGAAGTTCTACGACAGAAACAGGCTCGAGGGACCTCGCCTAGAGGAGGGGGGCAAAGTTTACCTCGTTTCTCGAAATCTTCGCACGAAGCGACCAAGCAGGAAACTCGATTTTCGCAAAATCGGACCGTTCAAGATCGACAAAAGGATTTCGGAGAACAACTACGCACTCGCGTTACCCTCGACAATGCGACTACGGACCAACGTTTTCCACATCTCGCTTCTGGAACCAACGCCCGAGAACGCGCGACTCGACAAGGACGCCGAAGCAGAAGACGAAGAGGAGGAATGGGACGTTGAGGAAGTCCTAGATTCACGCATCATGAAAGGACAGTTGGAGTATTTGGTCAAATGGCTGGACTTTGGCCCAGAAGACAATTCATGGCAACCAGCTACCAACCTCAACTGCCCCGAGAAACTTCAGGAGTTCCACCAGAGGAATCCGGACCGACCAAAGGAAGCCCCACAGACAAGTCGGCCCCGGCGAGGAAGGGGTCGTCCGAAGAAAAACTAAGCACTGTCAGCAAGGAAGCAAGGAGGGGAGTAAAGAAGACAAACTTTTGAACCCAAGGAAAGTCAAAAGAAGGAACGCCGGCGACACCCGAGGAAGACGGTTGCCCGGTAGCAACCTCCCGGCGCTCCTGCTCCACGAACACCTCCCGCTCCTGCTCAAACATCGCCAGAGCCTTCTGTTTCAGGGCCAGGCGCTGAGTCCGCAGGCGGTCCGCCTTTTCCAGAGCCGTCATAAGGGCACGGCTCGCGTCAGAACGAGCACTTCGAATCTCATCCAACGCCGCGCGCTCTTTCTCGTCCAGCTCCCCGAGAGCGCGGTTAGCAGCGCGGATGGCCTCCGTCGCGGCACGCTCTTTCTCGTCCAGATTGCGTTCTTGATCCACCAGTCGGCGAACAGCAGAATCGTCGTTGCCAAAGGCGTCGCACGAATAGTTGCCGGCGCGAAGACAGCTACCACAGACGTCGGAGTTTTCGGCGGCTTTGCAGTCCGGAAGCTTTAGCGTTTTGCAACGAGTACACGTCACCATTGCGCTTCCAATCAAGTCGGCAAGGAGAGCCCCAGTGTGACGTCGTTCAGTGCTGGATTTCTGTTTCCGCTTTTGTTTCCGTTTCCTTATACCGTCAGTCATGGTGGAAGAATGAGTGGGGAGAACAAGGGAACCTACTAACCCAATGGGATTGGGGACTATTGGCACTATTTCAGGAAGTTGGCTGGGAAGTGCGGCCGACGGGACGTCGACCCTGGAGGAGGGGCATCGTGTCACGAGTATGCCGACCTCGGGGCGCGGGACGCCCCGAGCTGGTTACGGTAGACGGACCAATTAAAGAAGAAAGGGGGTGATCAGTGAGCTCAGTCGCCAAGCACTTGCCAAGTGTACTGAGCACACTGAGCACTTGGACCGCGCCACCAATCAGGACACGAGGAAGGTACTCAGGGAGCTCAGTCCGCTCAGTAGGCTCAGTGTCCGGAGAGCACACTGAGCACACTGAGCACACTGAGCACCCAAGAATTAGATAGGTATATAGTCACTCGTTCTGGAGAGCTCTGGGAGTTCTCCAGTTAGCAATCACAACTACAGTTCGCTACAAGCTCGAGAGCCTACTGTTGAGACAAGTCTTTGTTGTGCACCCTTTGGCTGCACCGAACCTAAGCACCCTTGAGAGAATACCTTCGACCGATACTGAACCCTAACAGGACGGGTCCAGAGACAGGTTCGTCACATTGGAGCAGCTCAAAGTATTAAACCGCTTATTTTCTAAACCGTTCAAACTCATCAAACAGTATTCTATACCGTTCGTTTTAGAATAAACCACTTATTTTTCAATCAGCTCAAACAGTTTAAGCTAATCGCTAAGGTAAGCGGATTAAAGGGCATTGAGCGGATTATCAAGATAAGCCATAAAGCAAAAATAAGGGGGAAAAATTTAACTCATTTATATAAGCCGCCCAACTCCATGAACGCTGCATGAACCGTCTGTCAACCGCTCGTCAACCCCCCCCCCCAAGCAGGTAAGTAGCTTTTAAAGTTAACCTGTTCCTAAGTTGTCTTCCGAGTATAAAAATGCCCAAAATTCCACCTCCATTCTACCTTTCCCCTCAGTATCCAAAACTCCTCGCATAATCCTCAAAGGTGTCGAAACAGGCCGGCTCATCCAGAAAGAGTGGGATGTACTCGTTCATCCATTCGCCATAAGGGTCCGCCGTGTAGCAGGCTTTACAGTATTCCCAGTACTCCGGATACCATCCCGACTGACGCCAGTCAATGAGTGCAACAATCTTTGAAGAATCGTTCGCAATGATGATGTTACTCGGATGTAAATCCGCATGGGTAAATACGGCTGCCGCTTCGTCGGGCAGACCATCCCGCCACGGATCTATGATCTCCCAGGGTAGTTTGCCAGGGAACTTGGGCTCGAAGCGTATCCTGGTCTGGAACGACATCCACTCGTGGAATTCGGCAACGGACTGGAAAGGGCCTGCAGAGGGTCGCACTCCGTCGGTAAAGGCGATATCCCCCAGCGGCTCGCGGTTCACATGGCCAAGGAAGAACTCGTCATCCGGCTCGTGCCGTAGGCTGCGCAAGGTCGTCAGGAGTGTACGAAGTTGGGTACAGACGTCGGTCCGCTCAAGCCGGTCGAGCGTGGGCCATTTGTCCTCTAAGGTAACTCCGGGGACCAGTTCCATGAAGATGAAGACCTCATCGTCATCGTGGATCCAGCCATAGACCTCTGGGAGTGGAAAGTCGGGCAACGCTTGACGGAGTGCCCAGAGACACTGACCCTCGGCGACCGTTACTTCGGGTGCACTTCCGAATTTGACGACAAGGCCAAGCTCCTCGAAGAGGGCTGGCTGGAAACAGCGTCGTCTTGTCTACTTTGACTGTGTTGCGCGCCTTGTGCGGACCTCGGCAGGTGATGGTAGTAGTGCGCTGGGTCCATTCCGTGAAAAGAACGAGGAGTCGGCGAAAACTGCAGACGCCGACGAGGGGAGGGATTTGCTGGATGGGATGGTTGCTGGCGTCATATTTCGTCGGAACGTGTACCCTTAAATGCCTTGGGTAATATTGATTCACGTCTTGAGTTGTTTTTGTGGAGGGGTGCTGGTCAAGTTACAGGCCCATGAAAAGAAGAACCAACAACTCAATGTCAACCAACCAAAAATGACCGCCCCTCCGAGTGGCCATGAGCCCCCGAAATATCTTTATAACGCACGTGATAAAGCCCAAGACTCGAACGAGGAGACTCAAGTCCACCGGGAATCTTCTTGAAGCGCAATGGCTGTCGAAGGATAAAGATGATTCAACAACCAATTCTGCGATCGACTAGGGCGATTGAGATCAGACAGATGGCTGTTACACCGCAGCCCAGACATCGGCGGACTACCGGGGGGACTCGGGCCGGGCCGCACGCGCCCCGAGATGCGGTACGGCACCATGAGGACCGGGGTCACATGCGGGACGGCGGCGGCGCGCGCGGTGGCCGGGCGGAAGGTCAGCACTTAGTTTGGACTTCACCTCCGGATTAGAAAAGTAACGTCATAATAGCTGACCCGTGGAGACTCGAACTTGTGACAATCAAAAAATGGACTCTCCCTCCGCGGCATTCACCCCTTCCCTGACCACCCTTTCCACTGCCTTCTCCGCATCTTCCTCCCCATCCAACAAATCCAACCACGTATTCCCAACCCCCTCACTCGCCAGCAATAGATCGGCCACGCGGGCCACAGTCTCGCGACTCACATTTCCCCTCGAGTGGCCCGTCTTGCCCAGCTCCACGGGCCCGGCGGGGTCGAGGGTGAGGGTACCGGGGCGGAGGTTGATGGCAGCAAAGCCGGGGCGCTTCTTGGCGGCGGCGTACAGGGCCTCGTCGGCGGCCAGCTTGGCGCGATAATAGTCCGGCAGGATGCGCTCGTTGAGGTGCTGCGCCGTGGCCCATGCGTCGTCGGACCACCACGCCGGCCGCGCCCGCCGCGAGGCGAGGTACGACACCATCAGGAACCGCGTCACCTGCGGGGCGGCGACGGATGCGTGGATGAAGTGCGTTGCGGCGTCGCGGTCGATGGCGTATGTCTGGGATCCCCCGGGGTAGGAGGGCGGAGGTCAGAACTTAGTTTCGACTTCACCTCCTCGGGCTACAGGGGAGATGTGACGTCACCGCGACTTACCCGTTCAGGCCCGCCTGTCCCACCAGCACCTACAACCCATCACCATCAATCAGCATCCAACAATGCCCAACCATCACCACTCTCCAAAACCAAAAGGATTGTTCACTCACCCGCACTCCAAACCACAAAATCCGCACCCACCTCCCCCAGCACCGCCCCCACATCCCCTTCACTCTTCACCTCTTCTAGACTGCGCACCAGCACGCTCAACTTCCCCTTGCCCTGCTCCGAGCCCCCACCGACCGAGTCCCCATCCAAGCCCTGCACGGCCGCGACCTGGGCCGGGTTGCGGATGACGCTGGTGACGTCCCAGCCGCGGCGCAGCAGCAGCGGGGTGAGCAGCTGGGCGATCTTGCCGTGCCCGCCGAGGAGCAGGACGTGGTGCGGGGCGGAGGGCATGGTGGGTTGCGGGGTTGTGGTGGTGGTGGTGGCGGTGGTTTGGGTTGGGTTGTTAGGTCGAGGTTTGGGATTGTAGGTGCTGTGTAGATTTGGATGGGGAGGTGTCTACACAGTAGGTATGTAGTTTTGCAAAGGGATGTTTGAGATTCGAGGCCCGAGGTGACGGAAGTTGGCACGGGGAAGTTGTCGCAATTGCGGGCCAGCAATTGCGCCTTACGTGATCACAGAAGCGGACTGGAATTAGGTCATACTGCAGCAGGTTTCATAACCCCGCTATGGGCCCTCCAATGAGCGTGTTAGTCTTGGGTAATTGGTTTCTTTCACAGTCTTGATTGTCGTTTCGGCAAACTGGGCTGGTGCTAATTGTGCCCAAAACTCGATGGAATGGAAAGACGCGGGCAGGTTGCTACACCACTAGCTAGCCGAGGCTGCCGAGCTAAAAGTCAGCGTAGGATGGCAAGATATCTTAGGACAAAACGAACTTGGGATTCAGGGTGAAAATGCATGTTCTTGGGGGTATGTGTTGCGCTGGATGTTCTCGGCCGCCTCGGAAGATGCAGTCAGCACCACCAAAAACAGGTGCAAAAAACGGGAACTGTCCGATCGAGTCAACGTCGCATATCACCATATCGGTTTATCTTGCTTTTTCTGTTGCTGGTATGTATACTAGGTGACCGACAACGTCCTTTCCCCAGACGGAAGGAAAAATGGAATATGACATGGGGCGCGCGAAAGAGAGGGACCCCGAGTCAAATGATGTCAGCTGCCGAATCCCGCCCCACCTTCCACATCGGGAATTCGACTTGAAGCTGCGGAAGTCGCCATTGGAGTTTCAGACGACCAGGATCCCGGAAATGGCTTCAAGTTTTCTTCTAACAAGATTCAAGTTGGCGACCCTATTGATACAGAAGCTGCCCCAGGGGCCATGGTGCCCGCCGTTGCGGGTGGGGGAGATTATGAACGGTCTAGGGGCGTTTACAATTGAATTCTGTACTAGTTGGTGCTGGCATTGTACTCTCGGGCTTGGACACGTGGTTGTGGACTTGGCGTCCATGGCGATTCAGAAAGCGAAGGTCTTTGTAGCCTTAGAATGTAGGCTTCAGCTCACCCTTTTCCCGCTCCCGCTTAATATTTGTCGTGGCGGGCGATGGTGTTGATAAATATGCATGTCCGGCAGCCGGCTGGCGTCCGAAGATAAGTTGCCCTTGAAGTTGACATAAGCCAGTGGTGTTGTAGGTAGGTGACCGAGACAACAACAGAACGAGGGGACACCCACCGGGGAGCGCATCGGCGCTGGAATCGGGTCGGCTGGCCGAGGAAGTCCTGTAAAGTCCGGTACGCGAAAGGCAATTTGGTGAGTGAGTACCTAGTTAGTGATTACGAGGGAAATAACGAACTGTTTAAGTGCAAAGGTACCTTCCTTAGGGGATAATTCTCTGCCTACGTATGTATTACACTCCCGCCGACTGCAACCGTTGCGAAGGAAATGATAATAACACAACAGTGCACTCTGTATTCGTGCTCCCACTGATTTCTCGAGCATGTCTTTTGGGAGTGCAGCGGATCGAATCACCACCCTTATCAACTACTGTTTCGACTCGAAAGTGTTCTCGTAGTTGTGGGTTGCGGCTCTTGAGCTGAAGTTACTGTTCGCGCTGTTTGAACTCTCGGGTCTTTTAATCGGGTCCTAGCCTGATGTTTGGACGGGACTGAGGAGCGTAGGCCTGTATTACGAGGTGCTCATCATCCCAAGACCCCGGGAAAGTGTCGACTGGCTCAAGTTGCAACACATGAAAAGCATTTGATATGGGCCCTCAGCGTATACGAACCCAACCATCCACAGACTAACGCCCTTTGAACGCCACGTTCTCGTTCTCGTTCTATCTTCTAACTACAAACCACGTCTCTACGTCATTCTTACCCCTTAACCAAAGATATACTCTCAATTCGTCACATGCCCTGGAACCAGAAGCCCCGTTTCCCGCTCCTCGCCGCTGACAGCAAGCTAGATCAACCTTCCTTGCTGTCAGGATCCGGCTCGACGGCAGCCAGGTGCTTCTTCTTCTGCGTTTTGTACGTTTTCCACGCACGAACCATCGCTTTTGGCTCTATTCCCGGGATACGTATCTCAGCGAGGGGATCCTCCTCGAGCTCGTTTTCGAGGATTTCTTCTTTGGTCACTGCGCCACAAGTTAGTTGGAAAGACGAGCGGCGAGCCATGTTCAAGTTTCCTACGGCCCCAGAACTTACAGTTAAAGTAGGATCTGCCCCGTCGATCTTCGTAATAGCCCCATTCGACCCACCTTCCTGTCGCTGCGCTCGCTCGCTCTATGTCCCGCTCCCGCTTCTCTTCTTCCGTGGGTCCAATTCCCTGATCACGCAACACTCGTATCCTGTTGTATTTCTCCGATATTCTTGCTTCGACCGTCTTCGGGTCGATGATGAACTCGGCCTCGGGACGCGGGGTGTAACAAAAGACTGCCGGGAACCATTGATCGACCGGCGAGTTGTAATCACCAAAGTCGAGCAGAATGCCGGGACCTTGCCAGTTCACGGCTCTCATCGTTTGGCAGGGAAGAAATCCGAGGTAGTAAAAAAAGTCCAACTGCCGTTGGACAGGGCCGAGCTCAAGCTTTTCCTCGGGGACATACTCATACACAATGGCGTAGTAGATCTTGTCACGCTCAAGGTAGCTGGCATAACCCTCACCATTATGTTTGGCATCGTAGTCTATTTCGATTATCTTGTTCATGCGCATGAAATCGGCTCCTTGAACGCGGATCCACCCGAAGCATTGGCGGAGCCGGGTGTCCGAGTCGGACATTGCGACTTTGGAATCGGCCGGGAGTCCGTCGAAATCGCGAGAGCGCCGACCGTCGGCCGAGAATGCGTACAGACAGCGCAGACAGTCGAGCCGTGTCGTCCGTTTGGCGGGGACGTGAATGGGTTCCGGCGAGGACTGGCGGAGGCCGGCCTGTACCTTCTCGAGGATCGCAACGTTGCGAGCTTCGCGTTCCAGTGGCCACCAGCCACCGTGTTCCGGGTCTGGGACCGAATCGAAAAACTGCCGGCGTTCATGTTAGCCGGCTGGAGCCGTCGGTGCAGCGGATCAGCACATGGGTAGGGTGACACTGCCACATACGATCTTGAGAGCGAACGACGACTTGTCGTCATCGAACTTGACGCGCCCCACGCAGCCCTCAATTCCATGGCCGAGCCTGTTATGGAGAGTGATCTTGTTGTAGGCACGGGGAAAACGTCGAAGCTGCGGCGAGAGGAAATCAGCCCAATTGCAAGCGGGTTCGCCTTGCATGGGCGTGTCTGACAAGAATGGCGGAATTTCCATCATTGATGATTCTGGTTCCATCGTTTCGCACGTTGATGAATTGGATTTTCAGGGTTGATGGAGAGCAGCTTTTTGCCGTGGTCGGTTGTTGGTTTGGTTGAGAGGGTGGTCAGTTGAACGAAGTCAAGCGGTGTGACACTGTTGGCTGGTGCGGCGTGCCTGTGCAGGAAACTTGACGCACATGGGACACAGTATCTTTGCAGACCGCGTACAGTATATATGCAACTCATCCCACCAATCACAACAGAATAGCCATGTGTTCAGCACAAGACCAACACCTTTCTGCTGCTGGCCGCCCCCCCTCCCCCCCCTAATTCAATCCACACCTACGCCAACGGAAGACGTCAGAGCACGAGCATATTCTATTTTTGTCTCAAGCAACTGGAGCCACTTGCCATCGAGTTGCCTTAGGCCCTGACCGTCGACGCGACCTCGTGGCGTGAGCACTGAGTGTTGTATGCTGTTGGTTCGAGATTTGAAGACTTGGAGTGCGGCCCAAGTTGCAAATCAAGGAATGGCTACTGACCGAGACTGGCCACCGTCCAGTTGAGCGCGGCACATTGCGCAAGATGTCCTGACCTCCACGGTGAATTCCATGATGCCATCCACCAAGCACCAAACTCGTGCCTGAAAGCTGAAGGTACCTTACCTATTGATTGGATACGGAGATACCTAGGCACCTACCTAGCTACCTAGACATAGGTACCCACGGGCCACGAGATATGTATCTAGTGCCATCTGGGAGCCCCGAGTGCAGAACCCCCAGGCCAGCCTTTTCAGAAACAGACTCCGAGACAGTTCCGGGTCACCGGCCTGATGCGGCCTGCGCCTTCGCTGTTGGCCATATTTTCCCCTTCTGCCACAAACTTGCCCCTTTCTCTAGCGCCAACTCGTAGACTTGCCACATGGAAGCGTCCAAAACCCTGAATGGCCAACGGGTGCGGCACCACACTACTTGTCGCCATCTCTGGCTCCCACACCCGGCGGCCATGTTTGAAACAGTTCGGGGAGTTGCATCCCCACAAGCAACCGGCAACACTTTTGAGGCGAATCGTGAGCGGCGCACTTCGTTCTCGCTTTCCCCGGGTCCAACAAGGTTACCGAGTGTTTCGTGTGTCTGCGGCCATGTGGTTAAGGTGAAACAAAACTGAAAATAGAACTCACGGCGAGTCTCCAGTCATCACTGAAGGGCGGAGGTTGATGGGCATTCAATGATTTAAGACACTGCGATGGCCCAGGTTCAGAGTTCGTAACTCCAAGATTCACAACCTCTCCCACAATTATAAGCGCAGAAGCTCATTCACCCACCATACTTCCTGCCATTCAGTCTCCATCCACTTGATTGCCTGCCCAGGAGGCCCTGGCATCACCCCCGACTCACTCGGCCGGTTCAGTCTCGAACCACCAGTCCCCCGTCCAAACTTGAAGACAACCCGACTCACAGCCAAAATCAGCAAACAACACGATGTCTGGCGCCGTGGTTCAGCCCACCATTCTCTCTGAATTAGGTGTCAAACTTCCAACACTTGACAATTCACGTGCTCTGAGTGGTAGGAACACGAGACCCGCCGACGACAGAGACTGGCCGGAGGTGGGTGATTGGTACGTCAGGCTCCGCGGCGAATTTCTCATCCCCGTGGGGTGTCCCTCGCCGCCTTTGTGACAGGTGGGAAAGTGCTAACGATTGAAAAGGCAGCTATGGGCAGATTTCAATTATGAAAATCTCCGATCCATCTTCCGGCCGATCGTTGAAGAGCCGTGGCCGAACGCTCCGTCCGACCACAGATTGCCTAATATTGATCCCATGGAAAGAGAGCTGTTCGACGAGAAGTCACTCGAATCCCATCTAACAAAGCACACGATGCCGCTTGTGAACGCGGCGCTCGTCCGGGCCAACACTCGGCTCCACCGGAGCCAAGACGACCGAGGTCACCTCTGGGCTAGCGGACGTGGCGGCGGTATTTTGGGGAAGCCAGATTGGTCTCTCTGTTCGCCAAACCGCAAGCAGCCCTCAGGTAAGTATGTCAACTTGGTCCCCGGAGATACGAAGCTATCCACAAAATGGAAACCGGGCATGAAGGACACGAATCCAGGGGAGTGGGCACTGCCGATACGCCAGGTTATGTCTTACAGCCGTGATCTCAAAGTCAGGTACGGCTTCGTCATTACCGACCAATATCTCATCGTTCTTCGCTTCAGTCGATTCGATATCGAGGACGGAATCGCGCAGGGCATGTCTAGGCGGGGGGTCACTGTTCATCAGACTGAAGGCCAACACTCGTCGGGAGCTTCCAATGCGCAGTCTCGGCCTCCGTCTGCCGCATCTGGCAGCACTGCTAGCCACGCTACAAGCGGACGAGATTCGTCGCCGTATTCCGACGGCGAACCCACCAATGAGTGGCGGGCGCCTCAGTATCAAGCCATCCCCTGGTCCAGCCACAACAGTACGACCGGCAAGTCGTCAGACACGAAGTCCCACGTGCTCACAGTCCGCCTGGCCCTTTTTTACCTCAGCCTGCTGGCCCTCTCCGGTTCCGACATCTCCATCGGCGGCGATTACCCGCCGTTGGACTCCTGGACTCGAACCAAGACCGGCTACGTCCACAACGCAACCGGCGAAAAGGTCACCCACGTCCCGGAGGATGCCACTGTGATTGAGCGGGGCCCGTCCCCGCCACCCTCCTCACATGCCTCGTCGCGGAGCAGCAGTAACGCGCCACCCTCCTCGCATGGGTCCTCGCGGAGCAGCAGCAACGCGCCGTCGCAGAAGGACAGCAGCCGGTCTAGCAGCCGGGATCCCGGCGCCACGCAGAGCCAGTCGGGCAGCCGGGGCGTCAGCGGCACGCGCCTCCACCCGGGCAGCCAGTCTGCCAGCCGCAGCGCCAGCACGACACGCCGCGACGCCGCGGGGCCGCCCGGCGGTGGACGCGCCACACGATCCTCGGTGCGGTTTGCGCCCACCCACGCCGACGAGCACGGCGGTTCCGCTTCCACCCCGGGCACCCCGCGGGGCAGGTCCCCGGCCGTTCCGGGTAGCAACCAGCAGGGCGGTTCCGCTCCCACCCGGGCTCCCAACCAGCAGGGCGGCCCGGGTCCTGCAAGCATCAACACCGTCATACGGAGCAGGCCGCCGTCGGGGAACACGCGGTCCCAATCCAACAGGCGCGCCGCGGAACATGATGCCGGTGCGGGCAACGGCGGCGGGAACGGAGGCAACGGCGGCGGAAACGGAGGCAACGGCGGCGGGAACGGGGGCAACGGTGGCGGAAACGGGGGCAGAGGAAGGAAGCCGGGTCCGAAGTAAGAGGTCGAGAGATGGAACGGGGAGCGTCTGAGTTAGGGGTATCGCCTAGGGGAGCCATGTGGGGATGAGAGTGCTGGTCGCTTGATTATTGATGGGTTTGGTTGAGATGGGTGGTGATGCTGCGGGCTTACGATAGACTGGACTGGGGTGGCGTTTTTGTTTTTGCTGTTTTTCTTTTTTTCTTTTTTCTTTTTTGTTTTGCTGTTTTTCCTTTTGTTTTGCTCTTTTTGTTTTTGCTCTTTTGTTTGCTTATAGACAGGGTTCCTAACACTTCCATAGAGGTACTTAGCGAGAAAAAACCTGACCAGCTGGTTTGGTTCAGATGACTTCGGGGGTTTCCATTGCAAATCCGTGAATTTACGTGATTTGCCATGCCAATGCATAATGGATACCTTCGACCTCACTTGCCGGTGACAATTTGAAATTACCGGTTAGGTACCTAGGTAAGAGGATGGAGGGAAAAGGAGGTAAGAGAGTGCAATAATGAAGAGAAAATGATCGAACGAAAGGCGAAACGTGAGAAAAGAAGGAAGAGGGAGATTAGAGAAACAACTGCGTGGAAAAGAAATATTAATAGGAATAGATCATAAGGCGGAAAAAGAAAGAAGGAAAAGGAAAGGAATGTATAAGAAATGAGGGTAAACAAAAGTAAAAGGAGAAAGTGGAGAATAAACTGCCATTTGCTAAACGATATATTCAGCTACCGATTGGAGATTAAGCTTATGGACATCGGTCTCTCACCGCACACACCAGATATAGTACCCAGTAGACAACCGCTCAAAGCATCAAGAAGTCCAACTCCGTATTCCTCGCCCCCAAAGACGACAACCCCTCCCCTCCCCCCATCACACCACCACCATTACCAACTCCCTCACTGCCCGCACTACCCGCACTCCCACCGGCCCCCACAGAAGCAGCAGCCCTTGCCCTCGCCCGCGCCCGCGCCGACCCGACCGCCTCCTCGACGCTCTGCACCAACTCGTCCAGCGTGACCGGCGTCATCGGCGGCGGCGGGACCTCGCTCACACCACCCCCGACACCCCCCACACCCAGCCCCACACTGCTCCCCGCGCGGGGGGACGCGGCGCTCACGTCCGTCTTCACGTCTGTCTTCCCGCCGTTATTACCACCACCACCACCACCACCACCACCACCACCACCGCTACCGCTACCACTACCATCATCACCAGTAGCACCCGTAGCGGCCGCAGCAGCCGCGAGCCAGTCCATGCCGTCGGCGACGCGGACGTGGATGGTGTCGGTGTCGGTGTCGGCCTCGGCCTCGGCTTCGGCTTCAGCGGTGGTGGAGGACGAGGACGGGGCGGTGGCGGTGGCCGGGGCTGGGGCTTGGTCGGGCCCGAGGCCGAAGCCGAGGCCGAGCTCGGTTTCGAGGGACAGCACGTAGGGGTCGCGGCAGATCGGGGTGCCGTCTGCGGTTGCGTGGGAGAGGCTGTCGCGGGGTTCGGTTGGGGAGGGGACGGGGTCGGGTTGGTGATTGGGGGGTCGTGTGGGTTGGGATGGGGCGGTGGTGGTGGTGATGGTGGTCGTCGTCGTCGTCGTTGTGGGGGGTTGCGGATGGCTGTTTTTGGTGGAGGCTGGTGTGACTGCTTTGGTTGGTTCGGCTAGCCAGTCTTCGATGGTCTTGTCTACCGCTGTCTCGTCGTCGATGGGTGACGTAGTGACTGGGTTTGGGGTGTCGGTAGGAGGGGGCGGGGTTGTGGTGACAGGTTTCTCGTCGGTTGGTGCGGGTGTGCTGTCCATATTATTACCTACAGCCGAAATATCACCAGATACGCTTGGGATGAGAACGGGGCCAGAGGTATCGGGGTCAGCCGGCGGCCAGTCCTGGGTGTTGGGGCCATCGCCACCGGTGTTGATAAAGTCCACGAAGGAGGCGTGGAAGAAGTCCATATCGAAGGTGCCAGGCTCGGAGGGAGATTGGTCTAGTGCGGCGGGGTTGATGCTCTGGGCCTGAGATGATACCGATGGTGTCGGGCGACTTTGGTTGGTGTGGGTGAGGAATGACGGGCTGATGCATGAAAAGTCCACCGATGACAAGCTGGAGAGCCGCCGCCGCTTGCTCTCGCGGGCCTCTTCTTGGGCACCCCCGAGGCGGTCAGTGGGCATTCGGGTATGGTTGGTGCCAGCGGTCCACTGGTTGCTGCCAAACACCATGTTGCTACCCTGGTATCTGCCTACCAACGCACTGACATCGAACCCGCCTGACTTGACCATCTCGGAGCGAATGTCGACAAGCATGGCCTTGAGGAGCTGATACATCCTCGCGGCTGGTTGGTACAGATGACTCATCTCGTAGATGGCAGTGGAAAGCACTTGCAGATATCGTAGGTTACTATGGTGGTCAAGCTCAGCACTCTTATGTGCCAGCGCAGCCATCAAGGCGAGGGCCGCCGTGCCGGCATGTTGGGTCGCCGTGAGGACGACCCGTTTTCCGTCAAAGCGCTGGCGGTGGTGCCAGAAGATTCGTGCGATTCGGATGGCGTGCTGCGTACACATGCTCCGAGACATTGACGCCCTGTTGTCGTGATGGGGAAGGGGGCCCATCCACGAAGGAAGACTCGTTTCGGTCCCTTGAGCGGGCGACCCAGGGCTCGGGTAGCGAGCGGCCACCGTCCCGTCGAGCGACATGGGACCATACTTGGCCCAGGGCCGGTGCAGGAGGATCATGCAAACGTGGAACTGCTGGTGAAGGATAAAAAAGCCCATATGCGCTGATTTGATGTTGGCAGGCTTCCAAGTCAAATTCTCGGGAAGCCTGCGGTACCAGTTGTGGAACAAGCGTTCCAGCCCGATGAAATGCAGATACGCCCTATCCTCGGCCGCCTTTGAGGAGAAAAGGTGAGCCGCGCCGTATGTCGAGTTTTGGAAGTCGGTTACTTTGCCCGCGAGCTCCAGCAGCTCGAACATTTGCCTGTTGATGGTAGCATGACTCGCCACAGATCCAAGACTTGAATCCTCGAAAGGCCCGGGCGCCCTTGGCAGCACGTCAACGCCGACATCCTGAGACTTGATCGCGGTAGGACGGCCCATGAACAGCGCCCACTTTCGGTCAAACATGACGCACGCTGCCATGGCCTGGCGTCTCGTTTCTCTTTCGAGTTCGGAAATGTCTGCGATAGCCATGTTGACATGAAGCCCGACATCGAAGGCCAGCCGGTTCGCCATCCCTTCAGCCAATTCGTTAGCGTCCGCAACAAGGAAATGCGGTTGGTAGTAGCCTACCAGAATACATCCAGCCGGTGGTATCCCGACCCACACCACACTCCAAGTCAGCCAGCATCAACAGCCCCAGGACAGTTGGGACACCGCCGGGCCTCTCGAGCTCTGATTCCAGCATGGCCTTGGCTTCCCTGTGCAGGGTGCTTTCCCGGTTCCCCAGTGTGATGGTCTTGACATCGTCCCGATCCCAGTCGGCAAAGCGGTACCCAATGGCGAGCATCGCAAGGTGAAGGAACAGCGAGTAAAACCTCGGGTCTTGGCTTGCGCGGCCGGCTTCAAAAGCGGGCTCGTCGACGACCTGTTGCCAAGAGTTGTAGTAGTCCCAGAAACAACCCATGAGGTGGTCATAGGTGGCCGGCCTCAGCGATAGGATGACTTGTTCTGCCCTGAAGATGTGGTTGGACTGTTCTGGAGGAGCGAGGGGATTTGTTGATTTCGCGTGGACATGGTGGTTGGCTGTCGGCCCGAAGAACCGTGTCCTACCGGCTGCTTGGTCGAATGTGTAGCTTCCCCTTGTGCAGAGTAGATGGCGAGTCCCCGCCTCCTTCTTTGGCTCCGCATCTTGTAGTAATAGCGGATCGATAAGCCTGGAGAAGTTGGTGTGGCCGCCTGAAGGGAAGGTTTTCAATTGCTCTGGTTCAGTCATGTTGACGTCCTCGTCTCCTGACCCTGGCGGAGTTGGGGGGTGGTTTACGGGCGGTGCGGCTGGCTTTGGTTCTGCGCTCTCCAGTCGCTCGCTGCCGGTCCGGGCCTGATGCTGCTCCTGTTGCCGTGCCTGTGCTTCTTGTCTCGTCTTAGGTGGGTGCACCGCTGGGGGAGGGACGACGCCACGGTCTTTGAGTAACCCCTCTAGCAGGTTGATCCTATTCGACAAGGACGACATGTATGCCTTCGAAATGGGACTTTTACTCATTAGATTGACTGGCTAGAGCTAGACCACGGGGCGTCCACCTACCGTCTTCGCTCATCGTCATCCTTGATGATGCATGCAGCCCCCGTCCTCCTGCACTGGGTGCATTCCGATTCCCCCTCACCTACAACGCACCGTATCCTCCTCTCACGGCAGGAGGCACATGCAATTGAGGCACGATGTCGAATCTGCTGTTTGACGGATGAGCGTGACGAGGGAGCCGGACTTGTGGCATGCTCAGAACTCGCTCTCTCGCTCTCGCCTTCCGAGAGTGACCTCCGCTTCCCGTTAGACATGGTTGCTGTTGTCATGGCCGAGGGTGCGTATCAGTCGGTCAATTGACCGAGGTTAAGTTACGTTCGTGTGTATGAAGTGGCATGCAACGGGGGTTTCCGTTCTGGGGTATTGTGAAACGTCCCCGCGAGTCAGGGCAACAGAAGCAGCAAAAGCGAGGAAAGATGGGAAAGGAGGCAAAATGGCGGAATCCAAACCGGCGGATAGACGCGAGCGGACCCGTGTTCGTTAAATGCGGTCTCCATGGGCGCCGTGGACAACAGCCGTGCCGAAAGATGGAGACTGGTCAGCTCCTCGCAGGGGCAACTTGCAAGCACCCCGCAGTCGCTGTATGCTACGAAGGCCCGCTCTGCTAGGATAGGGCTTCGGGAGAATTCTTGTTTGGACCAACTGGCCCACCGTGATTCCCAATAGACGTCGTCGTGGAATCCACCCTTGGGCGAGTCCATGTACGTTTTGCTCGGGGGAGTAAAACCCGGGGCTCTGGTGGGGGGGCGCCGAGTGAATCCACACACATCCCACATGGTCCAGGATGGCAACATTGGCAGTGGGTGAGGAGCAGTTCATGCTGCGCTAAGCAATGATTGCCCCCCTGGCTCCTGGGTTGGCGAACCTTCGGTGATTCGGACATAGCCAAATCGCGGCAATTCGATTCGTTGCGCGAGAGCGCGAGATTCAACCCTGGCCGATGTCCCAAGCTGATTCGCCAATGCCAGGGGTTGGAAGAGGCCGACAGGGCCAAATGATGTTCCTGGCACCCCGCAAGCATCCCAGTCCAGCCTGAAGTCGGGAACAACGACGGCCCCACGAACCCCACTACATCCAAACTGCGGAGATGGGATGGGGTCGTGGAGGAGTTGTGGGCCGCGTCAGTTGTCACCAAGAGCGAGTCTCATCAAGGGCAGGCAAGCAGCAGGCTGGCAGGTTCCTCTCTGGTTTGTTCGCATACCCATATTGTCAAAGGGGTGCCATAAAGTGGCTGCTCTGCGATGTGACGGTGTGCCGTGTTCTCGAAGCGTGGCCGAACACATCTGCGCGGCGCCGCGGCAATATGGTGGGTAAACCGTTGCATTTTTCGGGACTCGGCGGGCCCTCGGCTGAGTACAGAGTGGAATGCCTCAGCAAGCGGAGAGGCGAGTCATCCGGAATTTCCTGCGTCTGGCATTGTGTTCCAGCCATCACTAGCGTCGAGGTAGAGGCTGGGGAAGTGGGCCGAGCACCAACTCCTCGTGGCCATTCAACGACCGCCGAGGCTCTCCTGCCAAGGAGCGAAGTTCAATGGTGATCTCAGACTCTGCGTTCAAACACGGGCCTCTGTCGCTGTGCATCCCTTTCCAGGGTCGGCGAGTCTAGAACCTGTTTCGCGGGCTCAAGCTGTTGTTCGGTCACACCGAAGGGCCTGGCGAATCTGAGAGACGCACAAACGGTCCTCGGCCAGTGGCAGCGCAGGAACAATTCCATCTCACCAAGATCGATTTGTGTTTTCTGCCTGCCACAAAGTCTACAAAGCACTGTGGGCTCTTCCACATCCTGTGGTGCATGGACCCTCTTCGAGGGCACGGAAATGAAGCCTGGGGAAAGCTGGGGCGCTGCAACTTTGCGGCGATGCGGAGGGTCGGGGTCCCCAAGCGAGGCGTTGGAGGGTCAAGCTTGGCAGACAACCTCCCAATCCGGGTTAGGTGGTGCCGGAGTCTAATTATGTGTCCGACAGCGTGAGAACAAGACACCAGCCAGTTCGAGGCCCTGATCCTTTGTCTCACTGCTGGCACCGTGGTGGCAGTGATAAGCAACAGGCGGGGCGCTGGCGGTCGTTTGGCTTACACTACTTTTGCATCAGCAAGTTGTGGGACGCGGCAGTTCGTGAATGGCGAGTATTTGCGAGTTTTCACCGCGATTCTCCGACGGCAACAAGCTCAACGGAATTTCCTATCACCGGAACCATGCGTCTGGGGCGCGCATGACCACAGTTTGAAGAGCGACCAAACACTCCCACGTTATGATGCCGGCTTCTTCCAGAGATGGGTTCCTCGCGACATGGTAACAACGACCCCTGTGGCCTGGAGAGGGGCAAGTTCCTCGTCCCAACGAGTGCGGCGTACTGCTAACTCCCCGAGGTCGGGTCCTGTGTCGAGGACGAACCGGCAGGTACGACTCGGAGCTTGAGCTGCGGCTTGACTTCATCCTTTGCGTCAATACCAGTCAATCATAGCGGCCAGGTCGGCAGGCTACTTACGTCGTTCATAGAGAAAATACGACGTGACAACGAGCACCGGGAACGCAACAACGAAGCGAATGTACCTGCTCGCGGCTTGCTTATACTCCTTGCTCGACGTGTCCACGGGCTTTCGTGCTTTCGGCGGGATTTGGGGATTCGCGTCGGCCGGCCCTTGGGAACGTGGGGATGGCGAGGGCGCGGGTTGGTAGGTCGTAGTGCTGGAACCGACAGGTTCCGAAGAAGCAGGGTGGGTTGGCGTGGGTTCAGTCGGAGTGTTTTCACCATCAGCGCGTCTTAGCGGTTCGGTCAGCGATGCCTCGGATTTCTTGAACCTCGAAGTTCGGCCATTGTCGTTGGCAGATTTGTGAGTACTGAACGACCGGCTGAAGGGCCGAGATGTTTGCGTCTTTTGTACATTGGCTATCCTTCCAATCCGAGCTCTGGTTGTGGTCGAAGCTCCCCATGTAGGGACCGTCGAATGTCCCCCCAACAAGCATTGGGAACCGCGACCCGGCGAAGAGCGAGTCGACCGCAACCAAGATATGCTTCGGGACATTGCTGGCGATCGTTCGGCGGGAGACTTTGGCGGGGATGGCGGCCCTTCAAGTACACGCTGTCAGTACGGTCGTAAGCAAAAAAAGAATTTGCCTTGGCTTGTCCTGGGCAGAAACACTGCCAAATAGATGGCGGCTCGGGCAGACCTCGACGCGACGTCACAGACACGGCAGGCAAGCTTGCGGGAAGCGCGCTCAGGTGTGCTTCGTTCCGGTGGGTCAGAGAAATTCTGCGAGATCGGCCCAGAGCGCCAGACCAAAAGAATCTGGAAGTTCTTGGCAATTTGAGAGCCCCTCTTTTTCACTTGGCTCCCCCCACCAGACTTCGAGCGAGAGCGGATTCTCAAACATGATGGTCAAGAAAGAAATTGATCGCGTCCATTGCCTTCCGATGTACTGAATCCTTTCCTCCTTGACTTTCAGACCGCTCTCTTGCTTGATCGTCCACCCAACAATAATTATCAGAAATTCAGCGACAATGACCAATGACGCTCTCCTGTTTCAAGCCCTTGCAGCAGTCCTTGAATGCCTGCCGCTTGTCGCGGTCGACGGCGCAGATCTGCATGCAAACGTCAACACAAGTTGCTGCGCTCACCTGACGACGGAGTACTCACGTTGTTATAGGTCTTATAACCCATCCACTTACAGCATCCCAACGTCTGGTCCTTGAGCAAGTATCCCTCCCGGCTGTTCATGCAGATGCAGTCATCCGGCTCGAGATACCAGCTGCCGGGGCACTGTTCGCCGGCAATGGCTCCTCCGACGAAGCCAAGGCTGAGAAGAACTGCGAAGACCTTCATAGTGTAATGGAAGTGTCAAAGTCAAGTCAGGCAGATGAATAAAAACCTTGGGAGACTCAAGACATGAACAGAATTCTTGCCGGAGCTCAACGCTTTATAGAACTTGAATCCCCAGGACAGCCACCAAGCATACCTACGGACCCGTCCTTGACGAGGTTGGATGTGGCCAGTGACCAATACAAGCCAATCTATGCACAATCTCGCCTAGTTCCCAACGACGGTCTTAGATGCATATCAATATCCCGAGCCTAGCCCATGGCACTTGGAGTCGGCTTGAAACCGGGTTCTCGTGAGCAGGTTTGATAGATCACAACGCAGGTCCTGCTACTGTATAATTAGCTGGCATCATGATTCGAGCTCACTAATTCTGAGTGTTGAACGTGCGGATTTGTCTATTACCAGGCGATTCACAGAAGCCCAAGGGCCAGCGATGTTGCAGGAGGACTGTTCGAGGCACTCTCGAAGCCCCCCACTGTGATGGCATTATAAGTCTATTATTATCCTGGGTCCAGCCTTCGTACCCTAATCCCCGGGGCAGTATCCTCACCGGAACGGCGCGCTTACCAGCTGATGGAACCTTCGATGCAGACAAGGCCGGTTAAAGTCGAACCGCGTGGTACAAACCGACTTCACCCTTCATTCTGTTAGGCTATCGGCATCGAGCTCGTTTATCATGTGGCAGTACACTGAATTGTCATGCATGCAAAGTGGTTGGAATATTCCTTCAACTCCGCTTTCCATTACATCCCTCGTCTGGTTCCATGGTTGACGACCACAGAATATTGACTCGGACCCAGCGGATGCAACCGCCGCTTCGCAACCGACCCTATCATCGACCCTTTTCCCGTCAGATATGATGCATCGACCGATTTCAGCTGACTTTGCTGCCACGACCCGGTGCCAACGCACGAGGAAGACTGGAGAAGTCTACCACGTGGTAACCCTTTGTTCTTCTTTCAACGGTCTAGCTTCCAGTGTGCTTCGTATTCGTCTCGGGAAGCGAATGCCTCGTCCTACAGTACCACCCAGTGCATCTCTAAATAATAAATCAGATGTCGAGGGAACCGAAAGCATGAACCTCCTTGAAAGGGGGTCAAAGGGACTCGTCGGCTGCGTTTTGCGTCCTTTGTAGTATCGTAGAGAGCATTATCCGAGTCTGGCGAAGGTATCACGGCCCGGTTTATGAAGCTACCTGCTCCTGATTAGCTACGTATCGGGCATTATCATATCACCAACATTCTACTATCCTCGTACACACCCTGTTAGTAGTGGAACACTTTCTATTCATAGTAACAGCCTAGACTCGGGCAAGGCAGATTAAAGAGGGTATGCGCTCCTCGATGATCCTATATACTACTTATACAAGAAGGAAAAGCTCCCTTGTTACCGGTTTTCCCCTCCTCCAGTCTTCCGTACCTAATTAAGTCCCCGCAAACTACACCACCTAACTAGCCCCCCCTCCGTCCCCTCTGAGATCTCACCACCCTGCGGAGCAGAATAGGCGACGTATCTGGTGCTGGGGGCTTCCCGTTATTCGTCCCTCCGTCGGTCGCAAACACCGACCTGGTGCGGGTGGTCGTCGGGCACTATGAACGGGGCCGAACATTCACGGATGTGGCGCTCGTCGATCCCGTCGGACTCCCACAACCACTCAGCCGAACGCGGTATCTCGAGGATGGCACCAGGGGGGAAGGAAGTGGCGAAATCAGCTCCTTCGGCCACGCGGCGTAAAGCAACCTTCACGGCGTCTTGGACTTGCTCTAGAGGGGTGCTGACGGTAAATAGTTCGAAATATTCGTATTCTAGCTCCTTCCAGGTCAATTCTCGGTGAAGTTTCCCGATTACTTTGACTCGGGCTTCGTCAAGGGGGACAACTTGCATCTCCCCATCTTTCTGTACGCGTTGGTGCGTCAACGTTAGTCGCGGTATATTCCTTAGCTCTTTGTCAATCCAAACGGCGGCACTCCCCCCATCAGGGTTGACGATTTCGTCGTTCTGCCTTCTGAAAGCAACGGGAGATGGATACCGGTATCTGTAGTCACCATGGAGCAAGCCATAACGTTCCGCACTGACAGCCGTGTGAAGCCCGACAGGAATGTCGGTCCCTCCGATAAAGGTGATAATAGCTCCATCTTTATAATCACGTTCGATTCCAGTATATTCGGGGTCGTTCCACAACACGAAACGCGCGTCGAGGTGCGGGGCACTGAAGAAGCCTTCCAAATAGGGGGCGGGAAGAAGAAAAGACTACGATGCCGGCCATTCAACAAAACAATGACCATGTTCAAATTCGCCGAACAGAACAGATAAGGTCAATCCGACAAAGAAACCAAACGCCTAAGTAGCCCAGAGCCAATGTTCGTCACATTTAACGGCTGTTGTCCCTAGAGGTGGACCACGTTCCTCCCCGGGTAGGCTTTCCCTGTCGTCTGTTCCAACTCGCCCACAGCCCCTTTTCACCCGACTTGGATTCCCACAACGTCAAGGGAGGTACCTGGGAGACGCCCAATTCCATCGCCACCAAGAATCAAAATGTGCAAAGTCCGCGTGGTGCATTTCCTAACGCACGATGCGCGCGTCCTGATGGCCACCGACCCCTTCAGCGACCGCAGCGAACCCGGCGATTTCATAGCGCCGACCATTACCGGCGGTTGTCCACAGGCATGCGTCGACTCACTGGTCAAGTCCCAAGCCCAAAACCCCGCTCTTGAGCGGTTCGACCCGTGCGACCAGCATGATTGCTGCGTGACCACCCAACTCAGCGTAAGGTGCCAGCGCTTCCTAGACCACCCCGGCCAGCTAGGCCCGTGGGGCGTGGCATCGGAGACGGAGTGCCCCAACCATTTCATTATCAATGAGTGCCACCCCATCGCCACTGTGCTGCGGGACGTCCCAGTACCCCCTGGGGCCCGGTGGGGGACCAAGAACGCCCCCCCTTACTTCCCCGCGACGGAGCTGTTCTACTCCTCCACCATCACTGCGGCCACGGTACCGGACGAGGAGAGCAATGGACTCTACAACGACCGCACTCAGTTCCAGCTGCTGGGGGTCGAGCTAGCCATGCAGAAGGAGATACTGGAGCATAACATTAAATTCGCCACCGATTATATGGGGTCGCTGGAACGGAAGTTCAACGACCTGGAGGGGCTGAAAGCTTTGGCGACGAAGGACGAGCTCAGGCTGGCACGCAGGTTTGTGGCCATGGCGAAATTCGCCGAGCGCGAGGCCGCCAGAATCTACCAACAGATGATGCAGCGGACTGGGTTTGTGCTGACCATGCTCAACAGGATGCCCGACCCCGGACAGAGCGTGACCGTCGCGGACGGATTGTTCTCTATCTCGCGGGAGCGGTTGGATCTCGGGGGCCTTGATTACCAGGCGGTGATCGATGCCTGCGACGGGCCGCTGAAGAGGTCTGTGAAGCTCCGACATCGACTGAAGAAGATTACTACTGCTATAAAAGCTCTCAAGAAGACTAGGACCAAAAGGAAGATGAGGGAGGGCGCTCGGAAAGAGCCTGTCCTTGCATCTCATGGGATGCAATGAGTTATTAGAAGAGAAAGTGAGTTCGAAGGTAGAGGGAGTATCGATTCTCCGGTTGTGGACATAAGTGCCAGGTTAAAAAGTCCAAAGTTGGGTACCTATTTGATTTCCTAGTTCCAAGACGACACAAGAGAATATGATAGAATAGAGGATGAATGTAATGGCGCCCTGGAACTTTCCTCTGATATCTGGCGGTTGTGAATGTAACCTGAAGTTCTGAGCGTGGTATTGTTAATTAGGGGCGGTGAGACCTCTTTAGGCCTTGCACGATGAGTTGTGTGGTTCCGTCAGTAATATAACATGGGTAGCGGACAATCCAAAAAGCACCTATCAAAGCACTGAGGCACAACGGTTCAATGTCCTCTCCATGAGCACGGCTTCCCCGCAGATTGGCCGACCCAAGAACAGCGAGACGGCAAAGAGGAGGCGAGACTCGGGAGAATTGCAGCTAAATGGACCGCAACCTTGCGTTACATCGGTGGCTAAAACACCGAGGAGCACTCCAGGAGGTAAGCCGGGACAGCGTCCGAGGGTAGGGAGGTACCTAGATATTGGGACGTCCTGCTACCCAAGTCGTAACTTTAGCACTCGCATCTACCTGCGTACAACACTGTACACTGTTCATACCGCGTCCGTATGGCAAGAATCACACAATTAGCTGCGCTTTGCGCGGCGATCATTACCCAGGGGACCGACGCTGCTGTTACTTTCGCGGTCCCAAGCAAGGCTGGCGACGGAGGGCACTCCTACGCACCACTCGACCCAGCACCCCTGGGCATCTCTTTCGAGTTCTTTGCCTTTCCGTCGTATCTCACCAATGTCACCGCCACAAATCAATGTCTGTCAAACTGGAAAGACCTCACTGGGGTGTGGCCGCCGATTCGCATTGGCGGGACGACGCAGGATCGAGCCTCATTTGACGCGTCAACTTCGGCCTACGTAGTATACTCGGTGGCAAATCCGGCGGATGCGCCCATGACATTGACCTTTGGGCCAAAGTTCATGACTCTTGCTGGGACTTATCCCGGAAGCGTCGTGGTTGGTTTGAACAGGGGAAAGAACAATATTGACAATACGATTGCCGCTGCAAAGGTGGCCGTGTCTGAAGTCAAGAACCTGTTGGCTATTGAGTTGGGAAATGAGCCGGAATGTAAACAGAGGGTCCCCCAAACGCAGAATAAAGGGTGTAAAAGGCTTACTTGTATCCAGATTACCCCAAGGACGGCCAGCCCATTGCCCGCGGAACTTGGAACCCCTCCGTGGACGCTTCGTCCCAGGTAGACTGGAACATCCGGGTCGGCAGTGCCGTCGGCAAGAACAACATCATCCAAGCCGGAAACTGGAACCAAGCCCCTCCAGAATGGGGAGCCGCGCAGCTGATCGCCAGGGAGAACGCAACATCCAAGCCATACGTGCGGCATTATGCTCACCACAACTACCCCGGCGGCGACGTCCAGAAGCTTCAGACGCACTCCCAAACAGCCAGCAACGTGCGAAGCATGTTCGCCGCCGACGTGGCCGCAGTCAAGCAGCAAACCGGCAAAGAATACATCCTCGGCGAGACCAACTCCGGTACGCTCCCTCCCCTTCCAACCCTTCCAACCCTTCCAACCCCCCCCATCTCCCCCCTCCCCACCCAACCTCCCAACCCACTAACCCCCTGTTTTCCCCCCCATCCCCAGTCTCCGGCGGCGGCGCGGCCAACGTCTCCCCGACCTTCGGCGCGGCGCTCTGGACGATGGACTACGCGCTGCGCGCGGCCACGACCAACATCTCGCGCGTCTACTTCCACCACGGCACGGTCGGCAACTGCCAGTACTGCTTCTGGGGCCGCTACAGCATGGGCGCGCCCTACTACGGCGCGACGGCGGCCGTGGCGCTGACGGCGGGCGCGCGGACGATTGCGGCGCTGGATGATGAGAGGGGGAATGAGGGGGTGTATGTGACGTTTGATGGGGAGGGCAGGCCGGCCAGGGTGTTGTTGTATAATTCGGAGTATTATGCTGGGAGCGGGAGGAGGGGGGTGCAGGTGTTTACGCTGACGGGGTTGGGGGGTGGGGAGAGTGTGCGGGCGAAGAGGTTGACCGCGCCGAGTTCGTTGGCAAGGGCGGATCGCGGGGATGATATCTCGTTTGGGGGGCAGCGGTGGACGGATGGGACGTGTGTGGTTGCGGGGGAGGAGGTGTTTGAGACGGTGGGCGTGGAGAATGGGCAAGCTGCGTTTGAGGTCAAGGCGGCGGAGGCGTTGTTGGTTTATTTGTAGTTGAAGGTGTGGGGGGGTTGTTGAGTAGGTACCTAGGTACCTAGGTAGGTACCATAGCGCGCCGGGGGGGGGGTTGCAAAATGATGACCACCGACGTTTTTTGGTGCCAAAATGATTTTTTCGTCTGAAAATGAACTTCAAAATGGAAAACGAATACCACGACTAGCCTGTAATAAAAATGATAAAAACTTGAAAGATGGTTTTAAACTAAAAATAATTTTCAATCTTTAAAATTATTTTTAAGATAGAAAATAACTACTATTATTAAAATATAATAAAAGTTATTTTTATATAAAATTATTTTCAAAATATAATATAATTTCATAGCTTTAAAATTATAATATCTTAAAAAGATTAACTTCTAATAAAATTTATTTTACTATATTATAATTTTAAAATAGTAAAAGTATAATATATAAATGTTGAACCCTAGAGTTCAGATTACTAGTGCTGTGGCCATCTGGGGGGCTCTACAGTACTGTAATTGAATTCGTATGGCCTGTAGCTATATACTGGTATCTTGGTTGTGGCGGTACGATTACTGGGTGGCTAGCTATCTTAGTTTGAAGAAGGTTGGTTCTTCTTTTCACTAAGTGTTAGTTTCTCCCGAATCGAGCTACCCTGCACCTACCCTGCACCTGGGTTTCCCAAGCGAGCTACCCTGCACCCGGTTGTTCCCAACCGGCCTACCCTGCACCTCTTGGCATCCCAAGCGACCTACCCTGCACCGGTGGTTGGCTCCCAAGCGGCCTACCCTGCACCGCTTGGCCCCAACCGGCCTACCCTGCACCGGTTTTTAAGGTAGTAGTGCAAGTGGGCCCGGGCACTTCTGGGTGCGGCTGCGAGCAGGTGAGCCCATTTTTAGTCAAACCTATACAAATGAGTTTTGCGGGATTCAGTTTTTTACCACTAAGACCGCTGGGCCGAATTCGGCACTGTGCCCCGGTCGGTGGGTATATGAGAAGGAAGTAGTAAATCCAACTCCAGTGGTTAAGATAGCAAATATAGAGGCATTCCCAAAACAATAGTGGTCTACCTACTAAATTAACCACTGTTATAGGGCCTAGGCCCTGTAATTACTGCTGGTAGCTAAGCAATAGTACTGTGCATTGCTTCCCCAAAGTGCATTGTAAGCCCTGTTAGTGTGTGCACTACAGGGCCTCACCCACCTAAATCTAATTAGGTTATGAGCCCGGAAAAGTACTATTTCCAGCTGTAGGCTTATAAATTGCCCTGCAAATTAGAGCCTTTGAACGCTATAAGCTTAGCCTGTTTCTACTGCTTGTAGCTTGGAATCCCTGAATTCTTCGTTTCTCCAAGCTAGAAACCACTATAGGAACTTCGACCTATAGATAGACCTCCTAGTGCAAGGTCGTCAACTATACTAGATAGCTGACAGTTAATATAGAGCTTCTGGGGGCCTATATTTTAACTTTTCCAACAAAGCCCGAAACGTTGGTTTTCTCAAAGAGATAGAAAAATCTAGCTTAACTTCGAAAGCTAGGGGTTATTATACCCACTGAAGGTACTATATTTATAGGCCTTCCCAACAGCCTGATCAACTGTATTGGTTCTACCGATTCTAGTAGGTAGGTAAAACGTAGTACCTCAAGGTACTAACTACTGCTGTAGCCAGTAGTTGTAGTTAAACTACGTAAAACAAGGACCTCTAAGAGCCGCACTGAGTAGAACTTAAGGCCCTAACAACCCACTGTAAGGTTGTTGGTCTAGGTAACTAGACTACCACTATAAGAGCGAATAGTGGTTACGCTATATCAAGGCTAGTAGCGTGTAAAAACTTACTGTGGTTACAGTATAGAATATAACCCGGTATTTTATACCGTTGAAGTCCTAGACCTATATAGTGGCATAGGCCCTATAACTACAGCGAAGGTAGTAATAGGATAGTGCTTACCAGCCTACGGCAACTGGTATAGCCGCTGTAGCCTACGGGCCTGTACAGAGGCACCATGGCACAGCCTGGGGGCGCTGGGAGCCCCCAAGCCCAAATAGAGGAGTTGCAAACCCGATTAGAGGCCCAGGCTACCCAAATGGCACAACTGCATGCCACTATAGCTACGTTGACGGATAGTTTACAACAGTTTACTGTTCAACAACAACAACGGCCCCAGATGCCTACCGAACAGCAGCTTACAGAAGCTATTGCTTCTGAAGTAGAAAATAGAGTAAAGGCCGCTTTACAGGCCCAACAGGCCCGTAATACTAGCCAGGGCCCTCCGGAGCCACTAGTAGTACCACCTTATACGGTACCACTACCAAATACAGTGCCTCCAAGCCCTGCCCTACAACCCACTATACCGCAAGACAATTTGAACAGTGGGTTGGTAAAAGAACTGTCAAGAAAGGTGTACGATTTCCCTGAAAATCTACGCCTTACAGGGCCAGATAACTTCGATATCTGGAAACAGGGCCTAAATATCATGTTTAGGGCTATCGGCATACCTACCTTTCCTTCTAACCCAGAGGGATTTATAGGGGGTAGCGACCAAACGTTGGCTTTACTTCTAATGCTGTTACGGAACAGTATAGGCCCTGGACCACAGGCCGCCATAGCCTGGCAAACAGACCCTGTAGCGGCCTATAGGCTTCTAATACTACGGTATTCGCACTCCACTGGAATTCAACGGGACCAACTATATAGGAAGTTCCACGAGTTGGATTTCAGTAAATTTAGTGGATCTTTAGCGGATTTCAACGCTGAATTTTCCAACTTGGCTAGCCGGCTAACCCTAAACGGGGTTGAAATACAGCCTATAGACCAAGTGAACCACTACTTAAAGGCTATGGAAAAAGCCTTCCCACAGTGGGCTGAACGGCAACGTAGTCAAATGCGGGCCCTGAGGACAGTTGGCCAAGGTGTTGAAAACCTGAATTTGAGCTTCTTAATAGCCGACCTTCTGGAAGAGCATAGAATTCCAGCCTCTACTACCAATAAAGGTATGGCTAATAGGGCCTACGGCGAAAATAAGGGTGCTAAAGGCCCCTATAAAGGCCCTAAAAAACAGGGGAAAAAGGGTCCCCAAAGCCAACAAAATACCAACGGCAGTAGTGGGAATAGTGGTCAAAAACGGCCAAAAGAAGAAGAAGAAGAAGGGTCAGGGTTCAAATTCCAGTTCGAACCACAGTACCCAGCCCGATTCCTTTGCCTGTATTACAGGGGCATACAATATCACTACAGGGCACTATAGTGATAGTAGCGAAGATAGTAGTTCTGAATCCGATTCAGATACTGAAGAACTACCTTCTTTCTTCAATGCTACCCACCAGGCCTCAAAATCTACCACTAAACCAACTAGTGGGAAATCTTCGAAGCCAGCCTGTAAAGATCACTGTAGCCACCAGGTTACCTCTGATGCTCTACTCTATGATACTGGTTCCACAGACCATATCATAAACAATAGGAAATGGTTTACCAGTTTTACTAAAAATACTGGTCAAATACCACCTATTTATACAGGTGGTGGCCCTGTAAAACCCAAAGGTATTGGAACTGCAAAGTTCAAAGTACTGGTCCAGAAGAGTCCCCCGAAATACTTAGAGTTGGTCCTTAATAAGGCCCTCTATATACCCTCTATAGATATCAATCTATTTAGTGGGATCCGGCACTATAAGGCCGGAGGCTATTTGGACCGGGAAACGTTGAAAGGCCCTACAGGGTCTACCATTGCAGCTCTGGACTTCCAGAGATCGGGCTTCTTCCTTCAAATTGAGGGTCACCTTCGGCCAAGGCTCTACCTTACTAGCTATATTAATATAGTTGGTACAGGGTATAGCCTAGCCCAAACTACTAAAGATTTAGTGGTTGAACTACCTTCTAAAACCCAATCTTGGAAGGATAGTTATACTAGGTACGATGACAACGAACCTAGTAGTGTAGAGCTAGATAGTAGGGGTACTATCGGCTCTTCAGGGCCATCGAGCCCTGAATCTCAGGGCATACCCCGGAGGAATAGGCCCCGTGATTCTGACGAAGGATCTATAGGCCTGGGTGCCCCTGGGAATATAGGGTTATAGGATCTACCCCAGGGCTCTATAGTGGAGGAATGGCCCCGTGTGCAAATAGAGCCCTGGGATAACGAATCTTGGGGCCTTCTAGAGGAGGGCTTGCCCCGTGTGCAGAGGGGGCCCCAGGATGGAAGTAGTGGAACTACTACTATAGTGCCTGGTTCTCAGGCCTATAAAGATCTACTTATAGTGGCTAAACAGTGGCATGTTCGGCTAGGGCACCTTGGCCTACGCCTACTAAAGAAAACCACTAAAAATACTAGTGGTATCCCTGATTTAGACCCTATAAGGGAGGTTGATTTTCGATGTATAGCCTGTTCTAAGGCTAAAGTAACTAGGAGGGTAGACTGGAAGTCAATTCCAGATCCCCCGGCCGTTTTAGATATAATAGAGGGGGATACAGTAAAAATCAAGCCAATTCCACACAATCGGCTTCCTGTAGCCCTATTTCTAATAGATCGAAAATCGCGGTTCCGGTGGGTAATTTTAATGCCAAACAAAGAGGGTCCTACTGTTTTCAACGCAATTAAAGGCCTATTTCGTGGTCTAAAAAACAAGTGGGGAAAATACCCAAGAAAATTCCATTTCGATGGTGGCACTGAAATTAATACCCATTTACAGGCCTGGTTAACCCGTAAGGGCATCGATTTTTCTACCTCTAGCCCCTATGCCCACGAACAGAACGGTCTAATTGAACGATCTATTCGGGTGGTTTTAGATAGGCTTAGATCTACAGTAGTTCTATTACAGTTGCCGCAGTACCTCTGGTGCTATATACTATCTAGTATAGTGGATCTCGTCAATTCCACAGCGGTAACTAATAAAGACCTTACACCCTACCAGGCCTTCTTCGATGAATTAGAGCCTGGTATTACCCACATACCCAACTTAGGGTGGTATAAGGCTATAGGTTCTAGAATAGAACTACTTATACCGAATGAAAAGAGGCCTAAGTCCCTGAAACTACAGGCCCGTACAGAGCCTGGTAGGCTTCTAGCAGC